TGTTGATGCATTAAATTGACCTAATGCATTATATCTCGGATTCTATTTATGTAGGTGTGTCGACGCTATACTTGCTTCCCGGTTTGTTATATAACTTGATGGTGTTGGGTCCTTCAACATGTTCGCTCGTGCTACCCACGCACTGCCAGTGCCCACTCAATGACTCGGGGCCCTTCCGAATCTTGCCAGTGCTCGGTAATCGGACCATTGGGTTTGAAATTGTGATAACTTGGTGCGTTGGAAGTTAGTAGAAGAGCCACGGGTCAGTTCGTTCATCTTATCATTGCTGCAGGGTGCTCATTATAACTTATAGATTCTGTGATGAATGGGCTACAGGTCGTTTGCTGCATCCAAAGCGCTCCGCAAAGATGGAGATTATTTCTGCCGGCACAGACTTCAACATATCACCGGGTACTGTACAACAACTGCACCAGTTATGCAGCATTGACCTTTTCATAGGAAAGCTATCACTACTAGCTATTTCCAAGGGTTTCCTGGAAGGATCAAATGTATCGATTGTCCGACATCACCCAGGATATACAACAATGTCCATTAACAGTAACATGCAGAACGGCGATCTAAAAGGGGGTATCAATTGTGTGTAGGAGGACAACAGGATACTAGGAGAGAACTGCGCCCGAGTCGTGCATCTGTCTTCTTTCTGTGGACCATAGCGCGAGCGTCGGACTCCGTTCCACTCTGAGAACATAAGTCCCAAAATCAAGGTTCTTAGAAGAACTTCTGTTGATTCTGAATCAAATAAACTTCTTAGGGACTCGGAGTAAGCATCATGATTGATTGCGTACCGAGAACGAGATTTATGTGGTAGATTATAATATTAACAACGGAGTCCCTCTCACCATGAACTACCTGGCATGCTGCCATTGATCTTATTTCTGACAAATTGATCAGACAAAGTGACTGTATAGATGGATCTCTCCCAGTAGTATTATAGTACCGTACGTACTACGGACCAAGTTGAAATGAAATTGGATTAAATTCAGAATTCAAATAAGTCAGCGTCACGTGTGCGTGTTGATGGGAACGCGTCGTCGGAGTCGAACTAGGTAGGTCCACAACTGCCACATCAATCCACATCAGATTATTGATCGATGGTCCACTACATTTGCGCCACATTGGTCGACCAGATATAAGGCAAGCAGGAAGCAGTCGTTTTCCTTGTCCTCTTAGTTTTCTCCATCTCACCAGTTGTGTTGACAACACTCAATCAGCGTAATCATTGAACGCCTAGCGTTATGTCCCCTGCCGGCGAGACTGGCACATCGTCTACTCCGCCACGCGCCAATGCACCAGCTCATAGTGCTAGCAAAATAGAATCGACCCCAAACAGCCGCGGGGCTGCCGTCGTCAGCGAGAACATCGGCGTGCTCGGCGTCCAGTGCGCACATTTCCTATTTTTATTGAGTAGCAGCTGACATTCTACAAGTGTTAAGAAAGTCCGTCCATGGATCCAACGTGATATTGAGCAGACTAAGGAGTGCAAAGTAGATGCCATGTTGCAAGCTCTCCTGCAGCGCGCTTCTTCTGCTCCCGAGACTCAACAGCCCGAGCTTCTGCAAAAGTGCCTAGAGGCAGTTCTGCCGGTTTGCAATGGACAGGTCTCCGCTAGAGGGATATACTCTTCAGGCATCGAGACAGCCCTGCAAAAATAGTGAGTGCTCCTTCGCTGATCGGACGGTTTCATGCTTACAACGATTGCAAGCGTACGTCCAGGAGTAGAAAACAAGTTCTACGGTCCTTTTATAGAAGCCACCAACATCGCGCTCGCTTGTCTTGAAGAGATCAAAGTCGATGGGATGCGTGCTCCTGCCCCCACCGTGGACATGATCTGTCAGCAGAACGATATGCCCATGTACCAAAACCACCAGACCGTGAAATCAACTCGGAAGCCCGACGTCGTCTTTCTTCCTTTAAACAGCGCATGCGCTCCCTTCGAAGATGAGAAAGGCGGCAAGAAGGGCGAACAGAAAGACGATGAGAAGGACGATGAGAAGCGCAAGGCTCACATGGTCAAGAATGCAATGGCAAAGCCGCCAGCCCCGCTCCCCTGGAAAGATGTTCTAGCTTGCATCGAGTTCAAGAGAAAGACAGACAGGAAGAAACCGATTAAACCGCCGCACTCTTCGTGCAAAGTGAATGACTATGTTCCTACCAAGCCAGAATATCTGCCAGTGGATCATTTTAAGGCTGAAGATCCGGCGCCAGGCCCTTCGCAGACCGCAAAACAACCTGCGTCCGACCCTGCAAGTAAGTGATTGTATTTTGTATTCCAAGGACAAATTAAATCGGCCGACTGCAGTCGTATCTTCCGGCCTTACTGCTGCACAGCCTTCCAAGGGCGGGTCTAGCTCTAAGCGCAAGGCCGCGGACACTTTGCAATCCGCCGCGAAAAAAGCCAGGATCGACCCGGACGACCCAGATGTGACCGTCCAGACGGGTATGTACGCCGCCGAAATGTTTGCGGCCAATCTTGCCGTCAATCATCTGATTAATCTTATTGTCGTCGGTGGGTTCGTTCGTCTATCGAGATTGGTCGCGCTCTTACCACCGCTATTTCAGACGATGTGATGTGGATCTGGTATTATGATCGGCAAGGCACCATTCAAAGCTCGGGCATCAACTTCATTCAAGATCTCCCGCGATTCATGGTGCTGTTGTATGCTTTACAGCGATTTCAACTTGAGGATTGGGGCCGGAATAAGGATTTCCTCCCAGTTCAAGTTGAGGGCAAACAATGCCATGAATTCAAAATCAAGGACGTAGAACTTGGAGAGGTAGATCTGCTGCTGCACACCAGCCACGACGAAAGAGTGACGCACTACGGACTACAAGGACGGGCCACCAATGTGGTCCCTGTTACCAGCGATGTGCTCGCGAAGAGATCCGAAAACCTCAAGGATGGGATGGTGGCCAAGATCTTTTGGGGAGAGGCGAGTCGCACAAGCGAGCCAGAAATCTTGAAAAGAGTTGAGGAGATCGCCAAGGCGCACGATACCGTCAAAGACCATATTCCTGAGTTGCTGTGGCACCACACGTTCACGAATCCCACGTCCGCCATCCGAGAAGCACTCGGTGTTCCGGAACCCACCACGGGCAGTCGTGTGCTCTACATTCTCGTATTCCGTAAGCTCCACCCCATCACGAAGAAGCTTAACGACACAGAACTTTTCGACGTATGGCGTCAGTGTATCCTATGTACGTGTTTGGTTGAATTTACGTGGCGCTTCGTTGACATAGCGTGCAGGCCACCTGACTCTGTGGAAGGAAGGGGTCTATCATCGAGATATCAGCCCTGGTAACTTGATGTGGTACAGAAAAAATGGCCGACTGATCGGTGTCTTAAACGACTACGATCTATCCTCGTTGGTGAATGTAGTGGGTCCTCAGGGCAACGAGCGCACTGGCACGGTGCCGTTCATGGCGATCGAGCTTCTCTCCCCAAGTGCTCAACGAGGCGAAGTCAAACACCTGTATCGCCATGATCTGGAGTCGTTTATGTGGGTTTTTGCCTGGATTTTCTTGCGTTACAGGCAGGGAACCCTTCTACCACGCGGATTGCGCCCCTTGGACGAATGGGCAACTTTAGGCGCTGTGGCATGTGGCAAGGAAAAGTTGTTCTTTCTCAATAATATGGAAGATTTCGCATGCTCGGACATAGACGAAGACATATGGAATTTCCTTGTGGACTCTCTTCTGGTGGTTAAAATGGATGCCGACAACCGATACTATCTCCGTCTTAAACGGTCATCGAGCTCAGGAGGCCAGCAGCGCAACGCCGAGGAAACAGATCTCGATGCTGTTCTATCCAAATTTACAGGTTTAGAGGGTTGGGATAAGCTCAGCGAACCTAATTGATTTGTTACCCTATACACGGCTTTCCGCGTATCGATACTCGTAACTTTCAGTTGTATATTCACAATACAAGCGGTTGACGGGTCACTTCCCATAGAGTCGTGCGTGAAAGCTTCACTGGTAGGGACTAAATACCTCGAAGCAGTGCGATATATCTTGCCATCCATTGATGTGTGACCTCCGGATCGTGCTCACGTCACCCCTTTAGCTCGCAGCGCACTGGCAGCTAATGCTTCAATCATCTATACTAGGTAATCCTACTACATACACATCATTCTCCACGGAGCGGTACTTGAGCACCCTTCCTATGACCGTACCTTCTCGAAGACCATTTTGGCGTGACGTTGAGATTGAATTTGATGCCTGATTGGATTGTGTTGGTGTGGTAGTCGTGGTAGTCGTGGATGGACGTATTGCAAGTTTCTTGCTTCGGTGAGAGTATGAGAACGAAGTGAAATCCTGTTCCATGACCATATTTTCAGATTCGTGACGGCTGTTTTCGACTGCTTTCGAGTCACCTTAGCCCGATGTGACCGTGACTGAGGCGGACGAGGGCGAGAAGGTGCGCAATGCGCATGAGATGACAGACTCGAGGATGTGAAGGAGCACCATGTGGAATCTGGATACTCGTACTTGGAGGGGGGTGCTGGGAGGAACAAATCAACTTGAAAGCCTATTCGCCGTTGAATGCCGCGGACCCGAACTTGAATTGCCATGCCCAGAGGCGATCCAGGTCAGGCCTGCGCACTGCGCAGCACCTCCATCACGTATCTCGCTGTGCAGTCATCCCCCATATACGCTGCATCTCCCGTAAGTACGTCCCGAGTACACCTATCCTGGCTATCCACGCACGCTTTATCTACATAGCTGTTTCATGACCAAATCAAGATTTTAGATCTGAATTCCCAAAGGCGCTGGAACTCACTGGCAGTGTAACTTCACGTCACACCATGCTACTGGGACCGAGGCAGGCTGTACAAAAGTGTGTCTACAATAAAGAAAGGAATGTCTCCGAGTCCATGATTCTATTCGTTCTGCCTGCAGGAGACTACTTGCAGTGTGCAAGTTGAACAATAAGGAAGTTGCCGAACTTCATCGACATCTATGATGAACAAGTTCTATCTTTTGCGTCCCTCCATGTTAAACTTTCCCGGTGCTTGCAAGGCAGTTTCATGGTCAAACATCTACTTCGATAATTGGATGGTATCGTAAATGTGCCTGGGTGAACTTTCCTTGCTCACTTTCAACCTGAAACATTACTTCACCAAATTATCATGTGTATCATTCCTCAATCTCGCTTCGGCGGTAGTAAGCGCCGGATAATGGTATTATATCTAGCATGCTATCGTCATGCGTTTACCAAGGTCCAACTCGCCGCTCCAGTTTGCTCATCCATAGTATGAGCTTTTTCTCGAATGATTTCTTTTTGGGGCCGTTCATCAAGGCGAGCCGTATTGTTAGCTATTTTGCAGGTTCGTGGAGAGCAAGTCTAATGATGATGGTGATCTGTCGATCTAACCTTGACTGCGGTTTCGCAGTCGCCTCTGCTGTTGGGTTGATATATGATTGGGGTGAGCAAGACTGAGTACGAAAGAACCGCTGACATCCTCACGGTATTTCCAGCACTTACGTTCGGTCAAGAGGTAGGTTGATGATATTACTAAAGCAGCCATCTTGCTGAGAATGCCTTCACAGATTGAGCTGATCTGGGTGAGCGGACTTCCGCATCGAAAGAACGACGTGAATGCGCAACTAATTCGCGGCAGAAGAAACGCTGGTCCCTCATGACGGTGTTGTATCTCAGTGTATGTAGTTTGTGTTATCAGCGTGGTAGGCAAGTTGTGCTGACTTCAGAGGATTCTAGGTGCGTTATGTTGGAATAATATATTCCGTGTATGTTGGGGAGCTTAAGCAGTCAATGTTGTACTAATCTGCCATCTCTCACAATCAGCATCAGAGTGCTGCGTATGTCTCCTCGCACACACTGTTTTCAATTTTTTCTGACCGGCGGCATACAGTATTTATTCCAGTGACAGTTGTAGTGAGTATTCCATTTTTATGCCTGGATTCCTTACCAATCAACTGCACCTCTATGCAGGGGTGAGTGAGATTCTTGACCGACTTCTTGGTTCAACGTAATGATTGTCACAGCTGTGAGTTTGTTCCGAACGTATGATCCTCCATAATGTTACTAAATTTGTCAGGCCCTGATGGGTACGTCGCACTAGATTGGATGTGTGTCATCATAAATGCTATGCTGGGCGGTGAGCTGCGCTGTTGCAATACTTCCGTGGTATTGAATTGACTGAAACGTTACACAAGTCATCATGATTTCTCGGCTACATGCTATGTACCAGCGATCCAGAAACGTGCTGATATTTCTTGTTGTCATCTTCTTGGCTGTCAACATCGCCAACGCAGTGCTCGCGGGAATGATAATGAAGGATATTTTGGGGGGTAAGGTCAATTGTGGGTGAAATACAGGTCCACCAGGCTCATTGACGAATATCAGAGGTACTGGTTCTCTCAGGCATGTATCATTGCACCGTTAGATTTGGGGAAGATAGCGTACTCCTTGATTCCATGACTTGGATACTTGCCACTGTATGGGAAGTCGTCACATTGTGTTTCACAGTTTGGATCGCTGTCAAACACTTCCGTGAATTACGACGCTCATCGGCAGGGGGTATTATCGGGGACTGTTTCACGGTTTTGATTAAAACTCACGTGCTTTACTTTGCGAGGTGAGTTCATAATGTGAATGTGATTCTCTTGACCGCTAAAATTTTGTGAATGCTAGCTTTGTTCCTATTTCTTGCTTCAACCTTGCTTATCTGTCTCCGACAACCTCAGTGGTAGGTCAATGTTTCACTGAACTCTGCATGTGTGCACAGTTCACCATCCTATAGGAACCATATTCCATGAAATGGCACATTTATATTGGTTTTTCTTCAAATTTTCGCACTGGCGGGGAAGTTTGTGCTGGGACCACGCCTGATCCTTGGTGTTCGAGAGTATCATGCCAAGCTTATGGCCGACTCAGATGCAGCAACCGACATGAGTTCAATTATTTTCCAGGAGCGCGTGTATGACAGGAAATGCTCGGTATGATTACCACTTGTCGAGCACTCTGCAGAGAGCGGGTGATCTTTTTTTGGTATCCGTGCATTACTAGTACTTACTTAGTGTTCTGAAGTGGACAATATATTTATATTTCACGACTTGCTTGCAGCATGCAAGTTCTAAATACTCGAGCTGAATCCAGGAAGGAGCTGGTAGAGTTGAAGTTAAATTCATGTTTATCAAGTTTATTACGTGCACCGTGACTTCGCACCCAAGGCTCAGAAATTCGAGAATGTTGAGTGGTCATCGAGGCGATCGTCAGGTACTTAAGTACGAGATATGTGAAACTACAACAAGAAGTCGATACAGTCGATAAATTCATGTCGACAATAGATCTTGATAATCTTCAATACGGGTACACATTTTCGATCAACTTTCATATCGCTACGCGGCATATCGCTAACACAGCTAGGTCGCCTCTTCAGAACGCGATCCTTGGCCATGTCGCCCGACGCTTTTAATTCACCGTCCGCCTGAAATCCATTCGTGACATCCAGTATCGTGCTGAAGTCGCTCCCATTGGCTCGTAGTGCAGCAAGTGCATGGATCATCCACGCTCGGCAATCCCATTGCCCATCATTCTGCACGAGTAGCACTCGCGCAAGGAAACCATATATGCGTTCTGCATGTGTGGCCAACAATTCGTGCGTGGGCAGCTTTACGATGAGCACCCTTCCTGTGATCGTACCTTCTCGAGGACCATCGATCGCTTTATGTTCGTATCGCCACTCCTGCATGCTGTTCAGATTGAATTTAAAAACTGACTGGATGGTGTTGATGGCGTGGGTAGATGCGGGTAGTGGCGATCAGAGGCGTTGCGAGGTTCTTTCTTGGGTGAAAACATGAGTGCGAAATGGAATCCGGGCTTTGTCATGCGATGGTAGAAGGCGATGTATAGATTTGTTGTTATCCATGGGTCTACTATTGGCGAGGGATACGGTTTTGACGGATCAGAGGGCATTCCTTGCTTATAGACTACTCAGCAAAGGAAGACCGTTCGCGCGTGCTCGAGGCCTCCCGCTTTGGCGGACGCATGTCCTATGAAAAGCTACCTTCTACTCACCAACGAGTCCCGATGGTCTCGTAAGAACGGCGTTGCCCATGTGGAGAGCAAGGGCCACGCTTTATCACCGCTACAGATAGCATTGAGCTTGTCCACGTCGCGACGCCTTACCCAGTGGAACAACGTGGCGATGACTAGCCTTGCTTGCTTTACTGTAAACATGCGGGGGTGAATATTCCATAACAAAGCAAAAAGGCTGTTTGAGCGTGCATGAGCTTCGCATCACAAGAAAAACCTCCCCATTAATATATGCCCAACTGAAAGTCAAACAATGAGTCAGCTACACGCTATGGTAACGGGTTCAGATGATCTCGTCGGCCAGCAACGGTTGTCGCATACTTTCCCCATTGTGAATACGACTGCATTTCGAGCTTTTGTCCACGTCGCGACGCTTTGCCAGTGGAACAAATCTACAAGCAAGTCATTGTCTTCCAATACTATGGTTTCCTTTTTTGGTATGTGGATTGTGTACAAAGAAGAGTAAACAAGTGTGATTTGAGGTGCACGCTTTGGTCGCGTTTTATGTTTAATGCTGCCACGGAACGCTCTTCAACATTTTCATCATCCTCGTTTTTAACGTGCTAACTGAAAAAGTTGCAGACTACCTGCACTGAAACTCATTTTGATTAGGTTGGCGCTAATCGCAACACGCCAACCGAGTTACCTCACCTTTGAAACGTGTTCAGAGCGTGCTCTTAATCAAGGTTAACTCGCCTCGAAGCAGCCTTGCACGGGCTTACATATGTCATTCGCGGGCACACCTCTTGGTCAAGGCAGACGTCTAGATCACCACACATTCCTCAACAAGACAAATCTTGCTACAGTTCACAATAATCCATCTGCTAGAACCGTCAATCCTCCCGCAAGTCCACCGCGCTCAATAACAACATCGTACGCGTACGGGTGAGCACTATCATATCATATCTTACAACAGTACCCTCATCACATCATCACATGCACGTTAGAGCCCCAACAGCAGGCTCCAAATCACCGGCTAAACCCACATCATCTGCATCTACGGCTGACGCAGTAGACGACGAGACGGCTCTCGTCCGCTACGCCCGCCTAAAGCGCGAGCGGTCACTTCAGCAGTCCCAACCAACGCTCGCTCCTGAGACGTGGAGCGTTAAGGACACTTCTGTTAATATTGCAAGTGCATTCTATCAAGCTGCATCTACATCACACGAGATGCACCCCAGCAATCCCAATAACGCATGGGCCTCTGGATCCCAAACAAATCTCAACGTACCTCGAAGCACATCTGTCGACTACGAGAAAGAGACCCACTCTACCAGCAGTCGCCGACTAGCACCACCTCCAAATCGTCTTTCACAGCGCAATACGCGTAAGACCCTCTCAAAGCAGGACTCCACCACAACACATGTGTCCGACTCCGAAGGTGAAGACAATCAGGATTCCCAAGAACGTGACCGCAGTGCTCGCGGGAAGAGCCCCTTTGAGCAGGTCGTCGACGTTTCTAAGCGCGCTCTGACGTCCGCAACCTCCTTTTACATGCGTCCCCGCTCAACCGAGCCCGCAGATATATCAGCTGCCAACACAACCACAAATGGCAGAGACTCCAGTTATGACTACGTATCAGAGGAGCTAGAATATCAAGAGACAATGCGGCAAAAACTAGCTCGTGAGCAACAATGAACAGTCCGCTTCCACGAGGACCGCACCCAGCCAAAAGCGGAACCGGATGTCCGTCGATAACAAGGCGTATCAACCCTCACAATCTGATATGGAAGGGGACTCCGACGATGTTTCTGACGACGGACGGAAAAGAAGAAGAAAAATTAAGAAAAAGGATTTAGGTGGCGGTCCTCTGACGACGCTGCCAGTAGCAGGCTACGACAAGCGACGGAAGAAGAAGAGAGGCAGCAAGACTAATGTTGAGGGTGAAGAAGAAGACGAAAGTAGCAGCGAAAGTGAGCAGGTAAGAGTAAAGACTTTGGATCTCGGCAGTCTTTCCTCATTACCTTTCCATAGCGTTCTTCAGCCCAGCGCGCGTCGGTCACCCGCTCTGTGCCCCCACCTTCAAGGTCCTCGATACCTCGTGGATCTATCCCTCCCCATTCAGATGATCCAACTGACCTCGAAGTGGGGCTTGACTCCATTCCTGAGATGGATGAGCCTCCAGCTGTGGATGGCTTCTCCAACACATCTGACATGCCATCGCGATCATTCTCGGTCGGAGGTTTTTTAGGCCTAGCTGTGAACCGTACTGTACGGCTCCTTCTAGGTATCTTCGCTTGGGTCATACGCATTATTACCCTCCTGTCCCTCGTTCTTGGCCGCATATTTGGGTCGATATTTGACACCATCTTCATGCGTCCAGCCTCCTTTTTCTCACGCATCAAGGCGGGACCATTCATCACCCTTGCCAGATACCTTTTCGTCGCTGCTGCTCTCTATGCCGCTTGGCATCAGTTCCATGATCCTATCCTTCAAATGCTACCCATTCGCTCACCGCAACGCCAATATTACGCACCGGACACGCCGATCACGAACCTTGATGAACTTGGCGCTAGGCTTCAAAACATTGAAGCCGCTCTGTCTGGTCTTTCCCTTGACCAACAACGTGCTCGTGCCCAGCAAGATCTCGAGTCTCGTGCACATGGAGATGTCGTCAACCGAATTTTTGCTCTCGAGGCGCGCATTCGTGACGAGGCCAAGCGTGTTTCCGACACTGAAGCCCATCTCAAGTCATCTTCGAGTCAAGGTCTCGTTGACCTTAGACGGGAGGTTGAAGCCCTGCATTCTCAGCTAAGTGCTGTGGCATCTGCGCCCAGGGAGACTGTGATTTCAATGCCACCTCCTGTTAACGACGAAGAGGCACGAGCTAAGTTGAGAATTCTGGAGGAGCGACTCGGAAGTATCGAGGGTGGCGTAAAGGACGCCCTGGAGCAAGCCAAGAACGCTGCACATGCTCCAGTAAACGTACCTGCTGGCCCAGCTTGGTGGTCGAAGCTGGCATCGACTGTTGGCACCGGTGTTGGTCTGACCATCAAGTCCACAGATGGCTCTGACGTCACTTCGCTCATCTCCCAGCTCGTCGACAACGCCATTGCACGATATGGGACTCAAGATATCGTTTCTCGCCCTGATTTCGCGCTCCACTCTGGTGGTGCGCGTCCAATTCCCCATCTTACGAGTGGTACGCTTGAGTTGCGGCCAAGCACACTGCGAGGGCAGATCCTGGGTCTTATTACTGGCCATGGGTATGAAGTCGGCCGATCACCAATAACTGCTTTGCATCAGGATTTGCACAGCGGGAACTGCTGGCCCATGGCCGGGTCTTACGGTCAATTGGGCGTGATGCTTGCTTTCCCTGCTATCATCTCTGATATTACCATCGACCACGTCGCCAAGGAAGTCGCGTTCGATCTTAGCACGGCCCCCAAACACATGGAGATATGGGGTCAAGTAGAAGGCGGGGATAATTTAGCAAAAGTTACAGCATGGCACGCAGAACAAGCTGCGCGACGAGAGGCTGCAAAGGAGGCTGGTGAGGCTGTTTCTGAAGCGGATCTTGAGGACGACTATCCGGCTACGCTTCCCAGTGACGTTTCGTTTATCCGCCTTGCATCGTTCACGTATGATATTCACGCGCCTTCAAACATCCAAACCTTCCCCGTGCGTCAGGAAGTCCGCGATCTCTCTCTGGATTTCGGTATTGTGGCGCTTGTGATCAACGATAACTGGGGCAAAGACGGGTATACGTGTTTGTATCGCTTCCGCGTACATGGCGAGCGCCCTGGAGGTGGCTCGTTACCTTTCCCTGCTGAAAATTCATGACACTGACGACTTAAAAACGAGCGATCCTGGCGGTGTACATATGATATAATTTCTTTTATTTTTTTTGGGAGTCGTTCCTTGTGCTATGTTTACTATTTTATCTCTTTTATTTGTCGTATGGGCTACGTTGAAATCAAAGCATTTTCCGAGTATCTGGTGTCTCGTCATTATTTGATATCAACACTTGGGAACATTTCATTCAACTGCCCGATAAGCCGGGTATCAATATGTCATGCCGGTTGATTTTTGAGGCACGTGACTTCGACACACCCTTTCACGCGTCACGGAATTTTATGCTCCTCCCGATTCCCCCACAAATGATCGTTAGTTTTGATGAACATAACAGCCTAGGAATTTACGATATGGATTCTGGACTCGTACTCCAAGAAATGAGACTTTAGTTCAAATACACGTTAACGTTTGAAGTCGGTCTACCGGCTCGAGCTGAATACCATTGGAGTCATGACTCAGCACCCCTGGTCAGCCTCAGATATAAGACCCCCTGGCTTACTGTCTCGTCATATCCCTCTCTTTCATCCTATCTCAATTCATCTTTATAACTTATAACTTGAATATACACCATGACCGGTATAGATATTCACTATTTTCAAAGGCTCCCCCAGCGGCAACATCCTTGAGTCGACAACCCATAAAGACGGTCTCAAGTCTGATGAGGTCCTCCTCAAAATCACTCACGCCGGCCTCTGTGGTACAGATCTGCACTACAAGACTCATGACATCGTTCTCAGCCATGAGGGCGTCGGCATCGTGCAGGAGGTTGGTTCCGAGGTCACCACCTTCAAAAAGTATGTACCTTCTTTTAAACCCAAGAAAGTCAGAAATTAACACCATAAGCAGGGGCGACCGCGCTGGCTGGGGATACTTGCATAACTCCTGTGGGCACTGTGACGAGTGTTTCAGTGGAAATGAGATATTCTGCCCTGAACGCGCCATGTACGGGTTCGCTGATAAAGATCAAGGCGGGTTCGCCTCGCACGCTGTCTGGAAAGCTGGTTTCCTCTTCCATATTCCCGATAAGATCTCTCCTTCTCATGCAGCTCCTCTTATGTGCGCCGGCGGGACCGTCTTCAACGCTATGCACCTCTATGGCATGTTACCCACCGATCGGGTAGGTATTATCGGCGTTGGCGGCCTGGGACATCTCGCTATCCAGTTCGCTGCGAAGATGGGCTGTGAGGTCGTGGTGTTCTCCGGGACAAAAGAGAAAGAGAAAGAGGCGAAGGGGCTCGGTGCGACAGAGTTCTACACGACGAAGGACTTGGAGCAGAAGGTCGAGATAGGGGCCATCAAGCACCTCTTCGTCACAGCATCCAAGCAACCTGACTGGACATCGTACGTCCTTTTTGTGATCTTGTGACTGCATCGTTTAACAAGCCTCGTATTATCTGCAGCTACCTCAATATTCTCGCGCCGCGTGCCACGATATACCCGCTCACTGTGTCCACTGACGCCCTCACCTTACCGTATATGCAGCTCGTCGGTAATGGCATCACGGTCCAGGGCAGCATCTGCCCTTCGCGTGGAACGCATGTAAAGATGCTGAGGTTTGCAGCACTTCACAACATCAAGCCCATCGTTGAGGAGTTCCCCTTGACTAAGGCTGGCATAGAGAAGGCGATGGAGAAACTTGAGAATGGAGATGTGAGGTACCGTGCGGTCTTGGTCGCTGAGAAGTGACAGTTAATGGTGACAACTTTGATTCTAAATTGTGCATTGGGTATCATAGCGTGTATGAGTCTTCACCTATCATATGCCCTAATTCAAATAATTCTTCTCCGTGGTCGATGACATGGATCCTGCAAATACTACTCAGCATGAGCGTTCGGATAGTCTTCTTGGACCATAACATCTCGCGGCAACGTCGTATTTGCAGCGAATGGTCGTCCCATTCTAGACTGACGTAACCGGCCCGGGGATCGAGAATAGATTGCGCTGTACGTTACAAACGCAATCCGAATCGGTGAAAAGGACTCTGGTTGAAGAATGGTGTATCATTAGCTTTTTTCATTGCGAGCCAACGTCCAAAATACTTCACAATGCCTCGTACCAGGCTCAGTGACATGAAACCCGAAACTCGCGCCATCTGCCAATCGAACTTGCGTGATTGTGGACCTTGACAAAACGATACGGGAAGATAGATCCGCGGACAAGTTAAAACTCCATATGTTCAATATCTTACACAAATTATCTCAAAATTCAGGATCATTTCTCCTGACCATAGACCTCGCGTTACTACAAACCCTTGGAAGCCATGATATCAGCTGCCTCTACAAGCTTCTTCTCGATGCCAGGCTCGCGCGAAGAGTGCCCTGCATCTGGGATGATGTGCAGAGTAATTTCTGGCCAAGCCCGTTTCAGTGCCCATGCAGTAGTCGCCTAGCAATCCAAGCGTGTCAGTAAGGGCATCTCTAGGAAACATAAAAAATCTGCATACGGGGCATACGACATCGTATCTTCCTTGAACCACGATAGTTGGTATGTGACGGCTAGGAACAGTGAGAAGGTATCAAGGACGTGCGTAGAATGCACATACATCTTCTCGAGTTCCTGCTTCTCAAGCAATTGACCATCACGCATGAAGCCCTGCATAGTCACTGTAAATCGCGATCGAGATAACTCTCCGACTGACAAACCTCATTGACGAAATAGTGGTTTTCAATCCGAGCAAATGCGCTGAATGTTGATTCAGCAGAAAATCGAACTCGCCACTGAGTCCACGTACTTTGCAAAGTCACCTTTCTCCGCTTGGGCGACAGCATCCGCACTTACAATCAACCTTGATGTAGCCATCCTTGCAGTATAATGTCAGCAACGAGTGTAGTACCAACGAAGCATCATCTACTTACTCCCACTTTGCCCACGCCTTTGCGGCGGCCAGACGGATATTTGCGTCCGAAGAGTTCAAGCGGCTGTGATACGCCTTCATCATGTCGTGCCGTTCAGCCTCTGGAATCGGGGCCAGGTATTCTTCCCTATACAACTGGGTCACCCGACAATGAAGGTTTGTTGTTACTATGTTGTATTACCATTGTTCGGGGAAAAGATGGGAAGCGCCATCCTGATAGAAGAATCGCAGTTCGCTGAAAGAGGTGGGAAGTAGTCAGTATAGTCTACTTTAGCTTATCAAGTGAAGCATACCTCTGTCTTAGCGTGAAGATTCCGCTTTGGAAGAATTGGTGGTTTGGACCCGCCTAGTATATAACCAACATCATTGAGGCTCACCGGAGAACGAGGGACTTGACTCTGTCTGGATGTGTCTATGTAACGAACCGACTGCTTAAACAAAACATTGTATAGAAAGAAGCCGGTCACAAACCTGGGCGTATACAAGGGAGAGCGTAGAGCCCTGCACGTCTGTGTCAGTGATGAAGTCTAGTAGAAAATGCACAGACACAGACCCAGCTACCGCCGAATACGTGCCATTTCGTGACATCTAGTTTCTTCCTAAGGACCTCGATGTCTTTCACGAGGTCCCACGTAGTATTGTTCTCCAATTCCGCGCTCCTACACAATTTCATGCCGGAGCGATGTCAAGGAACCGATGGAACTTACGGAGTGGACTTTCCTGCACCCCGTTGATCAAACAGCACAATCTACAACATTGAGAGAGTACAATTCATATGAATAGGAAGATGTCCTCTGTTAAATGACTGTTACTTACTTTATACTTCTCAGGGTTAAAGAACTCTCTATCCTTCGGATCTGTTCCGCCTCCTGGACCCCCGTGGAGGAAGACAACTAGTCAGAAGTTAATAACCTTGATCCGAACTGCATAAAATATCATCGGAGCACGTACCTGGATCGCCTTGCTTGTTTCCACTCACTTCATAACTTCCGATCGATTATCATTTAAGTTACATCAGATGATCAGAAAACATACTAAAGTTGATGTTTCTCTGAATTCGCACCCGGGAAAAAACCAGACTCGTAGGGCTTGATGGGAGGGTACATCGCTGCAGGTTTCGACAGAGTGGTGGACGTTGAAGATGTAGGCCGTGAGCACAAGGTAGAAGACAGAATTATCCTTGTGACCGGCCTAAAACTGCTGGGAGTAGATAAGATGAATTTACGCTTTTGGTCGGAGGCCCTGCAGAAACACCTGATCACTGAGGCCATTTGAAATTGTAATAGGTGGCCCAAATTGTTGTCCTCGTGCAGTGTGCACGTGGTCATCGAGTCCGCCGTGTCTTCGCTATTTAGTTCAACTCGCTCTGCATTCGAATGTATCCAACTTGAATCTATGGTTCCCGTCTATCAGTCATCTCCAGGTAAGCAGACAGAAACCTGAGCTATCTGCGTCTCTGACGCTAGCCTTGTTTTTATCTTATTTTTAAAACAGGTCATCAATGCCCGATTGCTTATCATTCGTGTAGTTGGAGGACGGACAATTACACATGAGCGATCGACCTGCGATGCTGCGGCGCCTACGTGTGTAGCATTCTCTGGGACTGTGTTGGACACGATCAACAATGAACATGGAGTGGATGACTGCACTCGCTCGGCAGGACACAGTGTTCAGTTGCATTCTTGTAAACACGGCAGAAGTAAGTAAAGGTATGTGTGAAGTCAATGTCGATTTGTAGTCTGTATATGTATGTACTGGATCGAATAATCTTCATTTGAGCTGCAGCCTGTTGAAGGTCTTGGAGCAGGAGCAGATCGCGATATGCATTCTCATCTTGCAATCACCATCCCCTCTTCAAGTTTCAGCCCATCGCTACAGTACAACGTCGCGCAGAGGAACTCACATATAATCATCAGTAAACGAGCCATGCCTCTGCTGCCTGCAGAGCCGAGTCCCATTCATCAGGCCCTTTCTCCCAAGACTGCACGCTCTCCACCTCGTCCCTGCCCAGCTTAAACTCATTGTAAAGGTGTGGAAACATGCCCTCCCCTCCGCGCGGACCGCCCACCTCTGCCTTTGGGTCCTCCCACTTGATGTTCTTCTCGACAGGGTCGTAAGGGATGCGGAGTACGTAGACTTTGACGTGATCTTTGTAGAACAGTTTGAGTGTATTGGGGATTTGGCGTGCGGTGGAGAGGTGGATGAAGCCGGATGTCTGGTCGAGGTCGCTCACGGGGAGCCGATCGGGCAGCGGATCAGGTGGGGCTGCTGCTGATGAAATGAGCTTGTAAACGTAGGTTGGATTGGCATCTGTTGGTGAGGCCATGGTGTTTTGGGAGATTAGGCTTGAGTTCGACTCAGGACGGATTCAGAATGTGCAATGCAAGCTTATCGATGGGATGGACTAAGAATGGACACGAGCACATTGCACAACAGGAAGATAATCTGATAGCCACATGGACAGTCATATTACAACTTGTAGAAAGGTATATATATAGTGAATCCGCCTGTAACCTTATCGAGGCTCATACCATGTCTTTCAACGTCTTCTCCTTTGGCTTATACATAATCTTCCAGAAAGTAAGAACTGGCCACACTGCACGCCGCAGGAATGGAGCATCGCGGTCGTGGAATGAGCTTTGCGTCTGAAGCGTAACAACGATGTAAATTGTGAACATCGTGAGCGACAATGTGACCTCGAGGTAGTGGGCAAGCGTCTCGTAACCCCCAGAACTGAACTCTTCGACGTTCATTCCAAACACAGACTGAGAGTATGTGGAGTCAGATGAGTTCCGTATTCAAGAACCTCCATTCTTACCGCTAAGAAGCTTGCAGGCAGGAAGACCATCGTGAGGTACGAGATCTAAAAGTTTGTTAATGTCCGGTAAGTCACTTGAGTTTCAGAAAAGAAACATACCTGTTTCATAGCTGCCGAGTCCCTGACTGTCGCCTCCGTCAGTTTTCGCGTCTGCCTACTATCGTTGAGATTAACAGTCGCAAAAGCAAGGGCCATTGCATTCTTCAGTCGGTCGGACAGCATCGCACGTCGCTTTTCTAGACGATCAATTTCACTGAGTAGATTCTCGGACTCCTTTTTCATAAGGTCCTTTGATTCGTCGCGCTCGGAGACGCTAGTAGACTCCATGGCCGGATTGCGGGTCTTCGCGATAAATTCTACTGATACCTTGAAATTATGAAGGAGTGATTGATAGTGCAAGAGATGCGCCTGGATGACATGAAGCTCGCGCGTGGACTCCGTGTTATCATTCGTTTGCAATACCGTCGACTCCTAAATGTTCTTTAGCAACACCACTTTCACTCTGAATGAGGACTACATACCAGTTCACTAACATGGGTGTACAGCAGCTCAAAGGACTCATCCCATGCATATAGTGGATACCATAAAATCGCAAGGAAGAAGAACGTTGGGTCTTTTGACTTGGCAAATATTTTTTGCCAGTAGACACTGCCCCCTACGAGCTGCATGAGCGAGTGAAGGCGCTTCGCGGATGTCCGGCACCACGTAGACTCGGGATGGTAGGAGATGATGGTGCTTGTCTTTACGTCCCGGACCATGTGAATTGCGAGGAGGTCGATGAAGAGCATGCTGCCGTCTAGGACGGACGTTGGAATGTGAATATAAGGATCTTGATACACATACCACTCATAGGGAAAGGAGCCTGGGTGTTGATCTGAGCATCTGCTGAAGGTGAACAGTATGACTACGACAGATGATGGAACAGATGATGGGTCGCTTACTCGGGGGTCGCGATAGCGATGTTAGAGAGGTGAGTGATGATCGAGAATTTTTGCGCAGCGTTCGTACAAATGGCAGGGTAATAGTAATGTCTATCGCACAACATCAGCATGGGATCCAAAATGGAAGATTTAGACTTACGATCTCCTTTTTTATGGACAGGTGCTTCCTGATATCGTGAGGGTATCCAATTTATGGAGGACGTGAAAAAGAATGGTTCGATGTTGTATCTAAGTATGAGGAGCCTCAGCAAGTAGATAAGTAAAAAAGCTACTACATACGTTGTGCCCAGCATGCGCAAGACTGGCGAGGTTAAGTCATCCACAAATATCGATCGTACTCCGATATTTTCTGGTCGCTGCAAATCATCTTACGCCACAACTAGCATACGAGGAACGAGAGACTCACCTCCTTCTGTAATATATCCCAAAACCCATCCTCATGTTCAATTCCCACTACCATGGTATCACCATTTCCTGCGAGATCTGGACATCCAAAACTCCCGTCATCACGCACGTCCATCCAGTAAATTGTGCTAGACTTATTCCCCAGACACTTTTCGAGCATCTTACTACGCCCTACTTGGTCTGGAGTCCAGTTCCCGAACTGATTCTGAGGGTACCCCCGCCAGGATGGATCGATGACAGTCGTAGAGCTCGTAGAATCTACATCAAAGTCCATCCATGGCCATGGTCCTGATGGTGCCGCATGTCGATATCTGGGGAGAGCGTCAGTCAGCAAAAGTAAGGAAAATAAGAGGACAGAGCTTACGGCGGCGCAGGCACCGCTGGTGGCATAGCTGTATTACCATCCTTGAAGTTCTGGAGAGCAATGTCCTCTAAGTCGTCGTGGCGCACTCTAAAGGCGGTGGCCAATGCTTTGACTGCCATGATGTCTTGGCGGTTGGAATCAGTTCATGCAGGAATTGTCGTGAGGAAGGGGGACGATGAATATATATTATGGTGAACAGGCGCCCGGCGCTGCGCTGCGTCCGCCCTGGACGTGGTAATTCATCTGCATCAACATTTAATCAGGACTGTCATAGACGCCTTCAATTGATACGTTGCCTTTTCCAACCAATTTTCAAATTCAAAGTCAGTGTATTTATGTAAGTACTGTAGCTAGTATGCTCCAGTGACTGTATCATTAAGTTTGGGTTCTCTTCAAGTTCAAGCACACAAGAGGCTTGGCTCAATTACACTTCGTGAGACCATTAGATACGTGATGACATGAGGCATATAAGGGCATCACTCGAAAAAAAGGGTGCATAAGTAATTGAAACCAGGTCAAGATCCGAGGGCTACGTACGTGACTGGAAGAAGTGAGGCAAACCGAGCCCGCGAGCCTTTCACAATTTATATCTAAGTATTTCTTGAGAGTAGTTCTCATGGGCTAGACTCAGACTTAGAGACTAGTACTTGATGCGACGAGACATAAACTTACCACATGTTGATCAGGCCCAGGTCGGATCCAGGTGCCTCGCCCGGGCGCAACCGTGCACCACCATCATTCCATCATGGACCACTCAGCACTAGCAGCATTGGTAACACCAGGCAGCGAGCTTCCCGATCGAATCCGCGCTGTGTTATACTCTGTCTTCGCTATTATTTTCATAGTTCAACTCGCTCTGCATTCGAAATTCTCCAATCTACGCTTCCTGTCTATCAGCCATGTCCAGGTAAGCAGACGGAAACCTAAACTCTGATAGCTTATTTTCAAAACAAGGCATTGTCCAATTACTTATCATCATTCGTGTAGTTCGACTCGAGTGGCCGACCCGCGATGCTGCAGCGCCTACGTCTATAACATGCTCTGGGACTGTGGACACAATCAGCATTGAGCGGATAATTGCACTAGTTCAGCAAGACGGTATTCAGTAGCATTCTTCTTTGGTAAACACGGTGGAGCAGCAGCTCCAGCCAGTGTGTGCTAGGAATGTGATGTGCTGGAATGGTTCGTGTCTGTCTACAACATCGCCACTATGAGCCCTCGTGTGCTAACTAAGGCTAACACCAACCCTTCACTCTCTCCTGTTCGGTCTCTACTAGCTCCCTACATTGACTACCCCCTGCTAGGGGGTGCCCCACTCCAATGGCAGAAGTAAGTGTACCATAAAGGTATGTGTGAAGTTGGTGTCAATTTGTAGTCTGTATACGTATGTACTAGATCGAATAATCTTCATTTGAGCTGCAGCCTGTTGAAGGTCTTGGAGCAGAAACGGAACACGATATGCTTCCTAATCTTACAATTACCATCCCCTCTTCAAGTTTCAGCTCATCGCTACAGTATGACGCCACGCAGAAAATTTCACATATAATCAGTACATGAGCCATGCCTTTGCTGCCTGCAGAGCAGAGTCCCATCCATCAGGCCCTTTCTCCCATGCACGCTCTCCACCTCGCCCTTGCCCAGCTTGAACTCATTGTAAAGGTGTGGAAACATGCCCTCCCCTCCGCGCGGACTGCCCACTTCTGCCTTTGGATCCTCCCATTTGATGTTCTTCTCGACAGGGTCGTAAGGGATGCGGAGTACGTAGACTTTGACGTGATCTTTGCAGAAGAGTTTGAGTGTATTGGGGATTTGACGTGCGGTGGAGAGATGGATGGAGCCGGATGTCTAGTCGAGGTTGCTCATGGGGACCCGGTCGGGCAGGGGATCAGGCGGGGCTGCTGCTGATGAAATGAGCTTGTAAACTTAGGTTGGATTAGCATCTGATGGTGAGGCCATGGTGTTTTAGGAGATTAGGCTTGAGCCTGACTGAAGGCGGATTCAGATTGTGCAATGCAAGCTTAGTCGATGGAATGGACCAAGAATAGACGCGAGCACATTGCACAACTAGAAGGTAATCTGATAGCCACATAGACAGTCTCACACAGTAAACGGCGTCAGTAGTCATTACAACTCGTAAAACGGCATATATATCATGAGTCCACCATGAACCCTGTCGACGCTCACACCATGTCTTCCTCCGTCTTCTCCTTTAGCTTATACACCATCTTCCAGAAAGTAAGAACTGGCCACACTGCACGCCGCAGGAATGGAGCACGGGGGTCGTGGAATGTGCTCTGCGTCTGAAACGTGATAACGACGTAAATTGTGAGGAGCGTGAGCGACACGGTGACCTCGGCGTAGTGGGCAAGCGTCTGTAGACCTCCATTACTGAACTCTCCGACGTTCATTCCAAACACAGACTGAGAGCATGTGGAGTTAGATGCGTTCCGTACTAAAGAACCTCCATGCTTACCGCTAAGAAGCTTGCCGGCAGGAAGATCATTGTGAGGTACGAGATCTAAAAGTTTGTTAATGTCCGGGAAGTCACTTTAGTTTCAGAAAAGAAGGATACCTGTTTCATAGCTGCCGAGTCCCTGACCGTCGCCTCCGTCAGTTTTCGCGTCTGTTTGCTGTCGTTGAGATTAACAGTCGCAAAAGCAAGCTCCATCACATTCTTCAGTCGGTTAGTCAGCATCTCACGTCGCTTTTCTAGACGATCGATTTCGCTGATTAGATTCTTGGACTCCGTCTCCATCAGTTTCTTTGATTCGTCGCGCTCGGAGACGCTAGTAGACTCCATGGCCGGATTTTGGGTGTCCGCGATAAATTCTACTGATACCTTGAAGTAATGAAGGAGTGATTGATAGTGCAAGAGATGCGCTTGGAGGACATGAAGCTCGCGCGTGGACTCCGTGTTGTCATTCGTTTGCAATACCGTCGACTCCTGAATGTTCTTTAGCAACACCACTTTCACTGTGAACGTGGACTACATACCAGTTCACTAACATGGGTGTACAGCAGCTCAAAGGACTCATCCCATGCATATAGTGGATACCATAAAATCGCAAGGAAGAAGAACGTTGGGTCTTTTGACTTGGCGAATATTTTTTGCCAGTATACGCTGCCCCCTACAAGCTGCATGAGCGAGTGAAGGCGCTTCGCGGATGTCCGGCACCATGTGGACTCGGGATGGTAGGAGATGATGGTGCTTGTCTTTACGTCCCGGACCATGTGAATTGCGAGGAGGTCAATGAAGAGCGTGCTGCCATCTAGGACGGACGTTTGAATGTGGATATAAGGATATTGATACACATACCACTCATAGGGAAAGCAGCCTGGGTATTGATCTGACTGCCTGTCGAAGGTGAACAGGATGACTACGACAGATGATGGGTCGCTTACTCCGGGATTGCGATAGCGGTGTTGGAGAGGTGGGTGTTGGAGAGGTGAGTGTTGATCCAGCGTCTGCACGCAGCGTTCGTACAAATGGCAGGGTAATAGTAATGTCTATCGCACAACATCAGCATGGGATCCAAAATGGAAGATTTGGACTTACGATCTCCTTTTTCATGGATAGGTGCTTCCTGATATCGTGAGGGTATCCAATTTATGGAGGACGTGAAAAAGAATGGTTCGATGTTGTATCTAAGTATGAGAAGCCTCAGCAAGTATATGAGCAAAAACACCACTACATACGTTGTGCCCAGCATGCGCAAGACGGGCGAGCTTAAGTCATCCACAAATATCGATCGCACTGGGATATTTTCTGCTCGCTGCAAATCATCTTACGCCATAACTAATATTCGAGGAACGAGAGACTCACCTCCTTCTGTAATATATCCCAAAACCCATCCTCATTTTCAGTTCCCACTACCATGGTACCACCATTTCCTCCGATATCTGGGCTTGTAAAACTCCTATCATCATGCACATCCATCCAGTAAACGGTGCTAGACTTATTCATCTGGCACTTTTCGAGCATCTTACTACGCCCTACTTGGTCTGGAGTCCAGTTCCCGAATTGGTTCTGAGGGTACCCCCGCCAGGATGGATCAATGGTATGCGTAGAGGTCGTAAATTCTATGTTGAAGTCCATCCATGGCCATGGGCCCGATGGTGCGGCATGTCGATATCTTGGGAGAGCACAAGTCAGCAAAAATAAGGAAAATAAGAGGACAGAACTTACGGCGGCGCAGGCACCGCAGGTGGCATAGCTGTCTTACCATCCTTGAGAGGAATATCATTTGAGTCGTCGTGGCGCACTCTAAAGGCGGTGGCCAATGCTTTGGCTGCCATGATGTCTTAACGGTTGGAATCAGTTCACGCAGGAATTGTCGTGAGGAAGGGGGACGATGAATATATATATTTATGGTAGACAGGCGCCTAGCGCTACGCTGCGTCCGTTCTGAACGTGGTAATTCATCAACGTTCTCGTTAACTAATTTTCAAATTCGAAGACAGTACTGTATATATGCTCCCTGCACTACATGAAGCACTTCGAATGCCTGTATTATTTTATGTCCTCTTCAAGCACACAAGAGGCTTGCCTCAATTAGACTTCGTGAGACGTACTTACGTGATGGCATGAGGCCCATCATGCGGTTGATAAGTGATTGAAAGATCCGAGGGCTACTCTAAATCAACCGTGAATGCAGGCAAACCGAGCCCGCGAGCCTTTCGCAATATATGGACTCTTGAGAGTAGTTGGAACGAATCTTGAGACAAGCTCTCATGAGCTAGACTCAGACGAGCTCAGAAACTAGTACTTCACTTCTCGGCGACGGCGAGTAAAACTTACGGCATATTAATATTGATCAGGTCCAGGCGCCTCGCCCGGGCCTAACCGTGCGCCACCATCATTCCATCCAGGATCTAATTATTTGGGTAGACACCCGTGACTCTTCCTCGAACACGATGCAGCGAATCTATCGTAAAAAACCTCCACGCTACAAACGCCTCCATCAAAGCATTTCTCCAAATCAGTAGCCGAATTACTGTGATGATACTCTTCCGAAGTTCCCTTCTCTTTCAGCTTCGCACGGCGGGACACGCACCATTGAACAAACTCTTTTATAGCATCACAAAAGTCCCCAAGTCCCATTTGGCAACAATGCTACCAGCGCGAAGAGACCGCCCACCACTTCCTGATCGCCTGTCCAGTGTACTTATGCAGACAGCGCCACTGTGTACCCTAAAATGAACTAGGCCCCCGAGCTAGTCAACCTCAAAATTCTGTTGGACAACCGAAATACATCAAACCATTGCTCTACTTCATCGCGTGCACGCACAGACTGGAACAGATATTGGAGTCATACCACCTGCATATGACGACGAAGAAGAAGTATGAACGACGAACCTATACCCCATCGCCTTTAGCTGGCTTTAACTGTCCTCCCATCTACCTGATCCCCCCCCCTCCCCCCGAAAAACAACCGTGATTTCCATCCAGTAGCAATTGAGACGACTACGGCTTGTGAGCGCTAAATCGCAGTGACAGTGGTCCTGTCACCAGCCCTTGGCAACTTCTTTGGCAGTCTTGTCGAAGGACTCATCTCAAGTTGAAGTACTAAATTTAAAATATCCGAATCTCCCTCAGGTCCTAGGTCTATAACAGTCTTTGCCCGTATCATAAATGTACGACCTTGGGGTGTTCATCCCACAAGCGATATGCTTCTGACCAACCAAAACTTAAGTGAATGAAAGAGCGCCAATATTATTAGCTCAGCACAGTTGGCCGTCGGATAGCCTGTTCAGATACCCGGTGCCCGTTCGACCGTGAACGATAACGCCTCCAATTGGGCCCTGAGTCAACTGCGAGTTCCAGGGCGAAATGAATAACGGCTGGGCAACTTGGGAGGCGTTTGTATGCTGATACCGTTCGGGTAGTCAGGGGAGTCTGGACTTGATTTTAGGCGATCGTCACAGTGTCAGGCCGCATCCGAGTCTGCGGTGAGAGAGCGCAGTATTGGGTGCCTGCCTTCAAGTTTGTCACGGCGATCTAAGAATTGATATTCAATATTCAATGACGATAGGCTCACAATTATAGACCCCCAACATGCTGCTGCATGTGTCTTTAAGAACGCTCAAGCCAACGTGTACAGGCACGCTTGATGGACACGCTCGAAGTTCCTAGAACTCACCGACCCGCTGATGAGAGCTGCTGAGTCAGAGCTCTTGCGCTCCTCCTTTCATTTTTCGATGGGAGGACGGTGCACTTACTGCAACGGTTTGATGCTGCTTAGCTTGCTAGCAGCCCTGCTCAACTAAAATTGTGTTCAAAGTCAACAGCTTACAGTCAAATCATCCTCGGTCATCCTCTCGTAAATTAGTACATACGCCAATACGAGGACTCTGATGACGATGACGGTGACGATTTAGTGCTGCTCGGCCTGCTGGCTGCTCAAAAAATTAATCAAGCCGTGTTCAAACTTAAAGTCTATTTGACAGCTTACTTATAAGTCATCCTTAGTCACCCTCTCGCGAATTAATCGTAGCGCCGTGTACGCGCCAGTTCCCGACTCCGCTGGCTTGTTCCGACTACTGTCTCTTCTCCAGCTGGCGTTGCTCTTTAACTCATAGACATCGTAGTGTCCTCAGTCTTGTCCTGTTGTATTACATGAATATTCTGGTCAAAGATTTCACTGCGATCCCGATTACCAAGCGTCTTGATGCCATATAGCCACGAGTGATGATCACTATATCGCTATTCAAGTGGCAGCCATATGCATTTCCTGGCGTTTCTATACAGATACGAACATGGTTGGCAATCATGGTATCGGACCCGTATTCTTCACACTCACCTTGCCTGAGCAGTGCCTATTTGTAGAGCCACCCAATCGATCAATATTTATCTGTCTTCCACTCGAGTCCATCGCTTTGTAACCGATTGCCTGCAATGTGGTCTGAGACATGCCACTTGGAGTGGTATCCCGCCGACTTCTGACTGAAGTCAACTTTTGCGACGGGATAAGTTTGTGATGCTCAGACAAAGTCAACAAATCATAAAACAATGCTTGAACAACAGCGGACCCATACTCAAACTCCAATATGCATGTATGAATTCCGAGGTTAGCACTGGGAATGGATTGACGTAAGGAGAGTATGCCAGCTAGATGTCACATAACACAGGAGTGCCACAAGTTGCAGGTATAAACGCAAGCGCGGATGTGGCAGACCAAAACGTTAGATGTCTTGGAGTGAGAGCGAGCATGTAGCATTGGCCGGTCGAGCAAAGGCAGTGCGTGGATACAGTCACATAAGGTGGCAAGCTTGACCTTGCGTAGGTGACGAACGAGACCCTCGGTAGGCAACGACAATCAAGGTGCCACGCCATCACCAACACAATGATAGACATAAGTAGGAGGGGCAGGAATGTGCAGTACTGCAGCCACCTCAGAGCTAAAACGATTTCAAGGAAAGCACACAGCAGTGGCAGAAATCCACGTTTAATCGGAAGCTGCACAGATGCGAATTCACGCAAGAGATCCAGAACAGACTTCGCCAAGAATGATGCACGTAGTTGAAGGAAGTGGTGGCAAATAGCGGCGAGAAAGTTGGATTTGGTGCACCGAGCGACAGATAGATCTGGAACACCTGAGAAGACTAAGATAGAGGTAAAGCCAAGAGGATCCAGGTGACATCTGATGTTCTTTTCACAGCAATAGAACCAAAGGAGATGCCATTCTAATAAGTGCAAAAAAGAAACAGCTTTGCACGAACCAAGGGAGAGTCGACGGATGATGGAACAGTGATGATAACCAGCGCTCTACTAACAGATCCAAAGCGGTGTGAAACGGTTGATTTCACCTAACCTAACACATTCCCACAGTTGTTGCTGACATAAGGAATTCCCGCACAGAGGTTTCCTTCCTACAGAACCCTCCCCACTAAACCGTGGGAGTCGGGAATAGTTCAACTCGCTCTGCATTCGAATGTCTCCAATCTACATATAGTTACCATCTATCACTCATCTCCAGGTGAGTGGCCACAGACAGAAACTTAAGCTATCTGCATGTCTGATGCTAGCTTCGATTTTATCTTATTTTCAAAACAGCGTATTGCCCAATTGCCTATCATCATTCATGTAGCTGGAGGATGGACAATTCCATATGAGTGGTCGACCCGCGTTGCTGCAGCGCCTACGTCTATAACATGTTCTGGGACTGTGTTGCACACAATCAACGTTCAGTGGCAATTGCACTGGCTCAGCAGGACAGTGTTCAGTTGCATTCTTGTAAACACGACAGGAGTAAGTAAAGGTATGTGTGAAGTCAATGTCAATTTTTAGTCTGTATACGTATGTACGGGATCGAACAATCTTCATTTGAGCTGCAGCCTGTTGAAGGTATTATATGCATTGTCATCTTGCAATCACCATCCACTCTTCAAGTTTCAGCTCATCCCTACAGTACGACGTCACGCAACAGAACCCGCATATAATCATCAGTAAGCGAGCCATGCCGCTGCTGCCCGCAAAGCCGAGTCCCATCCATCAAGCCCCCTCTCCCAAGATTGCACGCTCTCCACCTCGTCCTTGCCCAGCTTGAACTCATTGTAGAGATGTGGAAACATGCCCTCCCCTCCGCGCGGACCGCCTACCTCTGCCATTGGGTCCTCTCACTTGATGTACTTCTCGACAGGGTGGTAAGGAATGCGGAGTACGTAGACTAACTAGATTTTGACGTGATCTTTATGGAAGAGTTTGAGTGTATGGAGGATTTGGCGTGCGTTGGAGAGGTGGATGAAGCTGGATGTCTGGTCGAGGTCGCTCACGGGGAGCCGATCGGGGAGGCGATCAGGTGGGGCTGTTGCTGATGAAATGAGCTTGTAAACGTAAGTTGGATTGGCCCATCTGATGGTGAGGCCATGGTGTTTTTGGAGATTAGGTTCGAGCTTGACTCAGGACGGACTCAAATTGTGCAATGCAAGCTTATCGATGGAATGGACCAAGAATGGGCACGAGCACATTGTACAACTGGGATAGCCACATGGACGGTCACACAGTAAACGGCGTCAATGCTATAGTCATTACAATTTGTAGAAAGGTATATATATCGTGAATCCGCTGTGAACTTTATACTATGTTTTTCACCGTCTTCTCCTTTGGCTTATACATATACACAATCTTCCAGAGAGTAAGAACCGGCCACACTGTACGCTGCATGAATGGAGCATCGGGGGCGTGGAATGAGCTTTGCGTCTGAAGCGTGATAACGACGTAAATTGTGAAGAGCGTGAGCGACAATGTGACCTCGAGGTAGTGGGCAAGCGTCTGGTAACCTCCACTACTGAACTCTTCGACGTTCATTCCAAACACAGACTGAGAGTATGTGGAGTCAGATGGCTTCCGCACTCAAGAACCTCCGTACTTACCGCTAAGAACGTTGCCGGCAGGAAGACCATTGTGAGGTATGAGATCTGAAAGTTTGTTAATGTCCGATAAGTCACTTTAGTTTCAGAAAAGAAGGATACCTGTTTCATGGCTGCTGAGTCCCTGACTGTCGCCTCCGTCAGTCTTCGCGTCAGCTTACTGTCGATGAGATTAACAGTCGCAAAAGCAAGGTCCATCACATTCTTCAGTCGGTTGGTCAGAATCGCACGTCGCTTTTCTAGACGATCAATTTCGCTGAGTAGATTGTCGGACTCCGTCTTCATAAGTTCCTTTGATTCATTGAGCTCGAACGCGTCACTGGACTCCATGGCCGGATTGTGTGTCTTCGCGATAAATTGTACTGATACCTTGAAGTTATGAAGGAGTGATTGATAGTGCAAGAGATGCGCTTGGAGGACATGAAGATCGCGCGTGAGCTCCGTGTTATTCGTTTGCAATACTTTTGACTCCTGAATATTCTTTAGTAACACCACTTTCACTCTACACGAGGAATACATACCAGTTCACTAACATGGGTGTACAGCAGCTCAAAGGACTCATCCCATGCATATAGTGGATACCACAAAATCGCGAGGAAGAGGAACGTCGGGTCTTTTGACCTGTCGAATATTTTTTGCCAGTACACACTGTCCCCTACAAGCTGCATGAGCGAGTGAAGGCGCTTCGCGGATGTCCGGCACCATGTGGACTCGGGATGGTAGGAGATGATTGTGCTTGTCTTTACGTCCCGGACCATGTGAATTGCGAGAAGGTCGATGAAGAGCGTGCTGCCATCTAGAAAAGACGTTAGAATGCGAATATAAGTAAGGATCTTGATACACATACCACTCATAGGGAAAGGAGCCTGGGTGTTGATCTGATTATCTGCTGAAGGTGAACAGGATGACTACGACAGATGATGGGACAGATGATGGGACGCTTACTCGGGGGTTGCGATAGCGGTGTTGGAAAGGTGGGTGCTGATCGAGAATTTTTGCGCAGCGTTCGTACAAATGGCAGGGTGATAGTGATGTCTATCGCACAACATCAGCATGGGACCCAAAATAGAAGATTTGGACTTACGATCTCCTTTTTTATGAACAGGTGCTTCCTGATATCGTGAGGGTATCCAATTTATGGAGGACGTGAAAAAGAATGGTTCGATGTTGTATCTAAGCATGAGGAGCCTCAGAGCAAGTAGATAAGTAAAAAAAAACCACTACATACGTTGTGCCCAGCATGCGCAAGACCGGCGAGGTTAAGTCATCCACAAATATTGATCGCACTCGGATATTTTCTGCTCGCTGCAAATCATCTTGCGCCATAACTAGCATACGAGAAACGAGAGACTCACCTCCTCCCGTAATATATCCCAAAACACATCCTCATGTTCAATTCCCACTACCATGGTATCACCATTTCTCCCGAGATCTGGACATCCAAAACTCCCGTCATCACGCACATCCATCCAGTAAATTGTGCTAGACATATTCCCCAGACACTTTTCGAGCATCTGACTACGCCCTACTTGGTCTGGAGTCCAGTTCCCGAACTGGTTCTGAGGGTACCCCCGCCAGGATGGATCAATGGCAGTTGTGGACTCCGTAGAGGTCGTAAATTCTATGTTGAAGTCCATCCATGGCCATGGTCCCGATGGTGCGGCATGTCGATATCTGGGGAGAGCATAAGCCAGCAAAAATAAGGAAAATAAGAGGACAGAACTTACGGCGGCGCAGGCACCGCAGGTGGCATAGCTATCTTACCATCCTTGAGGTTTTGAAGTGCAATGTCCTCTGAGTCGTCATGGCGCACTCTAAAGGCGGCGGCCAATGTTTTAATTGCCATGATGTCTTAGCGGTTGGAATTAGTTCATGCAGGAATTGTCGTGAGGAAGAGGGACGATATATTTGCGATATATACTACGGTAGACAGGCGCCCAGCGCTCCGTCCGTTTTCGACGTGGTAACTCATCAGCGTTTCATCAATCAGGACATAGATGGGCCTTCAGTACTTCAGTTGATACGCTGCCTTTTTCACCCAATTGTCAAATTCAAGGTTACCTTCACAGTACTGAAGTACTGTAGCTATGTTCCCTGTAAAGTTACCCTACGGTATTATTTTACTGAATTAAGTTTGGATGTGCCCACCTGTCCTCCTCAAGCACACAAGAAGAGGCTAAGCTGCCTCGATTAGACCCTGAGATACATGAGGCATGTAAGGCCTTCGTGTGCAAAAGAAGAGTTCATAAGTGATTGAAACCCAGATCCGAGGTCTACTCTAATATTAATTGCAAATCACACGTGACTGGAAGAAGTCAGGCAAACCGAGCCCGCGACCCTTTCGCAATGTGTATCACTCTTGAGAGTAGTTGGAACGAATGTTGAGACAAGCTGGATCGACACTCAAACTCAGAGGATCATCTTCACTAAATTTGATTAACATCTCGGTGATGCGAGCAAGCTCACATAAACTTACGGTGTATTACATAATATTGATCAGGTCCAGGCCTCACCCGGGCCCAACCGTGCGCCACCATCATTCCATTCATGCGTATCTGGCAATAATATTGGTCATAACTTAATTATTTGGGTAGAAACATGGGAGGGCACTGTGACTCTTCCTCAAACATGATGCAGCGAACCTATCATAAAAAAAAACCCTCACGCTACAAACGCCTCCATCAAAGCATGTCTCCATATCAGTAGCCGAATTACTGTGACGACAATCTTCCCTTCTCTTTCAACTTCGCACGGGACACGCACCATTGAACAAACACTTTTGTTGCCATCACGAAAGTCCTAAATCCCATTTGCCAACGATGCTACCAGCGCGAAGAGACTATCCAACACTTCCTGATCGCCTGCCCAGTATCTGCAAGACTGCGTCATGTACTCTAGAGTGAACTAGTCCCCCGAGCTGGTCATCCATCCTGCCTGGACCAATGCACAGGCATCGCACGACTTGTAGAAACACGTCACATTTCACAGTTTGAATTACCTGTATGTTTTGTTCTGGCATCGCCCCAATGGACAATTGTAAAACACTGATCCTCCCAAAAAGAAAACTGTGACTTCCATCCAGCAGCAATTGAGACGACTGCGGCTTGTAGACACTAAAGAACAGTGACAGTGGGTCCTGTCACCAGCCATGCTGCCAACTTCTTTGGCAGTCTTGTCGGGGGACCCATCTCAAGATTGAAGTACTAAATGTCCGAATCTCCCTCGGGCCCAGGTCTATATCAGTCTTTGCCCGTGTTATACATGTACGACCTTGGGGTGTTCATCCCCACAAGCGGCATGCCTCTGACCAACCAAAACTTAAGTGAATGAAAGAGCGCCAATATTATTAGCTCAGCACAGTTGGCTGTCGGATGGCTACTCAGATACCCGGTGCTCGTTCTACCGTGTGCGATAAGGCCTAGCCCTGAGCCAACTGCGACAGGCGTTTGCATACTGATACCGTGATTAATCGGGTAGTCAGGGGAGTCCGGACTTGGTTTTATGTGATCGTGTCAGGCGCATCTGCGATGAGAGTACAGTGTTGAGTACTGAGTGCCTGCCTTCAAGTTTGTCACGGTGATCTAAGAATTGATATGCAATGACAATAGCTAGGCTCGCAATGATAGACCCCGTAAGTTCTAATATACCGCTGCATGTGTCTTTGAGCGCGCTCAAGCCACACGCTCGAAGTTCCAAGAACTCATCGACCCGCTGATTGAGAGCTGCTGAGTCCGAGTCAGAGCTCTTGCGCTCCTCCTATTATCTTTCCATCGGACGACGGTACATTTACTGCAACGGTTCCCTGCTCAATTCTAAAAACGCCAATCAAGTCGTGTTCAAAGTCAACCTGACAGTTTACCTGTAAGTCATCCTCAGTCATCCTCTCGTAATTTAATACATTTAATATATACGTGGGTGGACTCTAAAATTTACCTTTTCATGATACATGTCATTAGTCTGTCTGTGTTTTCGGGCAAGATTTGAGTGATTTAAGTATTTTCTATGTAGTATCTTCAGTAATATTGAGACATGTTTGATTATGGAAAGGTTTGGCGTGCAGTACTACAAACATATTGGATGACAATACTCTGCGACGCGTCGCACTTGCTTCTCCCATGCGAAGGCTTAGCGCTTAGCGCTTAGCCGCCGCGGAGGTGAACAAATTAGGAAATGTTTAGGATTGGTTTAGGATCCGTAATTTACGATGATCAACCTAGTAAGTTGCCATTGAAGTTGATTGACTCTGATCAAACACAACTGAAAACTTAAAGTATTTGAATTGAGTAGCACTATATATATGATGCTGTTCGCCCATCTTACTTCCTCAGGCAACGTGCCATTATGTCGTCCTCAGGTCCCACTCTTGCTCAGATTGAAGGCGAGTCTACTTGACTTGCTGCGTCGCTGGAATTAATACTCTTTTTAGTCGTAGGCATCGTCCTCACGATCGTGGCCGTCATTGTCACATCCTTTCGCTTGTGTGTTCGTGCGAGGCAGAAACGTCTGTGGCTCGATGATGCATGGGCGGCCCTCGGCATGATATCCAACTTCATGCTATTAATCGCCGATTGCTTGTATCTGCAAGACTACGGTAAGCGTCTCCATAGTGTGCATGTCTATACATTTTACTGAAGAAACACAGAAAGATACCCTCAAGGCACAAGGGTAGCATTATACTACATGTGTGTTCTCTTTTTCTTATACTTGAGAGACATTACAAATACCACATCAGGATTGCCCAATTCTTTTACGCAGTTGTATGGTAAGATACTGACGCTCTAGTAGCAGTGACGTGGCAAAGTGACGGGACTGACATGCACACACATAAGTCATCGAGGATATCCATATTGTTTACCATTGTGCGACTCACAGCCCCGGGAACCTTTTTTAGGAGGGTTCTCATATCTACTGTCATTACCTTCGGCATTGTATGGGCTCTACTCTTTTCACAAGTGTGGTGGGTTTGTGAAACCGAGTCCGGCTGGAAAACACAACCACATCCGCAGTGCGATCTCGGCAGAGGTGTTGCGATAGCGCAGATGATCAGTGAGGATTCATTGTTCATGAAATACATTGGTCTTCTGATGTATTTTAGCCGACGTTCTAGGGGACTTTGTTCTTATCTTTGCTCCTTTTTGCCTCATCTACAGAGTCAGATTGTCGACGGGGCAGAAAGTCCGGGTACTATCTGTCTTCTCTGCGTCAGCGATCACCACAGTCGTTAGTCTCGTCCATGCATATTACATCTTCTCTGGTGGAGGGCTACAGGAGGTTATGGCTGCTATAGTTGAGGTGCGGTGTTAGTGTTTATACCTCGAGCGCTTCTGATTGCGCTTTAGGCTTCTATGTCTCTAATCGTCGCGAGCTTGAGCGTCGTCGTCGCGTCCATCTTCCATTTAAAGGCAGAAGGAGATTCACCATCCACTTCGACACCCATCATAACTTTTGGATCACAGCCCAGGAGGCGCGTTCGTGACCCTATTGCTACGACTTTTACAGGTGTTGAAAGTACCCCGATCGTACTGGAGGATCTATCCCAGTCTCATCCCCGTTCTCTGAAGATAGGCGACGACGACGAAATTTCTTTAAACAACAAGGGGGCAAAACAGATGAATGAATGGTGAAAATTATCCAAAAGATGATCACGAAGTCACGCCTTCCCACGTTCTCTGGTGCGAACGGTGTGCACCAACATATCCCCACTAATGCTTATACCCTAATCAACTGTCATACTAACCCCCACGGTCTACTCATGAGTACTCAGTAATGCAAAGTTTGCGTTTACGATACGGAATTCGTGCTTTACGATACGGAATTTGCGCTCTGTAATACATAGTTCGATACAGAGGCGTGATGCAATACGAACTTTGCAAAGGTTATGTTGAAGAGATAGTACCCCGACACAGTACAAATATGTAGAGTAATTCACACCACATCTAGGCGCTTGCCCGACTTGACGCTCCCGAAAAAGCTCGCGATCACAAACTAATTTATTATGTCACGACTCAAACAATATACCTGGCCAGGTTCAAGCTATTCGACCACTATCAAAGATACCTAGTAGGATACCCAAAACAGCTCTGTTCGACGCCTGCGATGTCGATTCACATCCCACTCCCTATCCCAACTCACCCAGTTGAGGCTTCGCCACTATCAGCACTTACGGAAAAGGAGCAGACTTTATATGACATTGTCCTCGAACACTTCTCTGCCGTAGATTATACGCTTCCAAATGTCAACCAAGAGAAGGCTGCACTAATAGTGGATGAAAGGTTTTGGCTGGTCAGTGCACCTTCTCATCACTCTTCAACTTCGTGTAATTGGTTGACCAGTGTTATCTTGACCAATAGTCATATGAATGTCTACTGAGATACCTACGTGCCACAAAGTGGGATGAGAATGAGGCCATTAAGCGCTTGGAAGACACGCTAAAATGGAGACGCGATTTCGGGATTTACGATAAGATCACGCCTCAACATGTCGAACCAGAGGTATGAGAACACGAATTCTTACAAGTTCATCCGTTCAATACGATTAACGAAGGCAACGACTGGCAAAGAGTTCCTCTTTGGCTATGATACTCGGGGTCGACCTGCCCTTTATATGTGCCCCTCAAAGCAGAATACTGAGGAATCACCACGTCAAATCCATTATACTGTCTGGATGCTCGAACGCGCTATCGATCTTATGGGACCAGGTGTTGAGTAGGTGCCCTTCTACCCATCGCATTTTTGAAATTTATTTCGGCACTATCTAGGACTCTTGCATTGATGATAGATTATGCGGATAAAGCCAAAAACCCGTCAATCGCCACAGCTCGCACAGTGCTAAACATTCTCCAGACACACTATCCAGAACGCCTTGGTCTTGCGCTCATTGCACATCTTCCTTGGCTGTTGCACGCATTCTATAAACTAATAACACCATTCATTGATCCCCTCACTCGGCTCAAGATGGTTTTCAACCCCGTTATCACCGAAAATGGTCTTTTTCGGACGGCTGCAGATGCTGAAGCCTGGAGTGCCAATAGTACATCACGGGTATTTGAGCCGGAGCAGCTTGTGCAGGAGGGTTGGAATGGCTCTCAGCCGTTTATATATTCCCAGGCTGTTTACTGGGAAGCGCTAGTGAAGCTATGTGAAGAGAGGCGGTCTAGGATGATCGCGGCATGGCATCGCATTGGGGGGAAGGTCGGTACTAGGGAGTGGGAAGTTAAAGTTGCCGTTAGGGACGATACGATGAACGTGCAAGTAGATGCGGAAAATGTGCTGGTGGAGGATGGTCAGTTGCAGTCCTGAGAGAGCAGTATTGCTTGTTCGCTGTTCTTTTTTGACACGTTAATATCAATTTAATCTATAAGTCTCGATGGTACGATGCGGATGAAAACGTACACGTGTGACGGGTCGGGAGATAAAGCTATCTTTGTCATCGGCTTTGAGGCCTTGAGGAGTTAATAACATCGAGCACGCACCCTGGACGTACATCATGGAAATCCACACATAACGTTTACCCAATCACTAGCGTTCTCAACTTGGGCTTTGGCGCTTGACGCTCCCGAACAAGCTTGGGATCACAATGGCTAACATAATATAAAGCCATGACACGTCAGAACAGCTCTGTCCAATGACCGCGATGTCGATTCACGTCCCACTCCCTATCCCAACTAACTCGCACGATGCTGCGCCACCTTCAGCACTTCCTGAGAAGGAGCAAACTCTATATGACCATGTTCTCGAACACTTCTCTGCAGCAGACTATACGCTTCCGAATGTCAACCAGGAGAAGGTTGCACTGACGGTCGATGAAAAATTTTGGCTGGTCGGTGCATCTTCTTATCGCATTCTTCACTTTCGTGCATCTGGTTGACCAACGATCGATACCTTGTCCAAACAGTCATATGAATGTCTTCTGAGATATTTACGTGCTACCAACTGGAACGCAAATGCGGCCATAAAGCGCTTAGAAGATACGCTCAAGTGGAGACGTGAATTCGGGATCTACGACAAAATCACTGCTGAATATCTTGAACCAGAGGTGCGAGGAAGCGAGTTCATTGAGGTTCACGTTTAAATACGAATGATCCAAAGGCAAAGGACGGCAAAGGGTTTATCTTCGGCTACGATACCCACGGTCGACCTGCCATCCATTTGAGCCCCTCAAAGCTGAGTGCCGAAGAGTCACATCGTACAATCCAGTTCATTGTCTGGATGGTCGAACGTGCTTTTGACCTTATGGGGCCAGGTGTTGAGTAAGTGCCTTTTTACACATTGTATTATTTTGAAACTTATTTCGGCGTTATCTAGGACTCTTGCGGTGCTGGCAGATTATGCGGACAACACCAGAAATCCATCATTTGGTATGGTCCGCACAATAGTGGACATCGTTCAAACACATTATCCAGAACGCCTCGGTCTTGTGCTCATCGCTCATCTTCCCTGGCTTTTGAACACATTTTTTAAACTACTCATGCCATTCCTGGATCCATTCACTCGACAGAAGCTGGTCTTCAATCCTGTCATCAATGAGAATGGTGTTTTTCGGACGACCGAGGACGCTGAAGCATGGGATGCCGATAGCACATCACGAGTATTTGAGCCGGACCAACTTATCCAGGAGGGTTGGATTGGCTCCCAGCGGTTTGTCTATTCTCATGCCGTTTATTGGGAGGCGCTAGTGACGCTATGTGAGGAGAGGCGGTCTAGGATGGTCGCGGCGTGGCATTGCATTGGGGGGAAGGTTGGCACTAAGGAGTGGGAAGTTAAGGTTGCTGTCAGGGACGAGACTGTACAAGGGAATGACAGAGAATAACCAGCCTCAGTCCTGGACAGTAGTCAGGTTTCATTGTCTATTTGTATTCCATTTTCTTCACCGACACACTAAAATGCTATTATACCGGAACGATGTAAACGCGTGCCAGGTCAGAATACAGGGCTGTCGCTTTAAGACTGGGGCCCGAGTAACTTGGTATGATGTGTTGAACTGGCATAACTCGTCTAAGCTACACCAATAGATCTGTACGTTAGATCCTTCTTCATTTTGATTAGGATTAATTTTACGACAGGGAGCTAGAAGCCTCTGTCGGTGAACACGACACCAGCGTGACTGGCAACCCCGACCCAAATGACGTATCCCCTCCTTACCCAGTACCCGAAAAATCTTAACCCCATTACTACTAGTTGATGCTGGAAAATGATTGAAATGGTTTCAGTTCCCATATCAAAGTTGACCAGAAGACTAGCTCGATATTTTCGAACGCTAAGAATCAGGGTGGTCCCAGTACAAACATCTGCACAACCAACAAAATTCGAAGAACACCCAAATAAATCTGAGTTCTTATGGACGATATATCCCATATAAATGATATCCCTTCGTCGTATGCAGGGGTCAGTGACAGATCGACATACCGTTGAGAGTGTTGGAGATAACAAGTAACAGTAACCGAGGGTAAAAACAAGAAACAGCAACAACCACATGCGGAACTTCAGTGGAAGAATGGATTAACCAAGTTCACATTGTGAGCTCACCTCGCAAAGTAAACCACGTAGATTCTTATGAACACCATGAAACAGTCCCCGATCATACCCATACCTCTTTTCGATGGTCGTCGTAGCTCATGAAATAATTTAGAGCAATCCCGACTGCAAGTCCCAGTGCGAGGACTTCCCAGTAGTAAGCACCCGAATTATGACATAAGTAGGACGTCTCCCTCGACGTCAACTTCGCGCTGATAGGTGCCTAAGAGAATGAGCACCTTTGGTACTCATCGATGCAACGAAGTCTTTCAGCCAAAATTAAGCTCGCCCCCTGAAAGATACCTCGTTGTTATTGCGATCATCACTTCGTCGGCGATGTTGACAGCCAGGAATACGACAGCAAGATATATCAACACCTTTCTGGATCGCTGATGCATGGCATGTACTAACCGAGTGGTCATGACGACTTGCATGGTTCGAGTCAAGTCGAGGTACTCATTGCAGCTGTGTAGCTCACCACCCAGCATTACACTCATGGGCACATTCATCCAATCCTGTGAAACGTGCATAACACGGCCTGAAAAATCCAGATGTGTTCAGCATCGGAGGGTTACACAGTTGGAACAAACTCACAGCCGTGGTAGTCTTATATGGAACCAATAAGTGGCCAAGAATCTCACTCACCCCTAGATGGGAGCGCAGTTGGTTGGAAGGGTATGGCAGACCTTGGTGGAGAATAGTCACCATATCTGCCACTGGGATTGTCGGAATACATGCTGTATGTCGCCCGTTAGAAGAAACAAATGCACTGTATGCGATGTACTATGTGAGAAGACGTACTCGGTATGCTGATGCTACTAGTTGTTAGACACGCAGGGATCAGCGTTTTATCAGTCGTAAATTGATCATATTTTCACATCGTTCTTCTGATGTGGGACTCTGCTCACCCAGATCAGTTCGACCTGTAAACCTATTCTTGTCGAGATGGCTGTTCCAGAAATGGCGTCAACCTACCTCTTGGCTGAACGTCAATGCTGGAAATACCATAAGAATGTCAGCGGTTCTTTCATGCTATGTCGCTCACCCTGTCATCACAGTAGCGGAGGTAACTGTAACACCGTAGCCAAGGTTAGATCGAGACACAGTCATCATCCGACTAGCTCTCCACGACCGGCCACCAAGTCGGATCATTTCAAACTACTAGTAGGGTTATGTTATTCGAGGATGGATGAGCGAGCGGCGAACTTGGTGGACGTAGGGCGATGACGTTCGCACGAGACATGCCACTATCCAGCGCCTTCGTGTTCAAAATCAGCATTATGGGGATGTTAACCGTTCCTGCCATGTAATGAAACAAATGTAAAACGTACTACAGTTGGAGTTGCATCAATCTGCACTGACTGATAACCCGCAATTGAAGCTAAATGACCAAGTAGGATTCTTGTAAAGCGATAAATAAAGGAAACGGAAGATCAATATATTGGTGGTATTTAATAAACAGCAACTCATGGGCGGCGCGGCGGGAGAGGCGGCATACGAACAATTAAATAGATATATAGCAACCATAGGAACAAACTCACAAGTTACATCGCATGGTATTTCGACGTCACAAACGGTGTATGCAATATCCACGAAAGAGCAGTGCCAGGAGCAAGACGGGATATGTGTAGTAACGTATTGGGCGGAGCGCGAGCGTCGAATAGTACCAATCCATACATGTGGACATGGAAACTAAAGATCTAGAGGCACCCTGGCATGAAATGACCAGCATTTCAAGTTCACCATACACAGGGAAATCTCAAAGAACGCGTTGAGGCCCAAGGGAGAGTCATTGTGCCGTGATAGACCGTGATAGCCTGCCAAGATGGATAAGACTAGTCAGATAAACCTTGGAATTAACGCTACAGGTACTGACCATTTTGGTTTGAAACCAGGAATGGAGCAATTTCTTTTTTTTTTTTGACTTCTCAAGTTAGATCGAGAAGGACAACTTGAATTGGATAGCTCACCAACTTGAACAGTCACGTCACGTGTACTCCCCCGAGACTTCAGCCTTCTTTATCAGGTCTAGGGGAGGCTATTAGGAAAACTCCGATCTGCCACTAGTACTTTTATGCTTCAAGCCGGGCCACTTACTATTCGTTTAAGACCCCCGAAAGAGCTCAAGCTTGAAGCTTGAAGATTACAACAACTAACCTATATATAATGTGAAACTAGGACATCCCAGAAGAGCTCTATCCAACGACTACGATGTCGATTCACGTCCCACTCCCAGTCCCAACTCAATCGCATGAGACTGCACTACCCTCAGCACTTTCTGGGAAGAAGCAGACTTTATATGACCGTGTCCTCGAACACTTCGCTGCCGTAGACTATACGCTTCCAAATGTCAACCAGGAGAAGGCTGCACTGACAGTGGATGAAAAGTTTTGGCTGGTCGGTGCACCTTATCGCGCTCTTCGATTTTGTGCATTTGATTGACCCGCGTTATCCTGTCCTATGATGACTAACAGTCATATGAATGTCTTCTAAGATATCTACGTGCTACCAACTGGAACGCAGATGTGGCCATAGAGCGCCTAGAAGATACGCTCAAGTGGAGACGTGAATTCGGGATCTACGACAAAATCACTGCCAAATATATTGAACCAGAGGTACGAGGGAGCGAGCTCTTCAAGTTCACGTTTAATACGGATGATTTGAAGGCAAAAGACGGCAAAGGGTTTCTCTTCGGCTTCGATACTCACGGTCGGCCTGCTATCCATTTGAGCCCCTCAAAGCTGAGTGCTGAAGAGTCACCCCGTACAATCCAGTTCATCATCTGGATGCTCGAACACGCTTTTGACCTTATGGGTCCAGGTGTCGAGTAAGTGCCCTTCTACGCATCACATTTCTTTCATAACTTATTTCAATACTATCTAGGACCCTTGCGTTGTTAGTGGATTATGCAGGCAACACCAGGAACCCGTCATTTAACTTGTGCCGCATAATGCTCAGCGTCATTCAAACACACTATCCAGAACGCCTCGGCCTTGCGCTCATTGCACATCTTCCCTGGTTTTTGAACGCATTTATTACACTACTCACGCCATTCATGGATCCCCACACCCGGCAGAAGTTGGTCTTCAACCCTGTCACCAACGAGAACGGTCTGTTTAGGACAGCTGCAGATGCGGAAGCTTGGGATGCCGACAGCTCATTACGAGTATTTGAGCCGGACCAGCTCATCCAGGAGGGTTGGAATGGCTCGCAACGGTTTACGTATTCCCATGGCGTGTATTGGGAAGCGCTTGTAAAGCTATGCGAGAAGAGGCGCTCTAGGATGTTCGTGGTGTGGCATGGCATGGGCGGGAAAGTTGGTATCAAGGAGTGGGACGTTAAGGTTGCTGTCAGAGACGAGACGATCGACGCGCATGTAGATGAGGATGGTGCGTTGATGGAGAATGGTCAGCTTCAGTCGTGAAGAAGCCGCAGCCTAGCATTCATTACCAATCTTTTCTTTCCCAGCGTATTAACATAGACCGAATCCGTACACACATCTCGAACTGTTTTACAGACTTGCTGGTAAAACCAAGGTTTGGGATCTGTCGCCGAGAGAACAGTCATAGCGAGATTGAAGACCAACTAAAATTACAGGATGTTAGTACCAATCAATCATGTTAAGAACTTCACGCTGATTTCAGTCTCATCCACGCTATGACGCACAATAATGCAATATGCGAGTGCTGCGTAACGTGAAGACATATAGTCATTGAATATTGACGCTTCAAGGTCGTTCCCACTCGCGTGCTCGCGAGCTCATATCTGACACAATATAGAAGATCAATATCGATGGACAAGTGCAACCAAGACCTAAGCAACATGAACTCACGCACATTGATGGTTACGTCTGAGCGTTGGCACTGTCTCCATGTCTAATGCAGTACGTGGACTGAACAAGATCTGCTGTGACGAATATCGATCGTTTATCGCGATAACCGAACAAAAGAACGATCGTTGAAGATGGCCCCTTGGATCTGGCCATGACGATAAGCGGTCCACGACCTCATTTTCAGAGAGACCATTGAACAGAAAGAGGTAGTGTCGAAGAGGTAGAACTGATAATTCTTCCTCATCTATAGTGATCTTGACAACGAGTCGGTCCTGATCTTGCGGATACTTGCACCGCGCAACGGCGATCTGGCTCTGAATATCCCCCCACCTGCACAAGACCTCGTAAGCTTCTAGGCTAGATAGCAGACAGAGACTACGTTTCACGTAGTGCGGTGTCGACGAGCCTGGATAGATTGTCAAGAAAAATGACGCGCAGTTGAATATCGAAAAAACTTGCCAATAGCTGCCTTCAAAAATTTACAGCTCCACTTGTGATGACTGTGCCAGGAATCACGCTGACATCGCTTTGAGCAGTACCGCACAACCTGGCATCCCGAGCATTGCCTAAGCTGAGTATCTTCTGCGGTATCACTACAGTAACACTGTTCTTATAGGTAAGTTGGCTAGTCGGCAGGAACGACAGAACGAAGTCTATTACTGACTCGTAGAATCCAGCCTTTTTCATCGGGTGATGGTCGTCTTATCCTTTCCTCCCTGAACTTGAGACCGGCATATAATCGTATCTTCGTCTCGACCGCAGACCAGCGCCCCTGGATGGTTTGGTCTTGCGTTGCAATCGGTCCGAGAGTATTAGACCAGGAGTCCACGTGTTTCCACGCATAGGTCAAGATTTTGTCGTAGACAAGGTAATCGTACAATATCATAAGAATACTTGTGCGGATATTATTAAGATCCACCTCCAGGGGTCTCGGGGTACCCAGTGCTATTTCAAATGCATGTGAGCGGAGAGCTTGATGTAGCACCGAGATGGTGTCATCGGCATGGTCAAGGAGATCAGCGAGGTACTCAAAACTCCAGAAGAGTGACGGTTTGAGTATCTGCTCCATGGTCCCTGCGAAAGACAGAAGAAACTGGATGGCACGGGAAGCCGAAAAAATCACTCTGACGGATTGTCGGACAATACATTCTTCCCGCATCGCGACGCTGCGCTTGCTCATGTCCCTGATAAATCTAACACAATGCGAAAGCATCGATGCAAGCAGCTCGGGTGACGTTGATGGTCTCGAGATTGCATCAGGGTCCTGGGCCATTGATCGTACGCTCTTCACATACTTCAGAGCCATAGAAGCGAGAGCACCAGTGTCACCTGACACTTCGAGAACGACGGCCATAAAGGCTTCGTCGTGCATGCACCCTATGGCTAAAATCGGGGAGATGAGTTCAAGAGTAGTGAGGTAACGATAGTGCGAATGAGACAATGGATGCTGGGCGCTCAGGCTGAATAGCGCATCCTTGTCCTTGATATTGAGGGCCAGCAACCACAACTCTACGATCAAGCGGTAAAGGGTGGGCGCGGTAGTGAGCAGCGGCGTGTTCCCGTCCCTCGCGGAAAAGGCATATTGCAGTATCTTGCCAACTAGATCAATGACAAGCTTCTTATCGACGGGCCTATAGTTGGCTCTGCACATAATGAACTGGTCGTGAAAGAAGAGAAGCCAGGGAACGACACGGTTCCAGGCGGAAACGAGATATTGTTTTGCCTCAGTGCGAGAAACTCGAAGATTGTCACGATCCCGACAAATGACCACCGGGCAAGCTCAATATCGGTGGCAGTGGCTGGGGTTGACTTCGCAGGAACGCAATCTGGGTGGAGGTGCATGTAGAACACTGGTTGCAGTATGCATAGCTCAGATGTGGACCAATCTGCAACTTGATCGCAGAGCTGCTGCAAGTCTGCTATCGAACGATTCGACACTCCCTGGACCAGCCTCTGAGTAACATACATACCAGTGAGCGGCGATAACAAAATCAAGGACCGATCAAAAAACACTCGCCTGTACATGCTTGGGCAGCTGTGATAGCAGTATCGCTGAGATCATTCTCAGTGAAAATGGAGGGCGGTGACCGAGTCTCTCGTAGGTAGACCAAATCGTGACCTAACTTGATCTAGTGCAATCGGCCCTCAAGGCCTCATATGTTCATACGCTAGATTCATACGCCACTATAGTGAGCACAGCGCCTTACCAAGGTGCCTCCCATATTCAGAATCAGAATTTTTTGAATGCCGATCGACTCGAGGTCGAGAGCTCGAGTAGAAATAAAATTAATACATTTGTACGTAAGACCGTCGTACGACTTTAAACTATCTATTAGGACACCCCAGAACAGCTCTATCCAAAGACTGCGATGTCGATTCACGTCCCACTCCCAGTCCCAACTCGCTCGCATGAGACTGCACCACCATCAGCACTTTCCGAGAAGAAGCAGACTTCATATGACTGTGTCCTCGAACACTTCGCTGCCGTAGACTATACGCTTCCAAATGTCAACCAGGAGAAGGCTGCACTGACGGTGGATGAAAAGTTTTGGCTGGTCGGTGCACCTTATCGCACTCATCGATTTTGTGCATTTGGTTGACCCGCGTATAACCTTGTCCTATGCTGACTAACAGTCATATGAATGTCTTCTGAGATATCTACGTGCTACCAACTGGAACGCAGATGTGGCCATAAAGCGTTTGGAAGGTACGCTCAAGTGGAGACGTGAATTCGGGATCTACGACAAAATCACTGCCGAATATATTGAACCAGAGGTACGAGGGAGCGAGTTCTCCAAGTTCACGATTAATACGAATGATTTGAAGGCAGCTACCGGCAAAGAGGTTCTCTTTGGCTATGATACTCACGGACGACCTGCCATCTATGTGAGCCCCTCAAAAGTGGGTACCGAAGAGTCACCCCGCACAATCCAGCTCACTGTCTGGATGGCCGAACGCGCTTTTGACCTTATGGGTCCAGGTGTCGAGTAAGTGCCCTTCTACGCATCATATTTCTTTCAGAACTTATTTCGGCGTTATCTAGGAGCCTTGCGTTGATGGTGGGTTATGCAGGCAACGCCAAGAACCCGTCATTTAGCTTGTGCCGCACGACGCTTGACATAATTCAAACACACTATCCAGAACGCCTCGGCCTTGCGCTCATTGCACATCTTCCCTGGCTTTTGAACGCATTTATTGCACTACTCACGCCATTCATGGATCCCCACACCCGGCAGAAGTTGGTCTTCAACCCTGTCATCAATGAGAACGGTCTGTTTAGGACAGCTGCAGACGCGGAAGCTTGGAATGCCGATAGCACATTACGAGTATTTGAGCCAGACCAGCTCATCCAGGAGGGTTGGAATGGCTCGCAACGGTTCACGTATTCCCATCGCGTGTATTGGGAAGCGCTTGTGAAGCTATGCGAAGAGAGGCGCTCTAGGATGTTCGTGGTGTGGCATGGCATGGGCGGGAAAGTTGGTATTAAGGAATGGGACGTTAAGGTTGCTGTCAGAGACGAGACGATCGACGCGCATGTAGATGTGGATGAAGCGTTGATCGACACGCACGTAGATGTGGATGGAGTGTCGACAGAGAATAGCCAACTTCAGTCGTGAGGATGCCGCAGCTATGCATTCGTTGACAATTATTTCCTTTTTGACGTGCTAACATAGATCGAATCTATATATACGCCTCTTGAACTGTTTCACAGACTTGCTGGTAAATCCAAGTTTGTTGTGCTTTGGGATCTGTCGGAGAACGATCATAGCTAAATTGACTCAAATTACAGGATGTCAGTACCAATCCATCATGTGAAGAACTTCCCACTGATCCCAGTCTCATCCGCGCTGTGACGCAATGTAGGAACAACAATGCAATATGCGAGTGCTGTGTAAAGCGAAGACGTATCATAAGTCATTGACACTTCAAGCTCGTTCCCACTCGCGAGCTCATATCTGACCCAATATAGAATATCAATATCGATGGACAAGCGCAAGCAAGACCTGAGCAACATGAACGCACATCAATGGTTACGGCTGAGCGTTGGCACTGTCTCCATGTCTAATGCAGTACGTGGACTGAATAAGATCTGCTCTGACGAATGTTGATCGTTTATCCCAATAACCGAACAGAAGAACGATTGTCGAAGATGGCCCCTTGGATCTGGCCATGACGATAAGCGGTCCACGACCTCATTTTCAGAGAGACCATTGAACAGAAAGAGGTAGTATCGAAGAGGTAGAACTGATACTTCTCCCTTATTTATAGTGATCTTGACAACGAGCCGGTCCTGATCTTGCGGATACTCGCATCGCGCAACGGCTACCTGGCTCTGAATATCCCCCCACCTGCGCGAGACCATATGATCTTCTAGGCCAGATAACAAACAGAGACTACGTTTCACGTAGTGCGGTGTTGATGAACCTGGACAGAGTGTTCAAGTTAATGAAAATGATGTAAGCTGAACATCGAAAAGACTTACCAATAGCTGCCTTCAAAAATCTACAGCTCCACCTGTGATGACTGTACCAGGAATCACGCTGGCATCGCTTTGAACAGTACCGCACAACCTGACATTCCGAGCATTGCCTAAGCTGAATATCTTCTGCGGTATCACCGCAGTAACACTGTTCTTTAGGTAAGTTGGCCGGTAGGAACGAAATAACAAAGTCTGTTACTGACTCGTAGAATCCAGCCCTTTTCATCAGATGATGGCCGCCTTATCATCTCCTCCCTGGACTTGAGACTGGCATATAATCGTATCTTCATCTCGACTGCAGACCAGCGCTTTCGGATGGCTTCATCTTGTATCACACCTGGTCCGAGGGCATTAGACCAGGCGTCCACATGTTTGCACGCGTAAGTCAAGATTTTGTCGTAGACGAGGTAACCATGTAATATCACAAGAAAACTTTTCTTGTCATCATTAAAATCCGCCTCCACAGGGGGTCCTTTGAGACCCATGGCTATTTCGAAGGCATTTGAGTGGAGAGCTTGAAGTAACACTGGGATAGTATCATCGGCACGGATAAGGAGAGCAGCGAGGTACTTGAAACTCCAGACGAGTGTGAAATTGCTAAATGTGTGATCCATGCTCTCCATAGAAGAAAGACGAAGATGGATAACGCGGCAAACCAAGAAAATCCTTTTGACGGATTGTCGTAGGATGAATTCTTCCCGCACTGCGGTGCTGTGCTTGCTTATTTCCATAATAATAACAACACAGTTCGAAAACATGTGTGCAAGCAAGCCGAGAGGCGATCGAAGGTTTGTGACTTTATTAGGGTCCAGGGCCATTGATCCTATGTATATGACATATGCCAGAGCCGTAGAAGCAACTGTGCCAATGTCGCCTGACACTTCAAGCATGGTGGCCATGAAGGCTGTGTCCCTCATGCACTCTGTAAACACCATGGGGACAATAATTTCAGGAGAAGCGGGATAAGGGCCAGAGAGCGATTGATGCAACGGATGCTGGGCAATGATCAGCAAATCCTCGTTTTTTTATTTTGAGGGCGAGTAACCATAACTCTACGAGCGGGTGGTAAAGGGCGGGTGTGGTAGCGAGGTCCCCGTCGCTTGCGGTAAAGCCATACTGCAACATACAGCAAACCAGGTCAACGGCAAATCTCCTGGCGATCGGCCTATAGCTGGCTCTGCGCATGATGAACTGACTATGAAAGAAGACAAGCCAGAGAGCAACACGGTCCCAGGCGGAAATCAGATATTGTTTTAGCTCAGTGCTAGGACAATTATTAAATGTTTTTATGATCCCAGCGAATGACCATCGAGCGAGTTCAATATCGGTGGCAGAGGCTGGAGTCGATTTTTCAGGAATGCAATCTGGGTCGAGGTGCATGTAGAGCACTGGCTACAGTATACACAGCTCGGGTGCGGAGCAATCTGTAAGTCGATCACAGAGCTGCTCAAAGTCTGCTACCGAACGATTCGACACTCCCTGGACCAGCCTCTGAGTAATATATCAGTACGCAGCGATAACAAACTAGCAAGGATAGATCGCAAAATGCTCGCCTGTACATCCTGGGGCAGCTGTGACAGCAGTGTCGCTGAGATCATTTTCAGTAAAAATGGGCGGTGACAGGCGGTGACTGAGTCTCTCGTAGGTAGACCAAATCGAAGGACTTAAGGTCTAGTGCGATCGCGTGTTCATACGCTAGATCTAGCATACACCAATTATAGTGAGCGAAGCGTTTATCAGCGATATCGCTTTGCAGATGTTCCTCCCATATTCAGAATCAGAATTTTTTGGGTCGAGGTCGAGACTCGAGAGTAGAAATAAAGTTGAATACATTTTGTACGTAAGGCCGCCGCTGTAGGCCACTGTACAACTTCAAATGTACACCGCAGCCAAGCACTCGTTGACAATTGTTTCCTTTTTGACGTGCTAACATAGATCAAATCTACATATATATACGCCTCTTGAACTGTTTCACAGACTTGCTGGTAAATCCAATTTTGTTTTGTTTTTTGGGATCTGTTAGAAAACGATCATAGCTAAATTGGCTAAAAGTACAGGATGGAGTACCAATCCACCATGTTAAGAACTTCCCATTCCAGTCTCATCCGCGTTATGACGCAATGAACAACAATGCAATATGTGAGTGCTGTGTAAAGCGAAGACGTATAGTCATTGATACTTCAAGGTCGTTCCCTCTCGCGTGCTCAGATCTGACCCAATGTAGAAGATCAATATCGATGAACAAGTGCAAGCAAGATCTGCGCAACATGAACTCACGCACATTGACGATTACGGCTGAGCATTGGTATTGTCTCCATGTCTAATGCAGTACGTGGACTGAATAAGATCTGCTGTGACGAATATCGATCGTTTATCGCGATAACCGAACAAAAGAACGATCGTTGAAGATGGCCTCTTGGATCTGGCCATGACGATAAGCGGTCCACGACCTCATTTTCAGAGAAACCATTGAACAGAAAGAGGTAGTGTCGAAGAGGTAGAATTGATAATTCTTCGTCATCTATATTGATCTTGACAACGAGTCGGTCCTGATCTTGCGGATACTTGCATCGCGCAACGGCTACCTGGCTCTGAATATCCCCCCATCTGTATGAGACCTCATGATCTTCTAGGCCAGATAGCAGACAGAGACTACGTTTCACGTAGTGTGGTGTCGATGAACCTGGACAGATTGTCAATGAAAATGATGTGAGCCGAACATCGAAAAGACTTGCCAACAGCTGCCTTCAAAAATTTACAGCTCCACCTGTGATGACTGTACCAGGAATCACGCTGGCATCGCTTTGAACAGTACCGCACAACCTGACATCCCGAGCACTGCATAAGCTGAATATCTTCTGTGGTATCGCCACAGTAACACTGTTCTTTAGGTAAGTTGGCCGCCAGGAACAAAACAACAAAGTCTGTTACTGACTCGTAGAATCCAGCCCTTTTCATCAGGTGATGGTCGCCTTATCATTTCCTCTCTGGACTTGAGACTGGCATATAATCGTATCTTCATCTCGACTGGAAACCAGTCCTTTCGGATGGTTTCGTCTTGTATCACAATTGGTACGATGGCATTAGACCAGGCGTCCACATGTTTGCACGCATAGGTCAAGATTTTGTCGTGGACAAGGTAATAGTATAACATCGCAAGAAAACCTCTGTCGATATAATTAGGGTCCACCTCCACAAGGGGTCCTTTGAGACCCATGGCTATTTCGAAGGCATTTGAGCGGAGAGCCTGATGTAGCACTTGAATAGTGTCGTCGGCACGGTCAAGGAGAGCAGCGAGGTACTCGAAATTCCAGGTGAGTGTGGATATGCCAAATGTGCGATCGCTCTCTGTAGAAGAAAGAAGCTGGATAACGTGGCAAGCCAAGAAAATTCTTTGGACGGATTGTCGTAGGATGAATTCTTCCCGCACTGCGGCGCTGTGCTTGCTTGTTTCTGTAATAATAACAACACAGTTCGAAAACATGTGTACAAGTGCCTCGAGAGCCGTTGAAGGGGCGGCTTGTGGCTCTATCAGGGTCCTGGGCCATTGATCGTATGTACTCGACATATTCCAGAGCTGTAGAAACAACTGTACCGATGTCACCTGACACTTCGAGCATGGTGGTTATAAAGGCTTTGTCGCTCATGCACCCTGCAACCGAAATGAGGACGATAATTTCAGGAGAAGCGCAGCATGGGTCATAGAGCGATTGATCCCACGGATGCTGGGCAGTGATCAGGACATCCTCGTTTTTTATTTTGAGGGCGAGTAACCATAACTCTACGAGCGAGTGGTAAATGGCGGGTGTGGTAACGAGGAATACGGCGTCCCGGCTGTGCATGTTTGCAGCAATGCCATTCTGCAATATACAGCTAACCAGGTCGACGGCAAGCCTCCTGCTGATCGGCCTATAGTCGGCTCTGCGCATGATAAACTGGCTATGAAAGAAGACAAGCCAGAGAGCGACACGGCTCCAGGCGGATATCAGATACTGTTTTGGCTCAGTGCCCCGATCAATGTCAAATGTTCTTAGGATCCCAGCAAGTGACCACCGGGCGAGCTCAATATCAGTGGTAGCGGCTGGAGTCGACTTTTCAGGAATGCAATCTGGGTCGAGGTGCATGTAGAGCACTGGCTGCAGTATACATAGCTCGGGTGCGGAGCAATCTGTAAGTCGACCACAGAGCTGCTCAAAGTCTGCTACCGAACGATTTGACACACCCTGGACCAGCCTCTGGGTAATACATTAGTACATAGCGATAACTCGAACATCATAGTAAGGATAGATAGCTAAATGCTCGCCTGTACATCCTGGGATAGCTGTGACAGCAGTGTCGCTGAGATCATTTTCAGTGAAAATGGCGGTGACAGGCGGTGACTGAGTCTCTCGTAGGTAGACCTAATCGAAGGACTTAAGAACAAGTGCGATCGGCCCTCAAGCTCTTGGCCTCGTGTTCATACGCTAGATCTAGCATACACCAATCACAGTGAGCGAGGCGCTTATCAGCAATATCGCCTTACCAATGTTCCTCCCATATTCAGAACCATAATTTTTTGGATGCCGCTCGAGGAGAGTAGAAATAAAGTTGAATACATTTTGTACGTAAAATTGTACAACTTCATATGTCTTCAATTGAGCTTAGAGGTTCAAACGTTCGTCACATCCCGGGCCTGTCTCAAGTTTCAACCAGTCACCGGCATCAACGACCTCCTGAGCTTCTCGCAATTGAAGTATCGAGCCCAAATTGCAACATTAGACAAGTATAAATAGCTCCAATTGAAGTGCAGATATATGTGAGGGGTAAACTGTACTACCGTAAACAGAGCGAAAGCATAGTCGAATAATGTTCGTACTACTAACTAGCAATGATAAAAATCAGAAGTGCTATGACTGCGTTATCCTTGTCGGGGGTCTCTCTCCAGCCCATGGTGCCGGCAACCTGACCCGATACAAGCAAGACCCACCGAACAATATACAACAATTCACACACACTGGCGGTTACGGCTGAGCGATTGCGGCACTATCTCCATGTCTAACGCAGTACGAGGACTGAATAAAAATTGCCGTGACAAATATCGATCGTTTATCGTGACAACCGAACAAAAGAATAGTTGTCGAAGGTAGCCCCTCGGATCTGGCCAGGATGATGATAAGCAGTCCACGATCTCATTTTCAGAGAGCCCATTGAACAGGAAGAGGTAGTGTCGAAGAGGTCGAACTGAGTCTGTGTTCCTATCAAGAGCGAGCTCGACCACAAGTCGTTCCCGATCTTTCGGATATTCACACTGCGCAGCGGCGACCAACCTCCGAATATTGTCCCACTTGCGTTCCATATGGCCTTCTTCTAGAGCGGCTAGCAGACACAGACTACGTTTTACGTGGTGTGGTGTCGATGAGCCTGGGTACATTATCAGAGGAAATAATGCGCATCTCTGGACATTGAAAAGACTCATCGACAGCTGCCTTCAAAAAATTACAGCTCAATTTATGGTGACTATACCAGGAATCACGTTGGCATCGCTTTGAGCAGTATCGTACAACCTGACATCCCGCGCATTGCCTAAGATGAATGTCTTCCGCAGTACCACCGCAGGAACACTGGTAGTAAGTCGACAAATCAGCAGGGATGAAGCAATGAAGTCTACGACTGACTTGTAGAACCCAGCCCTTTTCACTTGGTGATGGCCACTGTGTCATTTCTGCCCCGGACCTGGATATTCCACATGATCGTATCATCTGCTCTGTTTTGGACCAGACATCCCAGAGATGTCCATCCTGTCTCACGATTGGTCCGAGATTATCAGACCAGGCGTCCACATGTTTGCAGGCGTAGGTCAAGATTTTGTTGTGAAGAACGTAGCTGAATAAGATCAAGAAAAAAATCTCGTTGATCTTATGAGGATCCGCCTCCACCTCCTCCTGCACCTCCAGGTGTCCGGAAGGACCTATGTGTACCATTGTTTCGAAGGCGTGTGCGCGAAGGGCTTGATGGAACGCTGAGACAGGGTCGTCGGCACGTTTAAGGAGAAAGACGAGGTATGCAAAACTTGAGCCGAGGGCCTGCACCATGCTCCCTCCGCCCGGGGGAAGAGACTGGAGAACACGGAGAGCCGAGAAAATCTCTTTGATGGACCGGTGGAGGATGTATGCTTCCCGCATCGCAGCACTATGCATGCTCGTTGTTGCAATAATTCCAACACAGCACGAAAACATCGGTACAAGCAGATTGAGCTTGAAAGCGTTGGAGGCTATATCGGGGTCCTTAGCCATCAATCGTATATTCTTGACATACTTCAGAGCTGCAGAAGTGACGGTGTCAATGACACCTGACACATCGAGTAGTATGGTCACAAAGGATTCGTTGCGAATGCATTCTGCAACTAAAAAGGAGCCGAAAACTCGAAAAGAAGTGATGTGAGCGCCGGAATGCACTGACAAGCACACTACATCCTTGTCTTTGGTTTTCAGGGCTAAAAGCCACAACTCCGCGATCGGGCGATAAAGGATGGGAATGATAGGTACTCCTGTGGTTCCGTCGCGGTTGCCTCCAATGACCGGAACCTGGAATAGCAAGCTAGTAACAATCTTGATGACAGACATCCTGTCAATGGGTCGATAGTTGGCTCTGCACATAATGAACTTGTCGTGAAAGAACACAAGCCATGGAGTGACACAGTTCCAGGAGGAAATAAGATACCGCTTTTCCGAGCCTGCCGGTGAATCGGCACCAGAACCATCGATATAGCCCAAGGTCACAACAATCGCGAGAAGTGACCAGTAGACGAGCTCGATATCAGTGGTAACGGCTGGAGTTGGCTTTTCAGGAATGCGGTCTGGGTCAAGATACATGTAGAGCACTGGCTGCAGTATACATAGCTCAGATGCGGAGCAACCTGGAAGTCGATCACACAGCTTCTCAAAGTCTGCGACCGAACGATTCAACACTCCCCGGACCAGCCTCTGAGTGACATACCAGTTACGACGTAAGTAGCTATAATAACCTGAGGATCGATCGCAAGACACTCACCCGCAAATCCTGGGGCAGCTGTGACAGTAGTGTCGCTGAGATCATTCTAGTGAAATTGAGTCACGGTGGTTCACCGATTCAGGGCCTCGCCGAGGCCGAGGGCGGGGCTGCTGACTCAGACCAAGTCTTCCGTACCTGAGACCATATATAGGACTCACGTCGTTGTTCATGTTCCTCCGACATTCAGAAAAATATGGATGCCAACTCGAGGTTGAAAGTTGAATACATTTTTTTTACATACTATGATACTAAGACAGCCTTTAAAGCTTCCTAACGGCACAGCCACTGGCACCTGACACAATACTACGGAAGATCAAAGCACAAGCAAGACCAGAGCAACGAAAATTCACGTACATCACTAACACCTACGGCCTAACTTCATCTCTATATTTAACGCAGTACGTGGACTGAACAAAATCTGTCGTGAATAATATTGATCATTTATCGCGATCACCGAACACAAGAATGATCGATGGCTCCTTGGTTCTTTCAAGTTCCAGGACGATAAGCTTTCCACGATGTCATTTTCAGAGAGCCCATCGAACAGGAAGAGGTAGTGTCGGAGAGGCCGGACTGATGCATCAAGCTTATCTACACCAAGCTCGACCACAAGCCGTTCCTGGTCTGTCGGATATTGGCGTTGCGCAGCGGCGACTAACTTCGGAATATCGTCGCCCCCTTGGCACGACATCTGTCTGTCTTCTAGGGCAGTTAACAGACGGAGACTACGCTTCACGTAGTGCGGTGACGATGAGCCTGGATAAATTGTGAGTGGACATAATGTCTCTGAACATCGGAAAGACTTGCCGACAGCTGCCTTGAGAAATTTACAGCTCAACCTATGGTGACTATATGTAACATGGTCAGACCGCCGCCCGCATAACCGTTACACCAAAAGGTGAAATACTGAAAGCTTAGCTTTCAGCATCAGCGACAGTATATGTACTGATTATGGGAACTCAGGTAAGCCGGCGTGCTTACACTATACCAGGAATCACGCTGGCATCGCTTTGAGCAATACCGCACAACTTGACATCCCGCGCATTGCCTGAGTTGAGTGTCTTCCGTAGTGCCACTACGACACTGTTTTAAGAGATAAGTTGAATGGTCAACAAGAACGAAACAACGAAGTCTGTGACTGACTTTCAGGAACCAGCCCTTTTCATTGAATAATTGCCGCTTTATCATTTCCTCCTTGGACCTGAGACTGACGTATGATCGTATCGTCCGCTCCATCGCGGACCAATCCTTCCAGAGGTTTTCGTCTTGTCTCGCGATTGGACCCACATGTTTGCAGGTGTAGGTCAAGATTTTGTCGTGAACAAGATAGTGGTACAATATCTCGAAAAAGTCCGCGCTGATATTATGAAGATTCGCTTCCATCTTCACGGGTCCAAAGGGAGCCATATGGACCGCTGTTTCAAGGGCGTGTGAGCGGAGAGCTTCATGGAACACTGAGACAGGGTCATCGGCACGTTCAAGGAGAAAGAAGAGGTACTGGAAACTCCAGGCGAGAGCTTGCTCCGTGCTCCCTTTACCAGGGATAAGAGGCTGGAGAATACGGAGAGCCGAGAAAATATGTCTGATGGAGTGTCGGACGACGAATCCTTCCCGTATCGCAGCACTGTGCATGCTCGTTCCCATGATAAAATCTAACACAGGTCGAAAACATCGTCACGACTTGAATCAGCTCCATCCGGACGGCCTCGGAGGTTATATCAGGGTCCTTGATCACTGATGGTATGGTCTTGACATACTTCAGAGCTGCAGAAGTGAAGGGGCCAATGCTACCCGACACTTCCAGTAGTGTAGTCACAAAGGATTCGTTGTGTATGCATTCTCCAACCAAGAAGGTGGTGACAAGTCGAAGAGAAGGTGATGCGACCGAGGTCACGCAATGGCACTTGAATGCTCAACAGATCTTCATCTTTTGTTTCAATGGCTAACACCCATAACTCTGCGATCGGGCGGCAAAGGGTCGGCGTGGTAGCAGTTGAGTTCCCGTCAAGGTCGCGGCCAGCGATTAAGCCATGAAACAGAATGCTGGCAACGAGCTTGATGACAGGCGTCCGGTCGACGGGTCTATAACTGGCCCCGTACATGATGAACTGGTTATGAAAGAAAAGGAGCCAGGGAACCATACAGTTCCAGGCGGAAAGAAGGCATCGTTTTTCCGAATGAACATCGATATTGCCCAAAGTTGTGACAATCCCAGCAAGGGACCAGCGGGCGAGCTCGATATCGGTGGTAGCGGCTGGAGTTGACTCTACAGGAACGCGATCTGGGTTGAGGTGTACGTAAAACACTGGCTGCAGTATCCGTAACTCAGATTCAGGGCAATCTGCAATTCGATCACAGAGCTGCTGAAAGTCTGTGACTAAACGATCTAACACTCCCTGGGCCAGTGTCTGAGCAATATACCGGTAAGCGGCGATAACGAATCAAAGATCGATCGCAAAACACTCACAAGTACATCCTGGGGCAGTTGTGATAAAAGTGTCTCTGCTGAGATCATCCTCACTTAAAACGGGTGATCACTGTAGTGCGCACTGTCAAGCTTCAAAAGTCGTGGTCTAGTTTTCCGTAGGAAATAGAAGGAACTTGAAGATAGTCGTTTCTTGTTCAAACCACAGCGCGCTTATCATGATATCGATATGGCCTGGATCTTATCAAGCTTCATCCTGAGAAACTTTTGAAGTCGAGTCGTGAGAAGTTCAATTACTTGTAAGATGAATTATGTGACTCAATGTCTTTCAAGCTTGGAGGTGACCGTCGATGACACCATAAGCTTCTCGTAACTGAAGCGTCGAGCGCAAACTGCAACATTAGACAAGTAAGTAACTATAAGTGTATTGTGCGTGCAGTGCAGGTGTGCGTGGGGGTAAACGGAGCGAAATCATGGTCAATGAACATAGCAACGATGAATAATCACTACGTGCTATGACTGCGCCATCCCCGTCCGGGGATGAATGGTCTGAAGGGCCCCGTCGTGCGGGCAATGATGTAGTTCTGGACTACGCAAATGATACGATGATGTTCCAATCATGATACCCAGGATGATGCAATTAGAAGTCCCGTCGAGTACGGGAAAGTCGTTAACCCTCTGGCAGTGGATGTGGGTAGGAGGTAGTGGTATGAAGTCGCTTGACGTGTAGGACAGCTGCGTCCGTTGAGGTAGGAGAGTAGCATGGAATACTAAATATGCAGTTGCAAGAGGCGAAAGCATCATGCACCCTACGGCGTGGGCTGCTGCGTCGGCATATCTCTTGCCTGACCTTGACTGTCCTACAAGAAGCGCATGAGTTCATATTACTCTTCCATATGAAAATCACGATCATGGGAGCCTCATAGGCCCACAATCAAGAAATCGAGATTAGCCAAATCAGAGGCTCACCATCCTTGCCCTTTTAACGGGTCTTGGACGAACTCCATTCGACCCCGCACGGACTCCAGTCACACCTATAGACATGTTCGTGCCGTTCACACTAAGGGTTGGATGGTAGAGCGGGGGCCATCCTCGAGTTCACGCTTCTTGCCTCGCATGCCGCCGAGGGTGGACGTATCTGTCCGCTGGGACGCGGCACTGCTCGACACAGCTGATCGCGGTGCAGCGCTTGTCGGTGTAGTTATGCGAGTTGATGCTGTAGGGGGCGGTATCGATACAGCAGGAACATGAGGCTTTGAATGAATGGGTTGCACTTGTGATGCTACAGGCGGTTGTTGTGCGGATGGCTGATTTGGATTTGATGGTGCCACTTGTGGCGGGGGGTGCGCACCGGGTGCGCCGGGTATGCCTCCCGGCGCAAGACCTTGAGCTTGAGCACGTGCGAGTTTTCTGGACTCTTTCTGCGAGCAGTAAATACATGGTATTCTAGATGTCAAAGCTTATGGAAATGAGAAAGCCACACGTACCCGTTTTCTCCTGTCTTCCTTTGCCTGTGCAGACTCCACGACCAAAGCACCCGTATTCCACTAGTGCAGTATCATCAAAATACAAGTATGATGTAAAGAAGGGAGAGCGTACCCCTTTCAGACCTTCCGCGCTGACGGTGAACGCTTCCCTCTGCGTCCGTTCATCGAACTCAACGATTGGTATGCGTTGCTTTGGTGGTACCTGCATCATCGTAGTAAGGTAGTCGTCCTTCTTCATCGAGTGCTTCCCAGGGACACTCTTTATGAGGAATCGGTAAGAATTCTTTTTCATTTTGTCATTACTGTCTGGAAGGGCGGCCGGTGTAAGTGGTGGTATAGAAGCGTGCGACAGTGGCGTCTGGGAGGGAATGGATGGGCGGACATGCTTATCATAAGCAGAATGAAGATTAAAGCGACCAAGAATGTCCTGCGTGCTTGTAAGGGATGTTCGTGGAGGGGGATGTGCTGTAATTTGTGAGATTAGTCGGGTGTGAAAAGTAGTAATCAAATGCTATGAGAATGAAAACAACTAGTGACGCCCGTACCAGCTGGTGATGGTAGAAACACGAGGTTAGTGTCTTGAGTGATCGTTGAGGGGCCTGCCACGGCATTCTGATGACTATTTAAGTCGTCCTCGACGTCCATGTCGAGTAGTGAGGAGAACGAGCGGAGATCAGAATCACACTCTGAAAGCGCGTAAATCTTAGGCTGCCTAAGTTATCCGAGGCAACACAAAAGATCAAAAAAGCAGCGTGCTCGCGGATGTCGCGGTAATTACCGACGATGAGCAAAGGCTGTTGGTCGCCGTCGTCGTCGATGGCAGGGACAAGGGGATCCAACAAGTTTGACACCGCAAGAGAATATGAATCGGCAAAGATTAGTCAGCCACACGTGGTTTGTTTGCGGGAAGGTTGACTAACTTTTGAATCGATTGAGTATCACCTTAGGCAGCAACGCCTATACAAGACTTAGTAGAATTCTTGTGGGGCTTGTGGAAGTACTGTGACCTTTTTGGACTGTTGACCGTGGCACTGGTAAGCCTTTATGCTGCTTATTCTTGCGCACATGATACACATACATGGATACTGACTTTTGCACTGGAATCTTAATGATGACCGAGCCAAACGATATACAGAAACATTAGGAGTACTTGGTTAAAGGCTAAAGATACATGCTTGGCACCGCACACGAACTGTCACGAAAAACTCGGTGGACGCGAGATGGGAGGGAGGCATGCAGTACGATGCAATGCACCGCATGGTCTCCATGATGTTGGGCGCAAGAACATCCGATGGCAAAGTGTATTTCTGATGTGACACTAGTACAGTGTTTGCTATAAGTGCTCAATATTATCGGTAACTTATCAAGCTTGCAGTTGGGGATAATGCCACTACAATATTCTAATGGAAGGTCCGGGAGGATCTGTTCGTCAGAGGAACTCGACGCACGACCTTGAGCGCAGATGATGGTGCAGACAAACAGGGACGAAACGCCATCAACCGATGAGCACCATTCCACCAAAGCGCTTGAGCCAGGCGTCCAGCCTCTCGGTTTCAAAATATTCAAAATCCCAATCCTCCTCTGCTAAAGCATCTGCTTCACCCTTCCACACGTATGCGAATGCATCCAACTTGCTTCCATCGACCATATCCACTACAACCGGAGTTCGTTCATACGAACTACCTTCGTAGTTGTCTAATTTCTTCCACTCTGAGAGGCTGGCGGGAAAGATTACATATCCATTAACAGTGCAGTTGTCATTGCCACGGATGAGCGCGGGATAATCACGGCGATAGACGCGGCGCCTTTCGAAGCCTGTTATTGTCCCAGGTTTACGCTGAGAGAGGACGTCTCCCGCTTTTGACGAGTCGCCTTTTATTGCCCAGGCCAGGAGAGGGGTGGCCATTAACGTCCCATAGACAAATATTGGCGCAACGGGGCTGTTGGTCGAAGTAGTAGCGTCCATTATCTTGTGCAGAGTGATAAAAGTCTAGCGATTTCCCCTTCCACCGTAAGAAAATATGTTACGAGTGCGGCTAGTAATGCAATATCAATACTAAGTCCACCTGGTATGCCACGAGTAAAATCACCTGGGATAGCGAAAAGGACAAGTACTTTGGATAGTCGATAATGCGTCCAGCCCCTTAAGTAGGCTGGTAGTGACAGTCACGCATGATGACCTCATTCTAGTGCAGTGTGTTTCACAGGGGTTAATTAGCCAAAATAGGCGATTCCCACACGGCTCAATTCAAGCTCAGTTCGCGGCCTCCGTCCGCCCAGCTGAGCTCACCTTTAACGTTCGGTAGACATCCGGCATCCGTCAACACCTACAAATACCAATAATGCGCACTCCGTTCCGTTGGAAAGTTAGAAATCACTGACTGTTCAGTGAGAGACAACATGGGTATATGGACCTGGATTCGGAGGTCAGGCCCAATTTAATTTGCTACACGGCTTTCTTCCAATACTTACCACACGAAACTTCAGTAGGTTGCAGGAACCTCAATATGGAGAGACAGAGGCTCGTTCAAGCCAGGCCGAATTCACTGTGCGTGGTGCATGTTGCGAGGAGCCCTTTGTATAACTTATGTTCAACAGTTCAAAGCAGTCGCTATAGGCCTGCTAATAGGCTGCTTGCTGTGCTTTACGAACTTGTACTTTGGATTGCAGACAGGATGGATTAGCATGTGAGTTTCACCAAGTAATCGACAAGACAAAATAACTGATGCTTTAGTCACGAAGGATGTCACTTCAATCCGCCCTGATTGGTTTCTTGCTGTCCAAGATGCTCCCCACTCCCCTTTCTCCGCAGGAAATCATCGTAGTGCAGACCACTGCAGTTGCTACCGGCACGGTTGGTCATATTCTCATCTTCTTCATAACCGGCTTATCGCTTCCTTCATAGATGCCACTAGCAGCGGGGTTTGTTGGAATTTTACCTGCGCTAGGTCTACTCGAGGAGGAAAAGGATGGGAGCCCACCAATTCGTCTTTCTTGGCTTGCTGCCATAGGATGGTCATGCTCAGTCGCATTTTTCGGAGTATTCTTGTCACCTCCCATTAGAAAGCAAGTTGTGCGTAACGTAACTCCTCTTCATCGAAGGCCAGACTGACGCTGAAAAGATCATCAAAGAGCAACTGGCGTTTCCATCTGGCACGGCGACTGCTCAGCTAATTTCCGTCCTACATCGAATGCCCCCTCCAGATACTACGTTGCGACACCGTTCCGGCTATAGGGCAATTGATACAGAAGATTCGACACATCCAACCGCAGCCACGGACGTACCTGAGAATCATCAGGAAGCTGCCGCAGAACACGACTTTGATGAAAGAGAGGCTGTTCAGCGAGAAGGCTGGGAAGATTTGCTAATGAGCTTCCTTGCTTCCGGGGCAATGACTGTATGCAGTGCCCCCATTACTTTCACTGGCTATATTCAGCTCATGTCCATCTTCAAAGCTTGCCGCATATTTTTTCCCGATTGTCTTCGCGATTCCGCTATTCGGGAAGTACCTAGCCAGAGAATGGCTTTGGTCTTTTACTCCTAGTTTGTCGTATGTCGGTCAAGGTGCGTGTGGCTTCGTCCCGTTAAGAGTTTACTCAGACCTCATGAAGGCATTATCATGGGTTTCCCAACCACCTTGAGTATGAATTTGGTAAGTCTGATTCTCCACATATGTAGCCGCCGTTTATCATTTACGTCAGGGCATGCTTGTGGGTTGGGGTATCTTATCACCCCTGTCGAAGCACTCTGGGTGGGCTCCTGGTCCAGTGGGCGACATGTCTACAGGCGCGCGCGGCTGGATCCTCTGGATATCTCTGGCCATCATGTGTGCCGACTCCCTCATTTCTCTCCTTCCTGTTGTCTATGAGTACTGTATCAAACTAGTAGCTTGGTACAGACCAACAAAGCCTGGCGACGATGCAGAAACGCATGAAGATCTTGAAGTAGAAACCGCTGACCGACTTGTCCCAACGGAGTGGGTCATTTACGGTCTTATAGGCAGTATATGTGTTGGGACAATTTTGGTTTGGATCGTCTTCGGAAATGAGGGTATCAAACCATGGGCAACCCTGATCGGTTTCATGATGGGTGGATTACTCAGCATCCTGGGGTACGTTTTTCGACCCGATGGTATATCTCTGACTGATCACTCCACTAGGGTGCGGGCACTGGGAGAGACTGATTTGAATCCTGTAAGCGGACTGGGGAAGATCTCGCAACTTCTCTTTGCTTGGATACAACCCGGCAATGTGGTTGCAAATATCATTGCCGGAGGTGTTGCAGAAGCTGGCGCTCAACAGTATGGTTTCTCCTTGACTATACTAAACATGCGCTGAAGAATAAATCCAGAGCTGGAGACCTTATGCAGGACCTCAAGACTGGTCATCTGATACGTGCTTCCCCGAGAGCCCAATTCTATGGTCAACTTATCGGATCATCATTGTCAATCATTGTTTCAGCAACTGCTTATACCCTGTACCAACGAGCATATACGATACCCGGACCTTCTTTTCCTGCGCCGACTGCGTACGTCTGGCTCAGCCTGGCTCGCCTCCTCCGTGAGATTTCATTGTTGCTAGTTGGTTCGGACCGCTGATGTATTGCTTACTTTTGACAGGTGACGGGCAACTTCCTCAAAATAGCGCCTCCTATATGGTGCTGTTTGCGATAATCTTCGGAGTCATCGCAGGTGTCAAAGTTATGGCTGCACAACACAACCACCCCTATACAAAGTGGATCCCTTCCGGGATTGCATTCGCCATTGGATTTCTGAACACGCCTTCTTTTTCTTTGGCACGTTTGATCGGCGGGATCATCGAATATATGTATCACAAGCGCGTTGCAAAATCTGGAGGCGCGGATATTAGGTTAATTGTGATTGCAAGTGGTTTTGTGTTGGGCGAAGGAGTGATCAGCGTGATTTCGTTGGTGCTGAAGACATATGGAGTGGGCGTGGCAAGTTGTTGGGGCTTGTTCTGGGGGCATCTGCGCTGGCTGCCCTGCATAGGATTTCGATGTGGCGTGAATGGGCGCACGGGCAGGCAGCCGCTTTTCTGTAGCTTTCGTATTACTTTACGCTTGACATGCATTGTTTTCCGGATCTAATATTATTCCACTTCTGTGCACCAAAAAAGTATGCAACATAATACGAGTACTACGACATCTCGCCCAATCACACTAGGTATACACAGAATTAGCAGATACGCGCTCCTGGAAAGCAATCATAATCATGCCAGTTCCTGCACATGGGAGCCTAGTGTGGAATTCTCGAACGCAAATGATCAGGCGTACAATTCGTCCTTGACTCGTCACAAGAAAATGATGAATTGTAGTCCTAATATCGAGTATCCTTTAAATATATAGATATCCATACATTTCCAAGATTGCGTCAGTGTACAGTTCTTACGGTGGCATTAGACTACAATTACACGTCATAGCGGCGCACCCGGAGGGGCACACTACATCCGGCCTCAGTACTCCCAACCACACTCGGTCTTGGTAAGAAAGCCCAAACTCTCGACGATCTTCACCCCAGGGCCATCTGCCATCTCAAACACGAAGTTTTGCACAAGAACAAACAGCACAGCCTAGGACGAGATGAAACCCAGTCAAAACGAATTGAGACCTATGCATCTTGCGCAGCTGCTTACCTTGAACTCTGCCAACGCAAACAGCCTCCCCGGGCACGTCCGCGCACCATTACCGAAGGTCATCAGATGACGATAGTCACGCAGTGTTTCTCCAGCTCCTTCGTCCTCTTTGAGCCACCGGGAAGGCTTGAACGCCTTTGCGTCACGCCCCCACATACTAACCTGAGCAATTGAGTGCGGCGAGCGGGATCAAGATCTCCGTCCCCTTCGGAATGCATACATTGTCGGTAGAGTTACCAGCAGCCGTGTGCATGGGCTCGCTGAGTGGGATCACTTCTTCTTGCGTAGCCTGTCATGGTTAGTTCGAATAGTTTGTATTGATTTTTTTCGGACACAGACTGCTCGTAGTATTTCTATAACTGATGGGTGGAGGCGAAGAACTTCATTCACTACAGCGTTCAAGTAGGGAAGCTTATTCATGAGGTCGTCATACGAGGGGGTTGACCCGAACTCTAGACACTCGTTACGAAGCTTCGTTTGGCATGTCTGGATTCCGCGCAAGTTCTATAAAAGCCCACTGTGGAAATTAGAAACGCAGTTGGAGCAATGAACGGTTCGAAACTTACTGTAATGCTGACTGATAAAATGAAGGAATGGTGAGTGTGCGGTTCTTTTTCTAAAGGGATGCACGTTACCTGCCGTGGTCTCAAAGCTGCCGAAAAGTAGCATCCGCGCCTAGCGGAGACGGAGATCAGTGTCTTATCGTTAGAGTTCAATGATTCGCATACCTGAGCTAGTACCTCTTGTGGGGTCAGCCCCGCGCCCTCACCAGATTCTTCCGCTTTCACTACAAAACAATTGTAGCATTCGCAATTTTGAAACGAACGACAAACGCACAGAGCAGCCCCATACATGATTTGTCCCCCTGGTCAGCGCCACCGGTCTCTTTTTCCTTGCGCGTTCGCAATAGCATCTCCTCGCATATTTTGCCAATGATCAGGTTGAACTTCTGGGCGAACTGTGTGCGAGGTAATGGTAGCTTCATGATGGAAGGAAAACTTTGTGCGAGCATAACCAATTTGTGGGAAATGCCGGTAGATGAACTAAGCGCATTACAGGACGTGCGCGGCGTCGCAGTCATTTCCATCGAGTGCGCCGAAATCATGGGACAGAATGGCTATGCCTGCACTGTCGAGTCTACACGGTGGGTATTGGATGAGACAGCAGCCTGGTGGAGAAGAAGGGATATACATACGAGATGTGATTCATCCTACACATAGTACACAATATATGTCTGAGTGCGCAGGCAGGAATCTTTTTGGGAGAAAACAAATACCATTGTTGAACATCAATTACAGCGCAATCAGTTCCGCTGTTTGATCCTATCTCAGCGTCCCAAGCGATCACTGCCTGTGACCTATTACGAGTGCAGCGATGGGCTAGCGATGAGTGACTCACCTTGTGAGCGACATCTTGGAAAATAGAAGTCAAGCTGCGAACCGCAGCTGCGCCAAAGGCAGGGTTGATGGTCTTGCGCTGCCTGATAAATGAGAGAGAATGACATGGTCCACGCGGATTTAGTTCGGCACGACTTGAAGGTCACAATTCGTACCTTTTGTGACTTTCACCATCGGCCCACATCACTCCTCTTCCCAACTGTCAGTCGCAGAAGCGAGTTATTGTCTTGTAGTTGTAGAAGAAGGCAAAAGGACATACTGCCATCTCAATGGAGATCTTGCTGAACGGTGTTTGGTTATAGAACCATGTGTCTCTCGCAAAGAAATGAGAGATTGCTTTTGGGTCCCATAGTATGACCTGGACTGTCCCAAGACGTGCGGAACCTTGTACACCGGTCCGTACTCTTTAGCCCAATGGTCGTATAATTCAGTGGTGGCAGTGGAATCTAGTACTGTCTTGGCGAAGCCATACACCCAACTTGGACTCTGAGGTCCTCGTATGCGTGTCGTTCGTTGTCTTTGGCGATACACTTGCAGAAGATAGAGGGATGCCAGTATCAGAACTAAGACGCATGTCGTTGGCTGGGGCCCTGGGCAGAGGTCCTTGAAGGCAAGCCAGATGCCCCTGCCGCAGTACTTGTTTTGCGACAAACTCATGGTTGCGAACGAGGATCATCATTGTTCAGTACTGCTTAAATACTGCGAGCAGAGCACAGGAAATTGAGATCCCCGAGGGTCATGCCGGCCTTGTCAGTCCATCATGATAGTGCCATATTGATAAATCTAAAGAGGACTAGTATCAGCCTCGAATTGAGATAAATCATTCATTTTAATCACTCACTGTCCAATCTGAAGTACTGATCAGTGATATATGACGTCCTTTGAGGTGAAATCTCACTCCAGAGTGATAAGTGCCTATAATTACCCTTCCGAAAACTTCGGCTCCCAAAAGCTCTGGAAAACAAGGTACGAACATAATGTCAAGACCTCGAAAACCTCGTCAGGTGCAAATTTGCCTCTGACTTACCGAACAGCGGTAGTGCAGACTCGAGAATTACCGCCTGCGTCAGCAGAAACCTTGCTTAACCTAAAAGTTGTCGACTAATTATGGGGGGTGAAAGAACCTTGAAGCAAGTAAACACAGCGGGGGTCTCGACATTTTACCACAATGTACATATTCAAAATTACATAATTGCTGGACAAGTGCGCAATGAATTTGATTGGGCCCCGCGCACTGGGATTACATAAGTCACTCCGCCCCACACAACAGTTCTCCTGTCTTTCTTCTCCAACTTTATCTCTTATAATTCATAATGGCCGCCATCCACGAGTGTTTCGCATCAATCTTCTTAATCTTTTTTATCATCTTACCATATGGGATTGTTGTACTCCCATCCACCCTACACCTACAAACATATGGACACCAGCTGATGTTCGGCTTGGCAGCCCTTATAGTCACCCTTTTGATAGGTAATTTGTATTACCTGGCTTCCTCAGCCTCGATCGTAAATCCCTATCTCATCTGTATGACACGAGTACTCACGAAAAACCCGTCGCACAGGGTATACTGGATCATATACATCCCTCGCTAGCGCTTCACATGACACCATCAAGCTCTGGGCTTTCGAGTCCCGCCAGCTCCTCGCTTCCTTTGATGTTCAGATTATTAGTAATAGACTTACCCTCTCACCCGACTCACGCCAACGAGCTTACACAACAAGCCCCAAAAATGACTCGGACTACAAGATCTGCGTCTGCGACACTCCACCCGACGTCCTTGCTCAGGCCCGCGTACACATTCCTTTCAAACATCCACTGTTCGTATGCTAACATTCCCTTACAGACTATGGCGGCGCCATTGCAGTGATTGCACGCAAAAAGTTTACCCTTAATGATCTACTAAGGGTGCGCATCTCATTCTTTTACTCATTACACCACTCAGCCATCGCTATCATTGCAGTCTGATGCAACTCTTCGTCCTCCTGCTAGACATCGCAGACCACCGATATCTGCCATACCTCAGCAACCCTCTTTCCTTCTCCTCAGTAAATTTCTTCGCTTCTCTCCTCGCACAAACACATTACGACCTGGTCGGGATCAACCTCGTGATCCCTTAGATGTATGTCTCTTTCTCATGTTTCTTTCGTAGTTGACTCGACGATGGCACTCCAGGTCCCTGCTACATTTGCCCTACCGTCCTCTCTCTCGGGGCGGGCCGTCCCTCGGCTTGATCATGTCAGTCTCAATTTTGTTAAACTCACAATACATAATTAAGTGCGTATCCAGTTCGAAATAAGTTCTCCACCTTCCCCCTCAAACTGAGTAGCGCGGTTCTTACGCCAGCATCTTTCCTCCCTCGCTCCAAAACGCAGCTTCGGGCCACCAGTCGTTGAAGTCCTTCTTTTCCTGCACCGACTGCGTACGTCTGGCTCAGCCTGGCTCGCCTCCTCTGTGAGATTTCATTGCTGCTAGTTGGTTTTCACTGCTAATGTATCGCTTACTTTTGATAGGTGACGGGCAACTTCCTCAAAATAGCGCCTCCTATATGATGCTGTTTGCGATAATCTTCGGAGTCATCGCAGGTATCAAAATTATGGCTGCACAACACAACCGCCCTTATACAATTAAGTGGATCCCTTCCGGGATTGCATTCGCCATTGGATTTCTGAACACGCCTTCTTTTTCTTTGGCACGTTTGATCGGCGGGATCATCGAATATATGTATCACAAGCGCGTTGCAAAATCTGGAGGCGCAGATATCAGGTTAATCGTGGTTGCAAGTGGCTTTGTGTTGGGCGACGGAGTTATCAGCGTGATTTCGTTGGTGCTGAAAACATATGAAGTGGGCGTGGCAAGTTGTTGGGGCTGTTCTGGGGGCGTCTGCGCTGGCTGCCCTGCATAGGATTCCGATGTGGCGCGAATGGGCGCACGGGCTGGCAGCCGCTTTTCTGTAGCTTTCACATTACTTTAAGCCTTGACATGCATTATTTTTCGGACTTAATATTATTCACTTGGGTGCACCAAAAAATGTATGCAATATCATTTTCTTGCTCCATGCAGAATGGCTGATACGCGCCAATCACATTGAGTATACAGAGAATTAGCAGTATCATACGTGCTCTTGGAAAGCAATCGAACTTATCGAGGTCATACCAATTCCTGCATGGGAGCCTAGCGTGGAATTCTCGAACGCAAATGAACAGGCGTGGTCCCAGTACAATTCGTCCTTGACTCGTTCCAAGCAAATGATACTAATTTGTAGTCCTAACATCGAGTATCCAAAAATATACAGATATCCAAACATTTCCAAGATTGCGTTAGGATACAGCTCTTACGCTGACGATACATTACCCCAGACTACAATCACACCTCATAGCGGCGCACCCGGAGGGGCACACTACATCCAGCCTCAGTACTCCCAACCACACTCGGTCTTGGTAAAAACCCCAAACTCTCCACGATTTTCACCCCAGGGCCATCTGCCATCTCAAACACGAAGTTTTGCACAAGGACAAACAGCACAGCCTAGGACGAGACTGAAGCCCGGTCAAAACGAATTGGAACCAATGCTCTTGCGCAGCTGCTTACCTTAAACTCTGCCAACGCAAACAGCCTTCCCGGGCACATCCGCGCACCATTGCCGAAGGTCATCAGATGACGATAGTCATGCAGTGTTTCTCTAGTCTCATGTGTGCCTTCGTCCTCTTTGAGCCAGCGGGAAGGTTTGAACGCCTTTGCGTCAGGTCCCCACATACTAACTGAGCAATTGAGTGCAGCGAGCGGGATCAAGACCTCCGTCCCCTTCGGAATGCATACATTGTCGGTAAAGTTACCAGCAGCCGTGCGCATGGGCTTGCTAAGCGGGATCACGTCTTCTTGCGTAGCCTGTCATGGTTAGTTCGAGTAGTTTGTATGTATTGAATTTTGTCGGATACGAACCAATCGTGGGATTTCTGTAACTGGTGCGTGGAGGCGAAGAACTTCGTTCATTATAGCGTTTAAGTAGGGAAGCTTATTCGTGAGGTCGTCATATGAGGGAGTTGACCCGAACTCTAGACACTCGTCACGAAGCTTCGTTTGGATGTCTGGATTCCGCGCAAGTTCTATAAAAGCCCACTGTGGAATTTAGAAATGCAGTTGGAGCAATGAATGGTTCAAAACTTACTGTAATGCTGACTGATAAAATGAAGGAATGGTGAGTATGCGGTTCTTTTTCTAAAGGAATGCACATTACCTGCCGTGGTCTCAAACCCGCCGAGAAGTAGAACCCGTGCCTAGCGGAGACGGAGATCAGTGTCGTATCGTTCGGGAGAGTTCAATGATTCGCATACCTGGGCTAGCGCCTCTTGTGAAGTCAGTCCCGCACCCTCACCAGATTCTTCCGCTTTCACTATAAAACAATTGTAGCGTTCGCAATTTTGAAAAGGAAGGACAAACTCACAGAGAAGGCCCAAACATGATTTATCCCCCTGGTCAGCGCCACCAGTCTCTTTTTCCTTGCGCGTCTGCAATAGCATCTCCTGGCATATTTTACCAATGGTCAGGTTCAGCTTCTGGGCGAACTGTTTGCGAGGCATTGGTAGCTTCAAGATGGAAGGAAAACCTTGTGCGAGCATAACCAATTTATGGGAAACGTAGGCAGCCGAACTAAACGCATTCAGGACTTGCGCGACGTCTGAGTCATTTCCATCGAGTGCGCCAAAATCATGGGACAGAATGCCTATACCTGCACTGTCGAGTCTACGTGGTGGGTGTTAGGTGAGACAGCAGCCTGGTGGCGAGGAAGGCATTACACGTACGTGATGTTATTCATCCTACACAATATATGTCTGAGTGCGCAGGCAGGAATCTTTTTGGGAGAAAACAAATACCATTGTTGAACATCAATCACAGCACAGTCAGATCCACTGTTTGATCCTATCTCAGCGTCCCAAGCGATCACTACCTGTGACCTATTACGAGTGCAGTGACGGGCAAGCGATGAGTGACTCACCTTGTGAGCGACATTGTGGAAAATAGAAGTCAAGCTGCGAACAGCAGCTGCGCTAAAGGCAGGGTTGATGGTCTTGCGCTGCCTAATAAATGAGAGAGAATGACATGGTCCACTCAGCACGACTTGAAGGCCATAATTCCTACCTTTTGTGACTTTCACCATCGGCCCACATTACTCCTCTTCCCATCTGTCAGCCGTAGAAGCAAGTTATTATCTTGCAGCCGTAGAAGGAGGCAAAGGACATACTATCAACTGAATTGAGATCCTATTGAACGGAGTTTGGTTATAGAACCATGTGTCTCTCGCAAAGAAATGAGAGATTGCTTTTGGGTCCCATAGTATGACCCTGGACTGTCCCAAGACGTGCGGAACCTTGTACACCGGTCCGTACTCGTTAGCCCAATGTTCGTATAGTTCAGTGGTAGCGGTGGAATCTATCACTGTCTTGGCGAAGCCGTACACCCAGCTTGGACTCTGAGGTCCTTGTATGCGTGTCGTTCGTTGTCTTTGGCGATACACTCGCAGAAGAAAGAGGGATGCCAGTATCAGAACTAAGACGCATGTCGTTGGGCCTGGCAGGGGCCCTGCGAGGCAGAGGTCCTTGAAGGCAAGCCAAATGCCCCTGCTGCAGTACTTGTTTTGCGACAAACCCATGATTGCGAACGAGGATCATCATTGTTCAGTACTGCTTAAATACTGCGAGCAGAGCACAGGAAATTGAGATCCCCGAGGGTCATGCCGGCCTCGTCAGTCCATAGTGCCATATTGATAAATCTAAAGAGGACTAGTATCAGCCTCGAATTGAGATGAATCATTCATTTTAATCACCCACCAGTATCCAAACTGATACATCCTTTGAGGTGAATCACAAAAAGACTCCAGCTGTTACCCTTCCGAAATACTTCGGCCCAAAGCTCCCGAAAACAAAGTACGTGCAGCCTAAGGGTAACGCAAGAACGTAATGACAAGACCTCGAAAACCTAGTCAGCTGCAAATTTGCCTCTGACTTACCCGAGTAGTAGCAACAGTGGCTGCAAAGTTGACTAGTGGTGGTGGTGCAAACTAAAAAATAACGCGCGCTGGGGCCGCATGGTATGTTACTAGCCAAGTATAGATTAAATGAGGGATTACATACATGTGTCGGATTGTCAGTATGGTGGGTAGAAGAATGGGAATGTGGAGCAAAGGTATTAATGAAGTGGCGAGAATGGGTGCCGAAGTGGGAGGAATGTTGGGAGAATATCGTGTGGAAGACGAGGCAAGCGGCACTTCGTAGGATGGTCCTGCATGCAATGAAGTAATGACAGAATTGGAAGGAGTAATATCAAGTTCGCCCACCATTAGTGCAGCTGCCTTGCTTCAGATTGTGCGCTTGCTGAGTGGATGCCCCATGGAGCTGAGCAACTTAATCTAGTCAACGAGTACGGTTTCTGATTCCGGCGAAAGGAGCTGCTACTCGAGATGAGCCTTGTGGTACGACTGACTCTTGTCAAGATACCATCGATGAAGGGTGTCATATGAGACTTTGTGCTTTGTTGCAACAGCACGAATGTTAGGAGAAGAACGCAGACATGGCGTTATCCAATCACCGAATGGCTCGTTTGAATTGAGTGCACTGGTTGCCGACGAGGAGACGCCTCACTGCTACCCAGAATCTAGCTATGACAAGCTCACCGAAATCCCGCGCTAAGCCCGCTGCTGTCACAGTGTCACGACGAAAGATCTTCGGGAGTCACTTTCTGTCTATCGTGCAAAGGGCCAGAAGCGAAAGTCGATGCACGGCCAATGGTCATATGATCGAGGATCTTGGTGAGTCGAGGATAATCGGGTATTCTTGGGTACGTCATCCGAAGAATGATAAACGAATTTCATTGGCTGACTATGGTGCTACGCCGTGACGTTAGCAACGAGACTCGTGGTGATGAGTACAAAGTGTCAATGAAAAGGACTCAAGATACACAAATTATATCGCAACATTAAGCTGAAGCGAACAAAGTTGTTTAAAGTTGTTCGAAGGAACCAAGTAAGGTCCGACTAATAACGGGGTACTCCTAGAGATACGGCATTGTGAGGTAGGCTGAGGCGGACCGGCGAGAAGACTGACGGCCTCAAGGTTATAATCTTACCCTTTTTATGTAATCTTGTGATGACGCAACACCTCGTGTAGTGGGCTAAAGTGTACTATCATCCTATGTAATGCATGTACTATAGTTATTGCTGCACTAAGGCTAATTAAGCACTCCGTCATTTTCTGATGGCCTTACAGTGTTCGCCTGAGGCCCTGAGCGTCCGAGCTCTCCGAGTTCAAATGCGCACCATCACCAAAGTGGTAAGTTCCACTGAGTAACACGCTTAAGCTAAGCGTTAATTTCAGCGGTTTTACTGATGCGATAACAAGGTGCTTAACCTTACACGAGCAGAAAATACCTTACCGAGCGGTGCTGAAGGTCTTGACCTCTGCTGTAAGTGAAGTAACGCACCGTGACGCACCTTGTTTCCGGGAGCTTTGAGGGTGCCGAAGTACTTCGGAAGGGTAACAGGGCCCACCTACAACTCCACTGGGGCTCGAATAACAACATCGATATCGTGATTGCGATCATTTCCGATATCTAGTACAGTCGTTGTTCGGGTGTGGTGAGTCAGAATATGATAACTCCCCGACCTCATGAAGTGCTGATAACGAATAGATTTGAGTGCCAGGATTTGGTTGCGAGCGAGTGTCAATGGTCAGTATATATGGCTATTGGAACGACCGCTTTTGTCGATACCTTTATTGCATCATCACTATGCTATCTCATTGCCACTTCTCGTACCGGATTCTTTGGGTAAGGAGCGCTTTGCTCGCTGTCGTAATCTGATATAGTAAGGCGAACCATATGACATAGTACCGATTCCTTCATAGCGAAGCTTGTGGATTATCCCGTTAGCACTGGCTGTCTCACAAGGTATTCTTTCTTTCAACCCTTCCCATACATTGACCCAATATGTCTGCAGTGAGGTTCTTTATCTTGCGATATCCATATTCGAGGTCTCATAGACTCATATGGCCACCTACAGTTGGCAGTGATACCGAAGAACTTCATCTTTCTCAGTATTGAACTCCCAGTAACGAAATGTATGACCAACGGCGAGCGCATTATCCCCATATCGTGCTGACTAGCTGTACCGTTTCAGGTATAGGCTAACTCGTTCATCGCACTTCTGAACGCAAGATACTACGTGCAGGCCAACGCTGACAGCATCGATTCTCCTGAATTCCATATCCGCCACAGCATCTACTGCTCAAATGTAGATTATTTAGAATTTCGCGTCCTCCAAGGCGTCGAGCCGCGCATTAATGCGTTGAAGGACGAGAGGCTTCGGATATCACGAAAAGACATGTCACAGTGCCCTGACGATGAAATGTTGCATGTCACTCGACCCATCCAGGCTGACATGGTTGGTAGTTGCATTATAGTTGATGAAAAGAGGGCTAATGATACATTTCTGAAGGGAGGTCCTTGCACTGTTTCTCGCGGTCTGTATTGCTATAAAGCACTTCGGTGAACTACGACAACACTCAACAAGAGGTATTATTGGGGACTGTTTCACCGTGTTAATGAAAACTCACGTGAGTTACTTTGGGAGGTGAGCTCATAATGTGAATGTGGTTCTCTTGTTCCACTGAAGTTTTGCATGTGCTAGTTTTTTGGCTATCTCTTACCTCCAGACCGGTTTCTTCTCTTCAATGCTCTCAGCGGTATGTCAGGCTGTCACTGACCTCTACATGCGACCATGATTCATCATTCCTATAGGATACATATTCCCTGGAAGCTTGGATTTATATTGGTCTCGGTCAGATGTTCCAGTTCGCGCAGTAGCAACACAAAGGTTGGTTTTGAATTTGGGAGATGTATTGCCAGATGATGCTGTTGAGGAGACTGTTTATGATCTGGCTCAGATTGACGGTCGTGGCGCAAATTACTCATGGAATTGCTAGGCGGTGCAGTGTGTAGGAGTATGGGTAGCCGGTCGAATGCAAAACGAGATACCTGATCACTTGGCTCTTATCGGATCATCAATAGTATCAATCATTGTTTCAGCAACTGCCTATACCCTGTACCAATGACTCACGAGCATATACGATACCTGGACCTTCTTTTTCTGCACCGACTGCGTACGTCTGGCTCAGCCTCCTCGTCTCCTCCGTGAGATTTCATCGTTGCTAGCTGATTTGTGCCGCTGATGTATTTCTTTTCACAGGTGACTCCTATATGGTGCTGTCTGCGAGAATCTTCGGAGTCATCGCAGGTGTCAAAGTCATGGCTGCACAACACAACCACCCTTATACAAAGTGGATCCCTTCCGGGATTGTATTCGCCATTGGATTTCTGAACACGCCTTCTTTTTCTTTGGCACGTTTGATCGGCGGGATCATCGAATATATGTATCACAAGTGTGTTGCAAAATCTGGAGGCACGGATATAAGGTTAATTGTGATTGCAAGTGGTTTTGTGTTGGGCGAAGGAGTGACCAGCGTGATTTCGTTGGTGCTGAAGACATGGAGTGGGCGTGGCAAGTTGTTGGGGCTGTTCTGGGGGCATCTGCGCTGGCTGCCCTGCATAGGATTTCGACGAGGCGCGAATGGACGCACGGGCAGGCAGTTACTTTTCTGTAGCTGTCGTATTACTTTGAGCCTTGACATGCATTGTTTTCCGAACTTAATATTATTCCACCTCCGAGTCGGTGCACCAAAAAATGTATGCAACATCATTTTCTTGCTCCATGCATAATGGCCGATACGCGCCAATCACATTGAGTATACAGAGAATCAGCAGCATCATACTTGCTCTCGGAAAGCAATCGAACTTATCGAAGTCATACCAGTTCCTGCATGGGAGCCTAGCGTGGAATTCTCGAACGCAAATGAACAGGCGTGGTCCCAGTACAATTCGTCCTTGACTCGTCCCAAGAAAATGATAATTTGTAGTCCTAACATCGAGTATCCAAAACAATACAGATATCCAAACATTTCAAAGATTGCGTTAGGATACAGTTCTTACGCTGGCGATACATTACCCCAGACTACAATCACACCTCATAGCGGCGCACCCGGAGGGGCACCCTAAATCCAGTCTCAGTACTCCCAACCACACTCGGTCTTGGTAAGAAGCCCAAACTCTCCACGATCTTCACCCCAGGGCCATCTGCCATCTCAAACACAAAGTTTTGCACAAGGACAAACAGCACAGCCTGGGACGAGATGAAACCCAATCAAAACGCATTGAGACTAATGCACTTGCGCAGCTGCTTACCTTGAACTCTGCCAACGCAAACAGCCTCCCCGGACACGTCCGCGCACCATTACCGAAGGTCATCAGATGACGATAGTCACGCAGTGTTTCTCCAGCTCCTTCGTCCTCTTTGAGCCACCGGGAAGGCTTGAACGCCTTTGCGTCACGCCCCCACATACTAACCGAGCAATTGAGTGCGGCGAGCGGGATCAAGACCTCCGTCCCCTTCGGAATGCATACATTGTCGGTAGAGTTACCAGCAGCCGTGCGCATGGGCTCGCTGAGTGGGATCACTTCTTCTTGCGTAGCCTGTCATGGTTAGTTCGAGTAGTTTGTATTGATTTTTGTCGGATACGCACCACTCGTAGTATTTCTGTAATTGATGGGTGGAGGCGAAGAACTTCATTCACTACAGCGTTCAAGTAGGGAAGCTTATTCATGAGATCGTCATATGAGGGGGTTGACCCGAACTCTAGACACTCGTCACGAAGCTTCGTTTGCATGTCTGGATTCCGCGCAAGTTCTATGAAAGCCCACTGTGGAAATTAGAAACGCAGTAGGAGCAATGAACGGTTCGAAACTTACTGTAATGCTGACTGATAAAATGAAGGAATGGTGAGTGTTGCGGTTCTTTTTCTAAATGAATGCACGTTACCTGCCGTGGTCTCAAACCCGCCGACGAGTAGAATCTGCGCCTGGCGGAGACGGAGATCAGTGTCGTATCGTTAGAGTTCAATGATTTGCATACCTGAGCTACTACCTCTTGTGGAGTCAGCCCCGCGCCCTCACCAGATTCTTCCGCTTTCACTACAAAACAATTGTAGCATTCGCAATTTTGAAACGAACGACAAACGCACAGAGCAGCCCCATACATGATTTGTCCCCCTGGTCAGCGCCACCAGTTTCTTTTTCCTTGCGCGTCCGCAATAGCATCTCCTCGCATATTTTGCCAAAGATCAGGTTGAACTTCTGGGCGAACTGTGTGCGAGGTAATGGTAGCTTCAAGATGGAAGGAAAACTTTGTGCGAGGATGACCAATTTGTGGGAAACGTCGGTAGATGAACTAAGCGCATTCAGGACGTGCGCGGCCTCGCAGTAATTTCCATTGAGTGCGCCGAAATCATGGGACAGAATGGCTATGCCTGCACTGTCGAGTCTACATGGTGGGTATTGGGTGAGACAGCAGCCTGGTGGACAAGAAGGGATATACATACGAGATGAGATTCATCCTACACATAGTACACAATATATGTCTGAGTGCGCAGGCAGGAAACTTTTTGGGAGAAAACAAATACCATTGTTGAACATCAATTACAGCGCAATCAGTTCCACTGTTTGATCCTACTATCTCAGCGTCCCAAGCGATCACTGCCTGTGACCTATTACGAGTGCAGCGATGGGCTAGCGATGAGTGACTCACCTTGTAAGCGACATCTTGGAAAATAGAAGTCAAGCTGCGAACAGCAGCTGCGCCAAAGGCAGGGTTGATGGTCTTGCGTTGCCTGATAAATGAGAGAGAATGACATGGTCCACGCGGATTTAGTTCGGTACGACTTGAAGGTCACAATTCGTACCTTTTGTGACTTTCGCCATCGGCCCACATTACTCCTCTTCCCAGCTGTCAGCCGCAGAAGCGAGTTATTATCTTGTAGCTGCAGAAGAAGGCAAAAGGACATACTGCCATCTCAATGGAGATCTTGCTGAACGGTGTTTGGTTATAGAACCATGTGTCTCTCGCAAAGAAATGAGAGGTTGCTTTTGGGTCCCATAGTATGACTCTGGACTGTCCCAAGACGTGCGGAACCTTGTACACTGGTCCGTACACTTTAGCCCACTGTTCGTATAGTTCAGTGGTAGCAGTGGAATTTAGTGCTGTCTTGGCGAAGCCATACACCCAACTTGGACTCTGAGGTCCTCGTATGCGTGTCGTTCGTTGTCTTTGGCGATACACTCGCAGAAGATAGAAGGATGTCAGTATCAGAACTGAGACGCATGTCGTCACGGTTGAGCCTGGCAGGGGCCCTGCGAGGCAGAGGTCTTTGAAGGCAAGCCATATGTCCCTGCCGCAATACTTGTTTTGCGACAAACCCATGGTTACGAACGAGGATCATCATCGTTGAGTAACTGCTCAAATACTACGAGCAGAGGAAACCGAGATCCCCGAGGGTCATGCCGGCCTCATCAGTCCATAGTGCCATATCGATACATCTAAAGAGGACTGGTATAAGCCTAAAATTGGGATATATCATCCGTACCCACCATCCAAACTAATTTATCCTTTGAGGTGAAATCACAATCCATAGTGATGAATGCCTATAATTACCCTTCCGAAATACTTCGGCTCCCAGAAGCTCTGGAACACAAGGTACGAACATAATGTTAAGACCTCGAAAACCTTGTCAGCTGCAAATTTGCCTCTGACCTGTCACCTTACCGAACAGCGGTAGTGCAGACTCGAGAATTACCGCCTGCGTCTCTCTTTTTTCCTTGCTTGACCTAAAAGTTGTCGACTAATTATGGGGGGTGAAAGAAACCTTGTGAAGCAAGGTAACAAGCCAAGTCGACGAGAGAAGAGGTCGATAGCAACTTCTTCAAAGACAAATTGAATGCACACAAGATAACGCACACGAAAATAATCTACTGCACGAGTTCAGGGCGGATGCAGATGCCTATCACCCTGTCCCCATCGAGACGCGTCATTCATCTCGCTTTCATCTCGCGTTCAAGTTTGCTCCCTGTTTTTCTTTACTGCTGCGGCGACCTAGACGCGCTGTTAGTTACTGTATGCTGAGATAACGTGTTATTCGACGATAAGAACGTGGATGATTCTCAACTAACCCTTAAGTGAAGTGACTATCATATTTAGTACCCCATTCAATTTTTTCCAACAGCGACTTAGCCTCATCGACGTCGCAGCGCCGCCATGTCACTCAAAATTCAGTGGCACAACCCACAGGCAATGGACACTGGTGCCATGATTCCCAACGTCAAAGGAACCGAGTAAGATCCGACTGATGAGTGGTAACAGGGTAGAAGTTTGAATGCCATGTGTCAATTGCGAGCAAGCTTGGTGGCTGTCTAACAAGGTATTCTTCCTTTCAGCCCATCCCATACCTTGACCAATATGCCTGCAGTGCCATATGTCGCTGCGACAGTCATCATTGCAGTGAGGTTCTTTATCTCGCAATATCCACATTCGAGGTCTCATATGGATACCTACAGTTGGCAGTGATGCCGAAGAACCTCATCTTTCTCAGTATTGAACTCCTAGTAACGAAATGTATGACCAACGGCGAATGCATTCTCCCCAGATCACGCTGGCTAGCTGCAAGTATACGTGAACTTGTTCATCGCACTTCTGAACGCAAGACACTACGTGCAGGCCAACGTTAACTTGACGATGTCGATTCTTCTGAATTCCGTATCCCCCACGGCGTCTACTGCCCCAAGCTACGCATCACCAACGCGTCGAAGGACGAGAAGCATTAGGTATCGCGAAGAAACGTGACCAAGTGTCCTGACGATGAAGTATTGTGTGTCACTCAGCCTATCCAGGCTGCCATGGTTGGTAATTGCATTATAGTTGATGAAAGAGGGCTAGTGGCACACTTTATTCACCGTGGTTGACGGTAGAGACGATCGAGATGAATTCTTTCCTGTTGGCGTGATGAAATAAGCTCGCAAATAACTTACGAGTTCGCAGCAAATTATCGCCCACTATCCACCATGTTTAAGGAAGTGCTGCAAGTTGCTGACTCTCGGTCCGAGACTTGTTGTAGCTTTCGTATTTCTTTGCGACGCATGAAATGCATTATTTTCCGGACCTAATTCCTCTGGAATCTACTTCGGTACAAAATCAATGCAACATCATGACACTTTGAACATGTTTTTTTTTGCTTCATGCAGAATGTCCGACACGCGCTAATCAGATTGAGTACACACAGAGCTGGCAAATGACACATGTACGCGCTCCTGGAAAGCAATTGAAGCTATGCCGGTTCCCGTATAAGGCTCAGCCTGGAGCCTAGCGCGAACGCTAAGGATCAGGCGCGGTCCCAGCACAAACATCTGCACGACCAAGAAAATCCGACGAACACCGAGATAAATCTGAGTTGCCATGGATAATCCGTGCTGTAGAAACAATGAGCCATGGTCCCATGCATAGGTCAGTGACGGGTCGGCATACCACTGAGAGTGTTGGAGACAAGTAACCGAGGGTGAAGCAAGAAACAACAACAAAACTGGCATGTGCAGAACTTCAGTGGAAAACAGAACCACATTCATATTATGAGCTCACCCCGTGAAATAAGCCACATGCGTTTGAAGTAACACCGTGAAGCAGTCCCCGATAATCCCTCCTGCTGAATGTCGTCGCAGTTCACGAAAGTGTTTTACAGCAATCCAGACTGCTATACCCAATGCGAGAACCTCCCATACAGTGGTGAGAGCCCAAATGACAGACCATAGTAGGGCATCTCCCTCAACGTCAATATAGCACAGAGAGATGCCTGAGGAAATGAGTATCTCTGTTACCCGTCAATGTAATGAAATCTTTCAACGATAATTAAGCTCACCCCCCGAAATATACTTCGTTGTTATCGCGGCAATCACTCCATCGGCGATGTTGACAGCCAGAAAGGCGACGGCAAGAAATATCAGTACTTTTCCTGATCGCTGATACATGGCATGTAACCGAGTAATCATGATGACTTGCATGATTTTTCAGTCAAATCGGGGCATTGCAGCTGCGTAACTCACCGCCTAGTATTGCAGTGATGATCCCATGCATCCAATTTAATGTGACCAACATAATACGACCTGACAATTCCAATTAGCGACCAGCGTCGAAGGTTCACACATTTCAAATAAACTCACAGCTGTTATAGTCATTATTTGAACCAACAAGCCAGTCAACAATCTGACTTACTTCTACATGGGAGTGCAGTTGATTGAATGGGAACGGAGACATCGATACAGAATACTCACTGCATTTATCGCTGAAATTGACGGAACAGATACTATATGCCGCTGGTCAGGAGAAACAGACCGAGCGCGTATGAGAACACACACCCAGTATACTGATACTTATTGTGAGATATGTCTGATTAGCACGTCAATTGCTTGGCCTTCCAAACTTACACAGCAAAGATTATTCCAACATAGCGCACCTAAAAAAATTCCAAATCAGCCCTGCTTGCCAACCACACTTAACACGCGAGCTACATACACTGAGGTAGAGAAAGGTCATAAGGGACGACCGTGACCTCTACAGAGAATTGAGAGCTGCCCCTCTGAAGTGTGACTCTGCTCACCCAGACGAACTCGACCTATAAACCAAATCTTAGCGAGGTGGCTGCTCCGGAAATGGTACCAACCTACCTCTTGCCCGAACGTAAGTGCTAGAGAAACCATGAGTATTCCGGCAATTCTTTCATACTATGTTACTCACTCCAATCATACATTACTCCAACAGAGGAGGCAACTGCGGAAGGTTAGATCAAGGCATCACCACGGCTCCCCCACGAACCTGCAAAATAGTTGCCAATACGATTCGAATTGATGAACAGCCACCAACTAGGATCATCTGAGACTAAGGTCATACTACTGCTAGTACTAGTATTCGAGGGTGGGAGTGAGGGAGTGGCGAACCTGGTGGATGTACGACGATGTCATGCGCTCGTGCGTGCTAGATATACAGCCATTCAGTCCTTCAGGCTGTGACATCGCCGAAATGAATAACGATCGAATTCTTAAACTAGCTTGTGGGAATTGTGGGTGGTGAATCTGCCAAGCCATCACGCTGCGCCGGGATGTTTAAGCACCGAACTTTGAAAGATCGAAAAACTGTTGGTAAAGGCGACTTGTTTCCATTTGTTCTTAGTGTACTTGGCAAAATGCATTTCACTCAATGCAAAGTGCAGTTGATACGACGACGACGCCATCAATTTTTACGGCCATCCTAATCCACGATTGATTTAGTGAATATACGATATCACAGCTTGGAGGACACCATCCCTCATCAGGAAACTCACAGCCGAGAAAAAATGATTGTAGTACAGCGCTTCTTTCCAATCGAATGTAGCATCCTGTAGCATCGCTTAAGAACAAAGGTAGAAGACTCACCTCTCCGACTCGTTCGAGTTGCCAAACGCATGCGGCATGCGCCCGATTCAAATCTCCTCCCAAGTTCTCTAGATTAAGAGGTCTCATTGGTTACCTCTACCTCAATTCTCTTCTGTGAAAAGCCATGCAAATCGATGCAAAATCTCATCAAGCAGTTGATATTTGCAAGGTACTGTTAGGACGAGTGACGTTTGATAGGGATATGATGGGGGTAGGAACGCACTATATCATATTGATAATCAATCTAAATTACTTATACCTGGTTAGAAGCAATACTCGCATCATGCATTGACTTCAGGGATGTAGTGGTTAGGAACGCACTATATGACCATGCAATAGCAACATCGGTATCTCGTCCAAAACCACACACCTCAGAATCAAACCAACACCCCAGAACTCCTCACAATCCCTCTCCAGCTCTTCCAAATATAACTTGCAAACAAAGCTGTCTCGTCCAAAGCCTTTCCCGCATGCTCAGCATTCTCGAGGAGCGAATCCAAGAATGCTGGTGCTGTCTTTGGGGAAGTCAGTTGGTGAAGTTCGGCGGCGAGGTAGATAGGCGGAGATGGATGCTCGGCGGGTGTACCAAGATAACTGATGGGGGGATGGTAGGATTGGTTGATGGTATTAGTTAAATGCATGTAAAGAAAAACGTGTCATACCTCTCGCGCGTCACTATGAGCGATCCAGCATGCCTGGTTAGAGACTTGAACAGCGTGTTTTATTATCGGGGCAGGGTCCACCGGGAGCAGAGGTAGAAGTAACGAGGAAGATGAAGCGAGGAGAGCAAATGCCTAAAGCACCAAGCATAAGTGATTTGCACGATGGCGACGAAAAACATCAATTTGAATATCTTCAACAAATAAAACTTCAATTACCTCTGGAAGGTGCTGCAGCACCGGTTCGTTGCTCTTCAGCCTCGCCTTCAACACATCTCCCATTCCCATCTTTTCTACCGCCCCTTCCTTCATCCGACGCTTTGCATCATCAAGCCACGCATGTACGAGGGTCCTACACGCGTCGTCTCCTGGGCCAAACAGCGCAGTCACGCTCGCGTCCGGGAGAGGATGAGCTGGTAGTGTGGGTAGGGATAGCACCGACATGGATAGCGCTTCTCGGGTAAACCCATGGGTTTTAATAAGCGGAAGTGCAAGCTTTAGGAGTTTAGCACTGGAATGGATCTGTGTCAGAGCTATAGCGTTTGGCTACAAAGTTCTTGTCCAAACCTGGTGGTAGTCATCTCATAAGAACACCAGGCACGTGACTGCAGGTATTGTAGCTCATGCACATGGTCGACCGATCATTCAGACACGAAAAACTTTAAACGTTGCATAGTTCAAACGTGAGAAACTCATAAAAGAAATTATGGGGAAAACTAAGATGGAGGATAAACATGTCCGTGCGCAGTCGATCACAGCACGGAAGCAAAGCTACCATGAGGTATATCCGCAAACTCAACACTCCAACTTCAATCGACCAATCCCTTGTTCCTCAAGTACTCCCTATGTTCAACGCGATGCGCAAGTACCTGCTTGTCAACCGAACGTCTCCAAATCGGTATCCCAACCTACAGTCAATTGTCAACAACGAGCCCGAGTATGCGTAAGATGAAAACATACCAGAGCAACCAAATCCAACACAAATCGAGAGCAGCATTACTCCTAGGCGTACAGCCACGCGTCGAAGCTCGGAACATACTTGTGATGAAATCAGCAGTGATGTGTGCGTAACCTTTCTCGACACCTAGCCAGGCCAAGAGTTAGCGTCAAAGTTGTGGTTGTGGTCTCATGAGATGAAGTACCTGAGAGCAATCCAGCAGCAGCTTGGTCCGCTGTCAGACCTTCATCCGCCGACTCAATCGCTCTAGTAATAGCCGGCTTCGTCTTGTTTTCTTCTTCAAAACCAGGTGTATACATTGTCGGAGGGAAGAATATGTGAGTATCGATGCCATAGAGCATCAGTTCTGAATGCAACGAATCAGCCAGTCCTACCAAGCCGTATCATCAGCATAACCAAAAAAACCAGGAGTAGAGTAGACAGCCATTACTTACCACGCAGAGCATGCTTTGCAGGCGAATACGAAGAATATCCAATGAGAGACATATATCCGAGTGTCGAAGACACCAGTACAATCTTCCCCTTCTTATTCTCGCGCACCATTCGTTTAGCAGCAGCCTGTTCATTGTTCACTAAATGTCATGTTCTTGTCCGTGATCTGAAATAGAGTCGAACAGTCGACTCACGAATGCAGTCCACGCCTGTACCCAGTACACATTCTCCATTCCGCGCGAGAGGTCCTCTGGCTGCATTTCGAGAAGAAACATCGGTTTTGCAGTACCTGCGCATGCGAAAACGGCATCTGGGACTTGGCCGCCGTGGGCATCACTAGCAGCTTGGAGAGCGGCAGCAGACTCTTCTGCGGTATTGAGGGAGAATGAAAAGGCTTTGAATACTTGGTCTGGGCTTTGGCGATTGGCCTGTGTATGACATTCAGAACGAACGGAAGGTTTGATTACAGACACGAACCTCGAGTTCTTTTAAAGCATCGTCGAGTTTGCTTTGGTTTCTTGCCACTATAGAAACGTGGGCACCTTTCCGCGCGACGAGTTTGGCGAGTGCAAGTCCGAGACCTTGACTGCCGCCTGTGATATACACGTGCTAGAGCCATGCGTGTGAAACACTAAATAATCGAAGAAGACCTTTTGGCTCACCAACCCCTTTGGACTCCATTTTTTTGACGAAAACATGAAAGACGACGAGTAAACAAGTATAAGGAGCAATAAAGCCTTGGAAGTCAATGAGATCCAGTCAAACATGTAACTTATCAAGCCTTGAGTGCTTTCGGTTTGATTGTCATAGGCTGGTGGATGATAGAGCCAGCAGGTATGTATAAGTCAGACGTGACTGGCCGTAGGGGATAACGGAACATGTGTTTAAATTAGAATGGTTCAAGCCGCACAGCCACCGATCGAACCGGCGGTTATGCGCTACTCATATAGTCATAACACGTTTCACCTCCACGTCGTGTATGCGTCGCACAAGGCTTTAAAACTCGTGCTTGTATTTTGAGCAGACAAGGCTCATTCAACCATCTTTCATGTCCCGCATCGCTTTGGAGAGCATCCCTGGTCTTACGTTCTACAAAAACGCGCTTACAGCAGCGCGACGTACCAGTCCTATTGCTCAGCTAGTATGCATCGGGAAAGCGTGCGGGTTGTATCAGCCGGATGTCGTGCGCTGCACTAATATTGGAGGGTCGGGTACGGATGTAGATTGGAAGGTGGGTGTTCACTGTTCAATAGTTAGAGTTTGAGAGACTGCCAGACTCTAGTAAGCTCTATCGAAGTTATGTGGCGAGTTTGACACAATATTTGCAGTGTGAGGCAGACCTACCGTCCTCTTTACGTTTCGGTCGAGTCGAGGTCTCTTGCGAGGGATGGAACGGCCCTGGTGATCCATACGTCATGAAAGGTCTGATTCTGATCCACGTCGGGTGCTTGAAATACGAAGCCTCATAATAATCTCACAGGATCCTGTTCCCTTGAATACAACCTCGTTCAACTCCCAGATGCCCTCCACACAGACTCTGGCTCAAGTTGGTCTCACTTCTACACCCAGTCATGGTTCAGCAGTAAGTCTCGAGCACACTCGTCTACCAACGCTTACTTATTCCCTACTTACTCAGACCTTGATTACTCCGGTATCTTCTTCATGTTCGTATGGATCGTAGTCTTGGGCATTATAATCTACAGCTTTATCCAACCTTGCTTGCGTCGCAACACGTCAGACGCCAACAACACCAGCCCTCCCTCATATCCTGGTGGTAGGCAAGGACCAGGAGAGTTCCCAGGCTCTTATTACACTAGCCCACCCCCACCATACACCAAAGATGCCGGTTCAGGCAACAGCTCGCAGTGGCAGCCAGGGTTCTGGACTGGCGCTGCGCTGGGGGCGCTGGGAAATCATTTTTTGAATCGTCCGTCGGAGTCTCGGGAGTATGACTGGGAGCGGGAGAGGCGGTTGCCGAGTAGTATCTCAAGGAGCAGACTCGTGCCTAGGTATGACAACCAGGATAGAGGAGAAGCATCTTCTAATTTGGGTGCAATGAGGACTAGTACGGGGTATGGTAGTTCGAGTAGTAGGTGACATTTAATTATACTATACAAGGACTCGCCTTCGGTCTTTTATAGGTATGATTGTTGATATTGAATCCGTCATAGCGCCAGAAATTATTTTTATCAATCTGATACCTGCTTCCGTTTTGAAGCTGAAGCCCAGTGAAAACCGGACCTTACCGGAGAGGCTCGTAGATGTCGTGGTGTTTATATCGGAGAGAAAAACATGTACGATGACCTCAGAACAGTGACGGGGCAGTCTGTGCAATGTTCTCGTGTTTTTTTTTCACGCTAACATGATTAAAATATATTAACGCACATTAGCACACACTTTCCCAACCTTACAGAATATGCTCGTAGCGTGTCAATTGTGATATCATTGCAAAACAGTGTAGTAGTACAAATTGCAGTAATTCTATAGCGGCGGTATGGGAAGCGGTATAATGATAGCACGGAAACGGGAATATAATGACAGGAAAAGATCGTGGCGATGAATGCGAGAGACTCGGATGAAGAGAACGCACAGGAAAGATGCGGGAGGATTGGAATAAAAAGACCGGGGGATTGAGTAGAGTTGGCCGTCGCAAGCTGCTCAGGATGTCAGAAAATTGTTGGCAACGTGTCGTGAGCGAATGGTTAAAACAGCGTCTACAAATAAAAAAAGTCACCCACCGATAGAGTAGCCTCGATTCGATATTTCTAGCGTGAATAAATGTATCAATAAGTCAGCGTATGAGGACCGGCGTCTTACCTCGTGCTGATCTGACGCTAAGTTTCTGTTAAAAACAGTGTCTTACTACATCTCCTCGTCATATTTCTGCAATAGACCTGAATATATGCGCGTGAAAATGACGTTATGACATACCGTGGCCTCACTGTCCAAGTACAGTAGAATCGCTGTGATACAGCTACACATGATGATCATCCCGCTGTTCTAAACTCGTGTGGTGAGTATAATCATACCTTCAGATAAACGACACATGAGACACTCACAAGGCAGAACCAGTGGAGGAGAGTGGGGGGACCTTTAATTCGGAGGCAGGAAGATGGTGGGGGGAAGAAAGGTGGGGAGGGAGGCAGAAAGGTGGGGCAACAAAAATTCTGCGCCAACAATTTATGTAGCTTTGGGGTGCTGCATAACCTTGGTAGCTTGCAATGAATTAATGGAGTTCACGAGACGAAGGTTGGGCTTAGTACTTATGCAAAGTTTGTGTTTGCGATGCGCAGTTCGCACTTTGCGATACAGAATCTGCGCTCTGTAATACAAAGTTCGATGTGAGGATGTGATGCAATGCGAACTTTGCAAAGGTTACTTCGTCGGAGAACACATCCCAGCACGTTGCTGTAAGTCAAATGTAAGTTGCGTGACAAGTACGCAATAAATTTGATTGGGCCCCGCGCATTGTGATTACATAAGTCCCTCCACCCCCGCGCAATAAGTTGTTTCTCCTTTCTCTTCTAATGGCATTAACAGAATGTTCTTTCATAACGCCTTACATGATTTGGCTACTGCCATTAATTCTCGGGTCACAAAGCCATTTATTCACCCTGTTGGCCCTTACAGGCACCCAGTAGTAGAGGTTGCCTATTAATAAGAGGGCCTCTTAATAGGCAATCTCTACTACTGGCCGCTATCGTAAGTCCTTACCCAACCCCGCACTCAGGATACACTTAGTCATGATTGGGGTAGCGCCTCCCAATTATACTGAACTGGGTCCTGCTTCTGACACATTTCGTTGCGAGTGAGTGTCATGCATCAGTTAGTCGTCATCTCACCTATTATTAGCGTCAATGTCTTCACGGCAGCAGCGCTCGTCATCTTCTTTCCCGTGATGGAATCTGTGTACTGGATCTTCGTAGGGAATCCGAAGGTGAGTCTTATCTTTCCCATAGATAAGACTCACCTTCGGATCTATGGCGAGATTCACGATTGGATGACTAACTAGATTTATAATCAGTCTGAATTTCGCCCTAGGCGATAGCTCCTGCGACGTGACTGTGACTCTGCAGGGTGTTCCGGCCAAGGTTTGAAACTTAACATTACTATATGTTCAATTTCGCGCACCATATTCCTTGACCATACTTGTAATGTGCCACAACTTGAGACTAGCATATAATCATATCTTCGTCTCGACCGCAGACCAGCCCTCCTGGATGGTTTTGTCTTGCTTTGCAATCGATCCGAGAGTATTAGACCAGGACTCGACGTGTTTCCACGCATAGGTCAAGATTTTGTTGTGGACAACGTAATTGTACAATACTTGTGCGGTTATCACTAAGATCCATCTCCAAGGGTCTCGAGCTGTTCAGCGCTGTTTCAAAGGCATGTGAGCGGAGAGCTTGACGTAGCACCGAGATAGTATCATTAAGGAGATCACCGAGGTACTCCAAACTCCAGAAGAGTGATGGTTTCAGTCTCTGCTCCATGGTTTCTGCGGAAGATAGAACAAGCTGGATGACACGGGAAGCCGAGAAAATATCCCTGCCGGATTGTCGGACGATGCATTATGGCGACGCTGCGCTTGCTCATTTCTTTGATAAATCTAACACAGAATGAAAGCATGGGTGCGAGCAGCTCGAGTAACGTTGATGGTCTCGAGATTACATCAGGGTCCTGCGCCATTGATCGTACACTCTTCACATATTCCAGAGCCGTAGAAGCGACAGCGCTAGAGTCACCTGACACTTCGAGTACGACGGCCATAAAAGCTTCGTCACACATGCACCCTGTGACCAAAATGGGGGTGATGAGTTCAAGAAGAGATAGCGCGAATGAGACGATGAATGCTGGGCGCTCAGGCTGAACAGCGCATCCCTGTCCTTGACGTCAAGGGCCAGCAACCACAACTCTACGATCAAGCGGTAAAGGGTGGGCGTAGTAGCGAGCAACGGTGTGTTCCCGTCCCTCGCGGAAAAGGCATATTGCAGTATCTTGCCAACTAGATCGATGACAAGCTTCTTTTCGACGGGCCTATAGTTGGCTCTGCACATAATGAACTGGTCGTGAAAGAAGAGAAGCCAGGGAACGATACGGTTCCAGGCGGAGACGAGACATTGTTTTGCCTCAGTGCGAGATCCATTGTCGATATTGTCACGATCCCGACAGATGACCACCGGGCGAGCTCAGTATCGGTGGTAGTGGCTGGAGTTGACTTCGCAGGAACGCAATCTGGGTGAAGGTGCATGTAGAACACTGGCTGCAGTATCATAGCTCGGGTGCGGAGCAATCTGTAAGTCGAGAATCGGAATCAGAATTTTGAATGCCGACCCGAGGTTCAAGTTTTCAACTGAGAGCTCGAGTAATAAAATTGAATATACGTAAGACCGTACGCGTACGACTTCGATGTATATATAATGTAAACCTATCAGGACACTCCAGAAGAGCTCTGTCCAACGACCTGCAATGTCGATTCACGACGCACGTTCCACTCCCAGTCCCGACTCACTCCCATGAGACTACACCACCTTCAGCACTTTCCGAGAAGAAGTTATATGACTGTGTCCTCGAACACTTCGCTGCCGTAGATATACGCTGCCAAATGTCAACCAGGAGAAGTCTGCACTGACGGTGGATGGAAAGTTTTGGCTGGTCGGTGCACCTTATCGCGCTCGATTTTTTTTGCATTTGGTTGACCCGCGTCACCCTGTCCTATGGTAACTAACAGTCATATAAGTGTCTCTCTTCGGCTCGAACTAGATGGTCCAGACTTGGAGCTTCTTCGATTATTCACTTATCCTGATGCCAATCAGTCACTAAATATTTAGACGGACGAATCGAAAATGCGTCACTCAGTAAGTCCGAGTCCTTGTATGATATTGATAATCCTCATCATCTAACCGAGATGCTACCTAGGCCAACAGGATCCTGACGCATAGCGTACCGCGAGAAAGGTCCCATCATAGTTTGTAACTATCTGTACAATGCACGTGTACATTGTGAACGTGCCTACCAGCTACTCGACAGTTATTCATGTTCTTGATTCTCTCCTCCGTCTGGACCGTGCAATCATCGCATGCAATATGCAATTGGCCTAGTATATATACCTTCACTGGCTCGATCACGTCTCTTCCCGCTTGTTAACTTGAATCCTCAATTACTCGACCACGATTTCCCGATTTCCCGAATACCTCCGAAATTTGAACAATGCCCTACAGCATTTTCAGTTCCTTCTCAACTAGTGTTCGCTGGCCATCCTGACCCCATAGCGGCTCTCTCCGAGTCTAACCTCACCTGGGCCCACTTCGAAGCCTACCTTCAAAATCATCGACATAGTGATGTTTGTATTTACCTCTTCCACGGCGCCCTTACATTGCATCCCCAGGGCTACCCTGGACCTTGGTCACCCATTATTTCTTTCATCTCTGATCTGGCGCCATAGCAACCAGCACACCACCTTCTACATACATCCAACAATGTTTCCGGATGTGCAGCAAGCTTCTGCTCTTCCCACCCAGCTATATTCGTAGTACTAGCACCGGGGCTGCGCAATCAATCATGTGAGCAACAATCTAACAAACTCAACAGACGCATCCGATCAGGCCAGGATCCATCTGAATCCACATTCGACGACTCGAGCTCTCTCCTTTGGACCATCAGCACCGGTACCTTCCCACACCTCAAGACTTTACAAGCAGTTGAAGCGTCCATTAACCAGCACGGCAGCATTTTGACGAACTATCAAGTTGTATACTCTCGTCTATGAGAGCATACAACTTGGTGGTAAAGTCTTATCTTTGTGCCCTGATTCCGAGGGACATCCTGATCTTGATCGTGCTACTCACTTATAATTGGATACTTTGGCGATTCTCTTCACCGCTTCGATCACCAGGCCTACGTGTAAAGATCTCACGATTGACACGTACTGTTTCGCAATCTTCGTATCTAAACGCTCACTGACCCAGTTTATGCGCAGGGACTCGGATCGATAACATTTGCAATTGGGGCAGTGCCAAGACATGCGTTTGAAATAGGTCATCAACAGCGGTTGAAAAAGGCGCCTTCAAATAAACCATGCCCAGCTTGTCTACATAGTATGTCTCCGTTTAGACCTCACACCGCTGATCATCCAGTAGGTCTCTATGATCTCCACTTCCTCGCTCTCGACCAGGCTGTTCACTTTCCGTACGTTTGATGCTGAATTCTGTTTCGAGTCCGACACTGAGCTCAGTATCAAACGTCATGGTACACGAAAAGGCCTCAGAAAAACGAGTTGTGTCGAACCCTCCACCGTTTGGTGCGCCTCGTCGGACGAAGAACTCGGAGAGGGAGAAAGATACACCATGCCACGTTTGTAGTGCACAGTATCTTCAGGATGCATTTTGGGAAGGTTCGTCAGTGCTATTACCTCGTTGTGATACTTCTTATTCAACGATTTGCGAGAAACATACGGGATTGATGAAGATGCGCTTCCTCCTCGATGTCAAGAAGTATGCTCATGATGCCTTCGTGGACGGGCCATCACCAGGTGAACGACTAGGTCAGTGTCATTTCAGTGAGGATTCGATTTTCAAGTGCTCCCACAGTGACATAGGGCTGGAGCGAGGAACTAGAACTAAGACTCACGGTTGGAGAGCCCACGCAGCGGTTCTCGAACCTCACGCGAGTTCGTTTTGAGGTTTAAAACCATTTGGCGTTGGTGTTTTCTCTTCTATGACGTTTGACTCTTGTACTAGGTACCACCCCGATCAAGCATTATCTCTCTGTCAGTATCTTCAGATCGAGGTATCGATACTGACGTTGATCTGATGGCTATAACAAGGAGCCATGTTCACGGATTCACCAAACTGCGTGGTAGCTACTCCAAAACGAATCCGAGGTAAGCACCTTTGACAACTCGTGCTCATCGCCATCAACATAAAGACCTCAACTTGGACGTTGAACTTGAAGCTCGCTTTAACTAGCACGGCAGCATTAATACCAGTATCAATATCAGTATTTGATTGATCTACCGAGTTGTATGCTCTTGTCTAAGAGAGCTTACAACTTAGTGGTGGAGTCTTATCACTGTCTCTGGCCCGAGGGACACTTTTGATCCCTGATCGTGCTACACACTTGCTGGGGGAGATGGCTGCCCTCGACACAAACCGGCAGAATGGAGTGGTAAAGATACGCGGCCTCATGGTGATCGACATGGTCTTTTTTATGGGAATGGGCATCACAATCTTCACATGCTTTTTAACGCTCACTCAGGTTGACGTCATGCATGCCCTGATCGGTTTCTTGATGGGTGGATTACTCAGCATCCTGAGGTACGGTTTTCGACCCGATGGTATATCTCTGACTGATCACTCCACTAGGGTGTGGGCACTGGAAGAGACTGATCTGAATCCTGTAAGCGGAGTGGAGAAGATCTCGCAACTTCTCTTTGCTTGGATTCAACCTGGCAATGTGGTTGCAAACATCATTGCCAGAGGTGTTGCAGAAGCTGGGCATCTGTGCTAGCTGCCCTGCATAGGATTCCGGATTCCGATGTGGCGCTAATGGGCGCACGGGCAGGCAGCCGCTTTCTGTAGCTTTCGTATTACTTTAAGCCTTGACATGCATTGTTTTCCGGACTTAATATTATTCACTTCGGTGCACCAAAAAATGTATGCAACATCATTTTCTTGCTCCTTGCAGAATGGCCGATACGCGCCAATCACATTGAGTATACACAGAATTGGCGGATACGCGCTCTTGGAAAGCAATCGAAGTCATACCAGTTCCTGCATGCTTGACTCGTCCCAAGAAAATGATAATTTGTAGTCCTAACATTGAGTATCCAAAAATATACATCTATCCAAACATTTCCAAGATTGCGTTAGTGTCCAATTTTCACGGTTGCATTAAATTACCCAGACCACAATCACACCTCATAGCGGCGCACCCGGAGGGGCACACTACCGTGAGATTCCCCAGCCACACTCGGTCTTGGTAAAAACCCCAAACTCTCCACGATCTTCGCCTCAGGGCCATCTACCATCTCGAACACGAAGTTTTTCACAAGGACAAACAGCACAACCTGGGATGAGATGAAGCCCGGTCAAAACGCGTTGGAACCAGTGCTCTTGCGCAGCTGCTTACCTTAAACTCTGCCAACGCGAACAGCCTCCCCGGGCACATCCGCGCACCATTGCCGAAGGTCATCAGATGACGATAGTCAGGCAGTGTTTCTCTACTTCCACGTGTGCCTTCTTCCTCTTTGAGCCACCGGGAAGGTTTGAACACCTTTGCGTCAGGCCCCCAAATACTGACCGAGCGATTGAGTGCGGCGAACGGGACCACGACCTCCGTCCCCTTCGGAATGCATACATTGTCGGTAGAGTTACCGGTGGCCGTGAGCATGGGCTCACTGAGTGGGATCACGTCTTCTTCTATAGCCTGTCAGGTTAAGTTCGATTGGTTTGTATTTGAATTTCTTCAGATACGCACCACTCGTGGGATTTCTGCAACTGATGCGTGGAGGCGAAGAACTTCATTTACGACAATGTTCAAGTAGGGAAGCTTATTCATGAGGTCGTCATATGAGGGGGCTGACCCGAACTCTAGACACTCGTCACGAAGCTTCGTTTGGATGTCTGGATTCCGCGCAAGTTCTATAAAAGCCCACTGTGGAATTTAGAAACGCAATGGGAACAATGAACGGTTTGAAACTTACTGTGATGCTGACTGATAAAAGGAAGGAACGGTGAATATGCGGTTCTCTTTCTAAATAAATGCACATTACCTGCCGTGGTCTCGAAGCCCCCGAGAAGTAGAACCCGTGCCTGGTGGAGACGGAGATCAGTGTCATATCATTCGGGAGAGTTCAATGATTCGCATACTTGGGCTAGTACCTCTTGGGGAGTCAGTCCCGCGCCTCCGCCAGATTCTTCCGCTTTCACTACAAAACAATTGTAGCATTCGCAATTTTGGAAACGAAGGACAAACTCACAGAGCAAACCTAAACATGATTTGTCCCCCTGGTCAGTGCCACCCGTCTCTTTTTCCTTGCGCCTCCGCAATAGCATCTCCTGGCATATTTCGCCCATGATATGGTTCAGCCTATGGGAGAACTGTGTGCGAGGCAATGGTAGCTTCAAGATGGAAGGAAAACGTTGTGCGAGCATAACCGATTTGCTGGAAACAAAGGCAGACGAACTAAACGCATTCAGGACTTGCTCGACTTCGGAGTCAGTTCCATCGAGTGCGCCGAAATCATGCGACAGAATGGCTATGCCTGCACTGTCGAGTCTACGTGGTGGGTATTGGATGAGACAGCAGCCTGGTGGAGAAGGGATATACATACGAGATGTGATTCATCCTACACATAGTACACAATATGTCTGAGTGCGCAGGCAGGAATCTTTTTGGGAGAAAACAAATACCATTGTTGAACATCAATTACAGCGCAATCAGTTCCACTGTTTGATCCTATCTCAGCGTCCCAAGCGATTACTGCCTGTGACCTATTACGAGTGCAGTGATGGGCTAGCGGTGAGTGACTCACCTTGTGAACGGCATTGTGGAAAATAGAAGTCAAGCTGCGAACAGCAGCTGCGCCAAAGGCAGGGTTGAGGGTCTTGCGCTGCCTGATAAATTAGAGAGAATGACATGGTCCACGTGGATTTAGTTCAGCACAACTTGAAGGTCACAATTCCTACCTTTTGTGACTTTCACCATCGGCCCACATTACTCCTCTTCCCATCTGTCAGTCGCAGAAGCAAGTTATTATTTTGTAGCTGTAGAAGAAGGTAAAAGGACATACTACCAGCTCAAGGGACATCTTGGTGAACGGAGTTTGGTTATAGAACCATGTGTCTCTCGTAAAGAAATGAGAGACTGCTTTTGGGTCCCATAGTATGACCTTGGACTGTCCCAAGAGGTGCGGGACCTTGTACACCGGTCCATACTCTTTAGCCCACTGTTCGTATAAGTCACTGGTGATAGTGGTATCTATTAGTGTCTTGGCGAAACCATACACCCAACTTGGACTCTGAGGTCCTCGTATGCGTGTCGTTCGTTGTCTTTGGCGATACACTTGCAGACGATAGAGGGATGCCAGTATCAGAACTAAGACGCATGTCGTCGAGCCTGACAGGGGCCCTGCGAGGCAGAGGTCCTTGAAGGCAAGCCAGATGCCCCTGCTGTAGTCCTTGCTTTGCGACAAACCCATGGTTGCGAACGAGGATAATCATTGTTCAGTACTACTTAAATACTGCGAGCAGAGCACAGGAAATTGAGATCCCCGAGGGTCATCCCGGCCTCGTCAGTCCATAGTGCCATATTGATAAATCTAAAGAGGACTAGTATCAGCCTCGAATTGAGATAAATCAGTTATTTTAATCACCCACTATCCAATCTGAAATACTGATCAGTGATATATGATGTCCTTTGAGGTAGTCCAGAGTGATGAGTGCCTATAATTACTCTTCCGAAATACTTCGGCTCCTAAAAGCTCTGGAAACAAGGTACGAACATAATGTCAAGACCTGGACCTTGCCGAACAGCGGTGGTAAAAATGACTAACTGCGGTCGAGTAAGCTGAAAAATAATGTCCGAGGCTGGAGCCGGATGGTATTTTACCGACTAGGTATGTATTAAAGGGGAGGAGTAATATCAAATTGACCCACTTCTCGCAGGGCTTTAAGTTGGACTTGGCGTGACACAACGCAGCTGCCTTGCTTTGAATTGTGCACTTGCCAAGTGGATGCCTCATGGAGTTGAGCAATTTAATCTAGTCAGCGAGTACAGTTTCTGATTCTGGTGAAAGGAGCTGCTGCTCGACATGAGTCTTGACAATGGTATGACCAACTCTCACCAAGATGAAGGGTGTCGTGCCCTGTTGCAACAGCACGAATGTTAGGAGAAGAAGCATGTAGAACAGTGCAGGTATTTTTATCTTCAAGTTCTGAGAAAACTTCGAGGGTTGTTTTCTCTTGGGAATAGTACGACCGGCTGCAAGATTAAAAAATTAACTTTGCAGATGGTGTGGAGTTTTGGCTGTACTACCCGTACCCGACGACCCTTACCAACGACCCGGGTTACCCCGGGCCTAACCCGTGCTATTGCTTAGCTACGATCTGTTGTATGGTGTGCTCATTGCGCAGGCCGATTCATTGATGTGTCGGTGAACTCATCTACCTTTGATGATGGCATGCCAAGACATCATGACAAACTATCCGCGCATCGGATGTCCTGGGTGCGAGGTTCAATGGGGTACAGCAGGAGATTACCATCCGAGTGGCCAATCATTAGTAGCAGTAGCGTAGTACAATGGATTTCAACTTTTTGTGAGACAGCATCGCGGATCAGTCGCATATTAGACTGATAATCGACTTCCCGCAGCATTTAGAATGCTGTTCTAGTTCTGAACGAGCATCTCATGCCGACGTGCCGCTATCAAATGTCAGTCTTTTGCAAGTCCGCACGTCGAACTGACCCAGTTCTAGATATCGATCTAGAAGGGGGGGCACGGAGACTCGTGGCCAATCTGTCTAATGAGTGCCCAGTCCAGACAGACTGGTCACGAGTCTAGGCAGGACCCCCTTTCTAGATAAATCAAATCGTGTTCTTCTAAATCGCTTTCAAACACCGCGATAATGTGGCAAACTTCTGGTATGGCATTAGATCATTGTACGCGCATTACCCCCATTACCCTGGGCCATGATTGTGATGAAAGCTCGGTCATTGCGCGCTGCGAGCCAAGTACAGAGCTTGATAGGGTGTATTGGCATGGAGATTGGGAAGTAGGTCACTTCGAATGAGGTATATTCTTATTGCTCGTCTGCGTGGCACCGAGGCGTTCATGTCGCGATTCTTCGCCTCCTGAAAAAATGACTGCGCGAAGTACAGCTATCTCAGCGTGCCTCCGGAATTCATCTTCGTCGTCTATTTCATCCTCCGCCAACTCATGCATGTGATATAGCTGATATGGATCCATGTGGTCGTTGTCCATGTTTAGGTTCTTAGAGCATGTATTTAGAATCTAGATACATTTGGTCTGCGGTTTAGAATACGTTTCTAGAGGTTGATGTACTGTGAGCCGAGTCGGATCCGACAAATAAGATTTGAATCGATATCTAGGATTCTGAATGCTGCGGGATGTCACCCACTGATAATGTCAATCTCTTCCTCGCTTGCACCGCTTATTCCAGTCAGTTCCCCGTTCACATTTTTGGTTACTTGCTTAATGTAGTTCGTTTGAGACTACGCCAAACAGGGATCGTTGAACGATGCTTTTACGACGGTTTCAAATATCAGATGGCGGCCCTACCTAGTGAACTCTATCCTAAGGTAGATTATGCAACAATGTAGAAATCCGAAATCACCACTGGTAAAAGGAATCAATCAAATGACAATAGACATGGACACCAAGCTAAGTACGACCGTGAGCACTACCACGGCTGCTATTTGCTGCACCATCCCGGCGGGGTATGTCAACGCGCTCCCAATGCCATCGAGGAGGCATCCTCAATCTGCCATGTGACCAACACGAATAATAGTAGAGGAACGCTTTGCACCAATGCACATCTGGGAGCGAATCGATTTCAGATGTGTCGTTTTCCTGAGATACGGTAGCCTGTTGGCTAGACGGATGTCGGGTATCGTCAACTTTCTTATATTCCGGTAGTTTGGCAGCAGCGAGTCGCTGTAGGGCACAGATCAGTAAGAAATTTAAATACAGTGACCTTCCGCCCGGGTGCGACTTCAACGACTGGTGGCCCGAAGCTGCGTATTGGCGCGAGGGAGGAAAAATGCTGGCGTAAGAACCGCGCCACTCCGTTCGAGGGGGAAGGTGCAGAACTTATTTCGAACTGAATACGCACTTAATTATGTATTGTGAGTTGAATAAAATTGAGACTGTCATGATCAAGCCGAAGTACGGCCTGCCCCGAGAGGGAGGACGGTAGGGCAAATGTAGCAGGGACCTGGAGTGCCATCGTCGAGTCAATGTAAGCATGACGCTTACCCAGCATATGACACAGCCTATGACAGCAATACCTTCGATGACGCGTCTCACCGCTGATTGGACACTGCGCACGACACAGGATCATATATATAGCTTGACCTACCTGTACTTGGATCTTATCTTACTCTTACCGCTTGTCAATCATACGCTCTTCCACATTATCATTTGTCCGTCAGTGTTGCCGTCGACGTTGGCGGCATTACAGTCAACTACGAAAGAAACAAGAGAAAGAGACATACATCTAAGGGATCACGAGGTTGATCCCGACCAGGTCGTAATGTGTTCGTGCGAGGAGAGAAGCGAAGAAATTCACTGAGGAGAGGGAAAGAGGGTTGCTGCGGGTCTATTGTAGGTCGAGGTCTCTGCTCCATAGGTATGACAGGTATCGGTGGTCTGCGACGTCTAGCAGGAGGACGAAGAGTTGCATCAGACTGTAATGATAGCGATGGCTGAGTGGTGTAATGAGTAAAAGAATGAGATGCGCACCCTTAGTGTCATTAAGGGTAGACTTTTTGCGTGCAATGGCGCCGCCATAGTCTGTAAGGGAATGTTAGCACACGAACAGTGAATGTTTGAAAGGAATGCGTAGGCGGGCCTGAGCAAGGACGTCGGGTGGAGTGTCACAGAGGCAGATCTTGTAGTCCGAGTCATTTTTGGGGCTTGTTGTGTAAGCTAGTTGGCGTGAGTCGGGTAAGAGGGTAAGTCTTCTGAAAATCAAAGGAAGCGAGGAGCTGGCGAGACTCGAAAGCCCAGAGCTTGATGGTGTCGTGTGAAGCGCTAGCGAGGAGTGAGAGTGTGAGGTCGGAAATAAGGTCGATGTGCCCTTCAAAGGGAGCTCCAACAGTCTCGACTCTCCAGCGTCGATGCGTCGAATTCGTAGATCGTCCTGGCGACGTCATTAATATTGTTGGTGAAGTTGAATGGGGCTAAGAACATTACATAATTGACGAAAATTGCTTCATCTTTGTTCCCTTCTCTTCACATGTGATTGGATATCCCAGACACTACCGGTAATCAGTGAAGCAAGCGTTGTTTGTCTTTATTTATATATCAATCCAGTTAATCGACTGATGATCGATGAGTGTCCCTGCCGCGTATCTTTACCGCTCCATCCTCCCAGTCTGTGTCGAAGGCAGCCATCTCCTCCAGCAAGTGTGCAGCAAGATCAGGAATCAAAAGTGTACCGCGAGCCACAGAGACAGAGATAAGACTCCCACCACGGAGTTGTAAGCTCTCTTAGACAAGAGCATACAACTCGGTAGATCAATCAAATACTGATATTGGTATTGGTATGCTGCCGTGCTAGTTAGAGCGAGCTTCGAGTTCAACGTTCAAGTTGAGGTCTGGGATAATATCCGTGTTGATGGCGACGAGCAAGAGTCGTCAGATGTGCTTACCTCGGATTCGTCTGAGAGTAGCTAGCGCGCAGTTTGGTGGATCCGTGGACATGGATGTATGCTCCTTGGTATAGCCGTCAGATCAACATCAACAACAACATCTCGATCTAAAGATACTGACAAAGAGATAATGCGTGATCGGGGTGGTACCTGGGACACAATACAAGGGTTAGGCGTCGTAGAATAGAAAAAGTACTATACCAGCGCCAAATGGTTTTGAACGTAACCTCGAAACGGATCCACGTGAGGTTTGAGAGCCGCTGCGTGGTCAATCCAGACCACGCAACGGCTCTCCAACTGTGAGTCTTAGTTCTAGTTCCTCGCTCCAGTCCTATGCTACTGTGGGAGCACTTGAAATTTGAATCTTTACTGAAATGACACTGATATTGACCTAGTCGTACACCTGGTAAAGGCCCGTCGACGAAGGCACCATCAGAACATACTTCTTGACATTGAGGAAGCGCATCCTCATCGACATCTTTAATCCCGCCTGTTTCTCGTAATCCGTTGAGTAAGAAGTATCACAACGCGGTAATAGTACTGACGAACCCTCCCAAAGTGTATCCTGAAGATGCTGTCCACTATAAACGTGACATGGTGTATCTTTCCCGTTCTCCGAGTTCTTCGTCCGACGAACACACCAAACGGTGGAAGGTCCAACACAACCAGTTTTGCTGAGGCCTTTTCGTGCGCCATGACGTTTGATACTTTGATACTGAGCTCAGTGTCAGACTCGAAACAGAATTCAGCATCAAACGTGCGGAAAGTGAACAGCCTAAGCGAGGGTGAGGAGATGGTGATGGTGGAAGTAGAGATGGTGGAAAACAGAATGGCGCTTTAATGGCAGTGACTTTAGCCATGGTTGTGAGCCGGGAAGCGAGGAGAGGTAGATGTGGTGGAAGAATTCAGGGTACAATGCACAGCTGTCATGCAGAGGGGCCGTGTTAGGGTGTATATATGCAAGGCGGCGCCCAAGGCCAATAACTACACTTACATTCAAGCTTCCGTCGCTCCTCAAGTTCTTCGCGACTAAAGCGCTAATCTCTCTGTAACACCAAATATTCATCTAGACTTCCAGCGCAGATAAACTGATGTTTGGCTTTATCAGAGAGCCTATCTTCGAACCGCTGCCACTGTCAGTCATACAACACACTGACATCAAGAGACCTCACCTTTGCACCTTTCGAGGCATCCGAAGATTACCTTGCCCATACTCGACTACTTCACGGTTTCGCTCAGACACAGCCATGGCTTCCGCGAATCCGCGTTGATGAATGCAGCCGCTAAAAAAAATCAATTCTGACACCAACAATAACTTTGAAGGGTCACGAAGAATTTATTTCGTCCATATATCATTTTCCAGATGGCCAGCGAGTGATCAGCGGATCTGAGGATAAGACCACTCGGCAATTGGATCTGAAGGCGGGCAAGGAGATTGAGTAAGCGCGGGATGTTTGCGAGGGGTGGTGATCTGCGGTCATGGGGCGGTATCAAGAGATGGTCGATGGGTTGTCACTGGTGGTAGAAATTGGGATAGCGCGAAGCTGAAAACCTGTGAGGTTGTGACGGGAATTGTGAAGATCGAGGTCTTTTTTTTTTGAAAAAAAATCCAGTTTTTTGTCCATTGAGAGTGATACTCTATGTAGGACAGAAGGTCTTTTTTAATGGGAATGACGCTTGCAGAGAGCATAGCAAAGGTTGAGGATGGATAACAGATGATCGGTGATCGATGGCCCTGGGGGCGGCAGAGCCGCAGAGTAGCAGCCATGTAACACCATGGCTTAGTCAGCCACTTCGGGCTTTGTCGTAGCGTATGAGTGCTGTTCATTTAACAACACTTCTTCTTGCCTTGCTCGCGACACGCAGGCACACAGTCGTGGATACACCACTCTATTGCGATTGACAGGCGTACTATTTCAAAGACATCGCAATCTTCAGTGGCCACACGCTTTTAACGCTCACTCAGGTTAACGTCATGCAGTGCGGAGACTTGGATCTGCGCAGTGCGATACCATCCGTAATTGGGGCAGGCGCCTGCAAATACAGTATGTACAACTCAATTGTCCTCGCATGGCTTCCGTCCAGGAGGTCTTCATGATAATCACTTCCACTATCTCTCCTCGCACTTGCCAACTCGGGGCTCTGTATCACTATCACTGTCGCCTTATCCAGCGGCATTTCAAGACTTTCTTGACCGGCGTCATGGCACCCGGAAAGACCTCAGCAAAACGGAAAGACGGTCAGCGAGGAGCGGGAGCGGTATTGGGTGCTCATCGCCGGAGGGAAATTCGATAATGCCCATCTGGTATCCGAGCAACAGCCCAGGAAGAGAGGTGCAAGTTCTTAAAGACCCCATATTGTGCTCCTTATCTGCTGGCACGGCCGGTACTCGTAAGACTTCTCAGAATTTACATCGATGCGAACATGTACTAAGCATCATTTCACAGTAAGCGTCCCCTAATATCCGGACCCCTGCCTCATTGCAGCCCTATCTTCTGTGGGATCTGATGTCCAGGTTGATCGGCCATAACACCTGGGGCGAGATCCTGACGCCCAACTGACTATCTTTAGTACGTACGCCAAGTTCCCATGGGTGCAAAACAATGTTGAACATTATCAAGTGAGCCGCACACACTGTCTAATTTTGTGTTCGAAAGTTGGAGCAGGGACACTCATTGGCACGCTGATAACTGTCGACTCTAGCGACAGCATGCGTGATGTCTGGACGACAACCTGTCAAGGATAATGTTTAGTGATACCAGCGCCAAGCGCTAAGAATCAACATTTAAAATGGGCGCATCGCCGCTTATCAGACGCCTGGGCATGTTCTGTCCTGCAGGATTTCATGTGGTGGGGTCCGCAATATCTTTCGTACGTATCTACCTTACATACACATTCACCTATCATTCACCGTTCCATCCACGCTCACGTTTTCGTTCTCCGTTTCAACGATCCTCTAATATTCAGCGTCTATAATATTCCTTTCCCTCGGTCCTTTCGGGATTTCTCTTCCTCGTTTCTAGTCTGAGCCTCCTCATTTTTTGAGACGCAAGGCCTTCATAAATGTAAGAACATACTTCTTCCAGGCGTAGAGTTGTATAAGAACGTTGGTAGCAGCGCAGAAAGCCTTTACTTCGACAATTTCACCCTCCCTTCTTCCACCTGTATGTCCACTAGAGCGCAAAACATGCAAAGCGCATCATCACGATCTAGTCTCACACCTGTCAACACCGATCCGCCGACCACCGAGTAAGTGGCAAGTTAGACTGAGTTGATCCCCATACTCACGGGATCCACAGGGAATATATCAAGCCCAAACCTTATGCAGAGAATGAAAAACCTGTCGTGTCCATCGAGGCCGACCCTGTTAGAAATATGTGAATGTTAACCAATTAGCACGATACATTTGGTGTCTGACTATATTATGTCAAGGTCAATCACCCTGGAGCAGATCCTCAGTGTCCTTAGGTCATCTAGTGTTCCAGAAGAACGCAGCAATGATGTCAAATCAAATTTCTGGGCGAGTTACAAGAAAGCTGCAGATGAGTACGATGACGCTTTCCTCGAACGAGCCCATGATAATATAGGCGTTATCCTGAATTTTGTGCGTTCGCTTCTATGTTTACCAATCAAGTCTAACAGATAAATCAGGCTGGTCTACTCTCAGTCGTCATCTCTACATTCATCGGTGGAATGCAACCTGACTCTGGAGACACTACCAATGCCCTCTTGGTGCAGCTAATTCAAGTCAGTGTTGACGGGCCAAGTGCCGTAGATGACATCAGCAATCTTTCCTCAACTACGGGCTATTCTTCTTCGACCGTCTGGGCGCAGACCCTTGCCTATATTGGCCTAGCGCTTAGTATGTTGGCTGCGTTCGGGGCAGTTGTGGGAAAGCAACGGCTTTATTCATTTGAGGCAGCTCGGAAAAAAGGGGGGTCTCTAGAAGAGAGCGGCACGCGGAGGCAGATGAAACTGAATAAGCTAGAGCGTTTGCAGCTGTTCTCTTGCTTGCAGGCGTTCCTTTGGTTCCTGCAGGTCGCGCTGCTGCTCTTCAGCGTCTCGCTATGCCTCAAGACGTGGACAGACCCACTCCCGACATTCGTTGTCATGGTCTGCACTGCAGCTTCTGTCGCTCTCTTCTGTGCAGGCTCTATCTTCCTGGCAACGTGGCAGGATAGCCCACCGACTCCTGGGTCCCACATTCTTAACAAAGTGTTCCCCATACGCTGGATACTAGAAACACCAATGAACCAGGAAGCTGCCGAGGCTGCGGCTGCGATGGTACCTCTCACCCAATGGTTGCCGAACCTTGATGTTTCGACAGCCTTCGAACGTTTACTTGATAACTTCGAGGCGTATCGTAACAGTGAAGAACTATACGTAAAGTTCGGCAAGGCTGTGGCCCATTTTTGCATCCAACCAGTGCAAATCGACGATGCACTTGTGGACAAACGTTTTTGGAGTTATGAATTCCAGGCAACCCGAAGTCGCTTCATTCGCGATGCGTTCACGACTTGCCGTGATGCGTTCATGACTTGCCGTGATGTCTACTGCCATAACAAGACACTGCCACTGGAAGAAGACATGACCACGCTGAAGATGAAGTATCGGGCCAGTGCACGCACCGCCCTAAGGACAATGGTTGTCCACGGACTGGACTTTTGCTTTTCACTTCCAGACAATGAAACATTGATTTGGAATGGTGACTTACGCTGGTCTTACATTGACGGGCGTAAGCCCGACTGTGAAGAATTTGATTGGCTCGTTGATTATCTGGCGGATGAAGCAGGGTACGACAAAGCCGATGAAACAGGTGATGCTTTGCTTGCACTGAGTGCGATGCGTGGACTAGGGAGCCCTGCCAAGCGATATTCCTACATCAAGTCGCTTATACATTGTATGGACTCTACTAGACCTCGCCGAATCCGGCATGCCGCGCTTAGGACTGTTTATGAGGTTCGATGTGAACTGGCTTCTATCACCAGTTCCTCGATGCCAGAGGGTATCAACGCAGAACTCCTGAACGAGCTTTCGGGTGCTCTTTTCACCGCCATGCATCCAGATCACGACGATGGACCCAACGCCTCTCGAGATCTCAAATACATCCACATCATCTTTGCTATGACAAAGAATGATGATTGGCGTCGACGTCTGGCCAGTCACCACCATCTTCAGCGGTGCATTTCTCTAGTCACGATTGACGGAGTTCAAATGTACGATCGGGATGTCGGATTCTACCTCACTGTGATCATCGGGTGCCTCTATCCCACGGGCAAGAATCTTCTGTTCGACTCGCATCCCGACCAGGGTCATCCGTGGTGGATACTCATCAAAAATACATGGATACATGCACACCATTCCGTAAGGGATGATGACTACATAGATGGCATACCAGCCCTCGCGAGAGCGACGAGAACTAATATTTTTTCGGCGCCGCGGCCAGAAGACGTTAGTATAGTTACTCAAAAGGTGCAGTGGGCTCTGGGCGATTTGCAGAACCCTGACAGAAAAGCAACCTTTGCGAAGACTGGTGTAGATCAGGCTGCAGTTGAAGCTGCAATATCTTCTGTGCAGGACTTGTACAACTATCTACTACGTGGTATGGTTGAGTAACCAAAAACTTCCCAGATGAACAATGGAGCTTTGGGGTTGTGAAGGATGTCTGGAGCGAAGTACTTTTACACATGTACTATGCAGGTCGCGGTTTATTTCTATGCCTAGTTCCCCTGTCCATGAAGTGGATGCCATCGATTTTGTACCCACAAAATAGCTACCGTTATCAACGGTTCTTTGAGACCAAACATCTTGAGTACTGTAAAAGGGCATACAAGCATGCATTATAATCCTGGGGGCGAGGGGCAGAGTAGCAGCTGTGTAAACCGTAGCTTAGTCAGCCATTTCGGGCTTTGTCCTAGCGTACGAGTGCTGTTCAGTGTTCAAACGTTCACCACTTCCGAGTCTTCTTGCCTTGCTCGCAACGCGCAGGCACACAGTCGTGGACACACCGCTCTATTGCGATTGACAGGCGTAGTATTTCAAAGACATTGCAATCTTCACACGTTTTTAACGCTCACTCAGGTTTAGGGTACGGACAATAAGTCAACCCGCTGTTATTAACCTGTGTTAAAAAGCAAGCAGCTGCGTAGGGTTATTTACAAGCATGTTATTAACATGTTATTAACAGTCACGTGACCAAAAAATGACGATTTTCGCTGTAGCTACTACCAAAATTTTCCACCCCACTCAGTGTCCTTGTCCTCTAGGTCAGCATCATCCTCAGTAGCATCACCACCCAGGCCGTTGATAGGACTTTCCTTGCATTCATCAGACAATGCTTTGGTGACAATTGGTGCACGAAGGTTTGCATCTACTTCGATGTCGAAGGCTGAATCCTGTGCTGGTTCGGCTGCTAGCTTCTCATCGAGCCATGTGTCCTTTTCGTCTTCGAGAATTTCTTCCTCCTCATCTGTGCCCACAGATAGATAGCTGCCAGTGGGCTCGTGGCTTTGATGAGCAGCTGGTTCTTTGGGCCCTGTTGAAATGATGGAGTCGAGATTGCCGAATGAAATGTCTGGGTGCCGTCTTTCAACCATCTTCTAAGAGACGTGAGTTGTCAATACAGGCCACTGAATAGGACACTGACCTTTGGATCATACATATGCCATTGTCGAATCTGAGTCATGTCCACCAGTGTCCGGACATGTTGACGGTTCCTGGCCGCTGTATTCATCCTTGTGAATACTGACATTGTTTGTTCCTCGGGTATAGATGAGGGCTTGATTGAATAAATTTTTTCTGCGATACACTGGAGATAAAGCCTGAGTTACGAGTAGTCAGGATGGGCTGAAACTCACCGCGAGTATGCAACCTTCAGGTATCTTCGTTAAGTGAGTCCAGTATGAGAGGATGCCCTGACCAGCATCCACCATCACATCGAAAGGGTACTGTCCTTTTACATAGCACTCAAACTGGCGCACAAAAGCTTCACGAACGTCAGCAGCCGTTTTTCCTTTGAGAGTGGGGTTGTGCTGGGATTTGAACTCGGCTTCAACAACAATTTTGAGGGTACTTGAAAACTCAGATGTAAGTTGGCGATGTGAGGATATCTGGTGCAACTGTTGAAGGAATGCGAGGGACCTTGATTTTGAGAGAGAGCAGGTTATATAGGATTGCACTGCGAACGTATCCTGTCTCATGTGAGATAAGGATCAAAGGTGAAGAATGAGTGAAACATATGTGGATCTAAGCACAAAGCCGCAAGATAGCAGTCAGTGACTTCATGACGGAGGGTAACAGGTAGCCGGTGGCATGAAGCTGCGTGTTTCAACAGACGTTTCCGGTTGGCAGGGGCAGCTAAACTGTATCTGCAGTTCTCCCTGAGACATCGATACCGTCGCTTTTTTGGCTTGCCGAGCTCGTGACACTGCCTTGTCACCTTTTCAAGCATGTTAGTACGTGGTCGGCCAACTGTTTTACCATTGGTATTTTTCCGCTTCTTCAGCTCAATATCTACTAATTTCCCCCTGAACTGAGGTTCTGCGGTGTCGGAATCATCATCAAGCATGTCCGCCTTTATTTTTGGGTAAGTAAACTCGACTGAAGATCAAGTTGATTGGCAACTCACATGACTTTGCTTCTTCTTGAGCTTGAATATCAGTGCACCGGACTTGTGGGGTAGTATAGTTAGTGCTGCCGCGGTCCAGTTCCGAACCGTGGTTCGAACCTGACCAATGGTCAGGTTTGTCCATGGTTCGGTCCACGGTTTCCCATTTTGGACGGACCGAACCGAAATGAGGTTCACGGTCCGTGGTTCCTGGGACGGTTCGAACATGGGTTCGGACCTTCCCGAACCGTTCCGAACCCTGAACCTGAAGCTTCCTCGACTGTGACATATCGGCGAGGCTGGTCACTCATCTTCCCCACTCATGGGCACGACTTCTGGGATCCTCGACATCTTTAAGTTTTGATTCTGTCTGGAGACCCGCATTTTGTGCTCCCGGTCGTCCAATCAAGTTCAAGGTACCAATTAACCATCAATTAAGCTCAATAAACTGACTGATATATTACTCTGATATATTTTGTAGGATCCTCCAATGCACATGGCGGAGACTGGCTGGTAGTTCTGTCCACACATAAAAGGAGCAGTCTCTACCAGGTGAGTGATATTTTCCTCTCATAATGTCTGGATCTGACACTTGTGCCCTCAATGCTGATGGTTCTCTTAAGGATGCCAAGGATATTGTATTTTACAATGATCCTGATGATACTGTCCCTCTTCCACCCTCTGCTGAGTCTGCGCCACCCTCTGCCGAATCTGCGGCTGCCCCCACAGATGCCTTCTCAGTGTTACTGAAGGCTGGGTGCAAACCAGCACCACTTACTGTGGGTGCTCGACGCTCCATTCGTACCTCTAAGCCCTCTGCTCGCCTCCGTGATGCCAACAACACTTGTTCTAACCAAGTGTCCAGCTCAACAAGCCGCAAACATGCATGTGCCTTATCTACTACTACTACCGAGCCATCAGTTACAAAAAGGTGGTGTTGCAGCTCTCAGCTCCATTATCTGACGATGATGACTCTCATGTCACTGGTGCTGAGTCTGCCAACATGGATCATGATACTGACACCAACGATGCACCTGCTGAAGATCAACCTGAAGATGAAGATGAAGAAGCTGAACCTGAAGATGCCACCATCTGAACCACTCTGTCAAAGAGTGAGCGCAGTGCTGATGTTCGCACTGTCTTCACTCGCCATGACAAAGAGTGGGTATGCAAACCTTGCAAGTACGTATTTAGCCCTACATGTATGGTACTTGCTAATGTTTTCTAGGGATGCCGGTGAAGTCGCAAGCAAGTACACCTTTCGGGGTGGTATCTCTACACTACGCACCCATATTAGTCGGTAAGTTTATGTCTTCAGTCTCTCGAACAAATCATTACTGATATCTATTATAGTCATAAAAATCACTTCCAACTGTACAAAACACGCTGTGACGCTGCGGGCATCACAATGCACCCTCGAGCGGTTCCCACCGGCAAAGCTCAATGTCTGTGAGTTACACTCGCACATCATGTATTGTGTTGTTGCTGATTCATACGTAGTCCAAGGCAATCCACCCTCGACGGCAACCTTGTTCCAAAACCACCCATGTTTAGCAAGGCTGGCCTCCTTGAGTACATAATGGAACTTATCGTCACTGAAGATGAGGCATTACAGCTTGTCGACAAACCAGCTTTCCGCAAGCTGCTCTGCTATGTCCGCCCTGCCCTTGTTGAGGGTGATATCCCTCACCGCACTAAGCTTACAGAGAGTGTCAAAGCCCGTGCACTAACTGTAGTTGATGTCATTCATGAACGTCTTGCGAAGGTGGACAGTCAGGTCTCGATGACTTTCGACTCCTGGACTTCTATCATCGGCGACCCTTTCTTCAGCATTACTGGCCATTATATCTGGAGCCCGGATGATAAACCCCAGCAATGGGAATTACGCTGCGAGCAACTCAGTTTTGACCACATTGAGGGCAATCACAGTGGACAGAATACTGCACGCTTAATTATTGATGCCATTGACACCTACAAACTACGAGATAAGGTAAAGTCTAGTCTTTAGTCTACATATCTGCGCTGAAGCTGGTTTAGGTTGGGTGGATGACCTCTGATAATGCCACCAACAATGACACTGCCATGAAAGAAGTTGGACGTCAAATCGATCCCGAGGGTACCCGTTGGGCACCTGATGCGCATCGCATCAGGTGCCAGGAACATATTCTGAACCTCGCTGCTCGACACTTTGTTGATGGAGTTTCGCCCACTCCACAAGCTGCTCTGATGCGAAAGATTTGCCAGGCACTTGATGATGGCAATGACGCCAAACTCGACACTTTGACTCAAGAGCTTTCTTCCTTGGAAGTCTGGTGATGATGATGACTGATACCTCATTCGATGCTGGTGATTCACTCGGTAAAGCTCTCGCACTCATTGAGCAGGTATGTACTCTTGTTATTAGCCTATGCTTGTTGATAATCATGATTTTCAGATCCGAAAGTCGCCTCAAGCTCGCGCATTTTTCAAAAAGGCCTGCCAGGAGGAGAATGTTCCTCAACTGGAGTTGTTGCAGTGGGTTAGAACTCGCTGGGCCTTGTTATATAAATGCCTGGACCGCATGTTAATCTTACGTCACATGAGTTTTTTCTTTCAATGTTTGAAAATGGCCTGATGTATATATTCAAATAGGCTGTGAATCATTTCACGAACCTCGCGGATGAAAGCAAAGAAGTGCCGACTCTTTGCAACAAGTCTTACGATGACTTTAAGCTTGACCTGGGGCGATTGGAAGCACCTTGCGCTCATTCATCAAGTCCTCAAGGAACCGGCAACTGCTCAGCAATCATTCTCATCAGAAAAGCACCCAACTGCATGGCGCACAATCCCTACACTGGAGTGCCTCGCCGATCGATGGAACTCCATGGCAGCTGATGTGCAATATGCATCGATCACCGATGCAATTAAGCAGGGACTCAAGAACGTTGACAAGTACTTCAAGAAATCGAGTGAATCCGACGTGTATTTCATTTGTCTTGGTGAGTAGTTATTTTTCTATGACTCGTGCATAGTATCTAATATAGTTTAAGTTCTTGATCCGAACTATAAGCTCGCAGTATATTGAAGGTCGGTGGCATGCTCGAGATGTCGCAGCTGGCAGGGCTCGCTTGGAGGCTGTGGTAAGTACTCGTCTACACTGTTTGTTCCCCCTTTGATCTCATTTTACAGTTCAATAAATATTATACACCGCCGAGTCAGGAAGCTACTGAAGATCAATCTGCTCCACCAACGAAATCTGCACGCAAGCAGTATGGTGATGATTGGATGCGTGAGGCTATCAAGACACTGTCAATCAAGGGACCATCTCACTCACAATCCTCGGCAAGAGCTCACCGCTTACTTGTCTTTGGCGCTGGAGTACACTGATAACATTGTTGTCTGGTGGGGGGTAAGTCCATTTTTTGACTCATTTGTTCACTACTTAACCGTTTCTTAGCTTCACTCGCTGCAATACCCTACACTTGCACGCATTGCACGCGACTACTTACCCATTCAAGGCAGCGCTGTTCCCTCTGAACAAGCATTCTCAAGCGGAGGAATCACTTCGACTGTGCGACGCAATGCACTTGCAACCTCCACATTCAGCGCATTACAACTGTTGAAGGGAGCATACAGGAATGGGCACCTTTCTGCTGCAGTAGAGGCTGAGGGACATGCAGCTTCAGTTGGATATGTAGCTACCAGTACAAGTATTTCGACTTTGTTTCTTTTTTGCTGGCTATAAAAAATATTGGGTCCGGTTCTCGGTTCTTGTCCAACTGCCTCTGAACCTGACCGAACCGGACCGCGGCAGCACTAAGTATAGTAGGCAGAACAGACACCACAGATGCAGACACTGGTGGTGATGGTATAGTAGATGAAAGTGGTGTAATGGACGCGGATGCAGATGTTGGTGGTAGTGATGGCAATTGTGATGACATGCTCGATGATGGCATTTCCATAATGCAAACGCACAATATCTGTGTCGGAAGATGATAATAGAGGGAACTTCATTGGTTGGACGAAATGAGCGAGGGCATTGACAGCTAAGACACCGCAGGAGTGCGTATCCTCCTGGCAGGAAATCTGTAGATCATCCCATGTCAAGGGAGTTGGTGAATGGTGCGAGAGCCACCAATCAATGGCTGCCTTCAGGTTATTTGGAATAGCTGCGCCAAATGAGTCTCCATAGAGGACTTTCTGGTCCTCCGCATTGATCAGAACTGCAGTCCAATGGTTCTCGTGGATATGGAAAGGGATACCAAGGCTTTTGTAGTGTCCCTTGAACAACTGCTCGGCGGCACTGCGAAAAGGTTTTGCCTCCCACGAGGTCAAATAATCTTTCTCGGCACGCTCGTCATGTGCGAGTAATAGTAATGGCACAAAATATGCAGTTTCAAAGGTATGCTTCGATGCTACATCCTTATCTCCATATACAATGTCCAACATCATATTCAGATTTGTATCGGTCAGCCATTTCTGCGATGCGAAATCTGCAAGGTCATGAATGGGTGACCAGTCACAGAAACCTTTCGTGGAGCCTGACCAAGATAACCTGCTCAAGGCAAGATGGAAGGTAGAGGCCACTGGATTGGATTGGCGTTTGGTAAGGAAGGCTTCTGCCTGTCGCCATTTGTTTTGGATGTCAAGGAGAGTATACGCTTGGCGCCAAAACGTCAGAATCCAGAATGGAAAAGATTGATTGATGTCGGCATGAGCATATACAATAGACCGGCTACCATCTAATCTTGCACGTTGCACCCCTTCTAGGAGCTGGTGCAGAACTGCAAGCTGGGGAAGCGGCTGCGTGCGGAGATAATCAAGATATGAGGTGTCCTCAGGCGGGGGGTCAGTGTCAAAGTATTCGCGCAATGGTGGAGCAGGTCGTAATCGAAGCTGACGGGAGTGGGAATTCAAGGAATGACGAGACAGACAGATTCTGATCTGGGAGAATAATTGATTGCACTGATACAGGAATAATAAGAATAGCATCATCTGAGGCTTTCGTGTCAACCATTTTGAGTGCTCAACTGGTGCAAGACTCGGAGGGAGGGAACCAGTTGATAGTTTCGTTGCAAGACACTCGAGTCCCATGCCAGACCATAGCTTGCTTCTCTGCAAGATTTGCATTGTAAACATCGAAGGTCAATGATCTGCAAGGAATGACAGAAGGTCAGAGGGCGACTCACCAAGACTACGGGGGTCAATAGACTTATTAACACTGTGTCAACCCCCCATGGTCGTGTGCCTGTTATTAACACGCCTTTATTAGCAGTGTTATTAACAACTGACTTTTCGTCCGTACCCTACTCAGGTTGACGTCATGCACTACTGGGGACTTGGATCTGCAGTGCGATACTATCCGTAATTGGGGCAGGCGCCTGCAAATACAGCATGTACAACTTGTCCTCATATGGCTTCTGTCCAGGAGGTCTTTCTTGACCGGCGTCATGGCATGCAGAACAGGCCTCAGAAAAACGGAAAGATGGTCAATGAGGAGTGGGAGCGGTTTTGGGTGCTTGCTCGTCGCCGGAGGGAAATTCGTCTGGTATCCGAGAAACAGCCCAGGAAGAAAGGTGCAAGTTGTTAAAGACCCCGTACTGTGCTTCCTTATCTGCTGGCACAGCCAGTACTCGTAAGACCTGTCAAAATTCACATCAATGCAAACATGTACTATCAAGCATCATTTCAAAGTGAGTGTCCCGTAATATTCGGATCCCTGCCTCATTGCAGCCCTATCTTCTGTGGGATCTGACTAGTGTTGCCGTTGAAGTGAGGTGACCTCGAGGTAAGTTCGCTTCGGTTCGATTTTTGAGGCAGTTCGATCCACCTCGGTTCAGTTGCACCTCGTTCAGGAAAATCAACGAGGTGCACGAGGTGCTTTATCTACACCGGATTTGTCAGCTGATCGTTTAGATATGATGTGACAGTGTGATATCTCACAGTACTAGTATTACTTGCATGCGCTCAAATGTATGAAGCTGCAAATGTGTTCAGAAGTCTTCAAGTTGTCACAATCCTGTGTGGCACTGTATGTTTTCGCTAACGGAACTCAGCTTCGTGTTGTGCTAGTGGGCCACGCCTCCAATGCTGTCCGATTCAATTCCTTACCAGCTATTGAATGTCGCCGCCTCCTCAGGCGACCGGCAACTGATTTCGGGTGTGCCACCATATAAGTATCAATTGTTCACGAACGAACATTGAATTCACATTGAAAATGAAAATGAGTTGGAACAGTGCCCCAGGCCCAGTACTAGGCTAAGCGTCATAAAAAGCTTTATATGGCTGGACTCCGTTAGACTAAAGCTGCCTATGATGCAAGAGTGCTGTGTATCTATAATGCAGTACCAAGTCGTATAAGTGTGATTGTTGTTTGCAACCCGAGCTTGTCATTGCGCTATCGACTGAAAACACCCTCGACGTTGATGTTTGGCACTGTGGTTGTGATGCCAGCCTGTGATGCTTGGATCGGTCAAGTGCACAATTCAGATGATGAACGACAGTATACTACCATCCTACTCAATCTTGGCGAGATTCAATACAGGTATGCAAAAACAGTTTGTCCTTTTATGCTCTACAATATCTGAATAAACGCCGGCGTCAGATCAATGTTTATATGGCCGGACTCCGTTAGACTAAAGCTGCATACAACCTAAGAGTGCCGAGTATCCATAACACAACACCAAGCTGTGTAAGCGTGATTGTTATTTGTAACTTGAGTTTGTCATTGTGCTATCGACAAAAACACCCTCGGTGTTGACATTCGGCACGTGATTGTGATGCTGGCTGTAATATTTAGGTTCTACAAAGTGTACAATTATGCTGACAAGCGGCAGTGCGTTAATATACTGTCCAACCTTGATGAGGTCCGCCAACTGCACACAAAGTTGATTTGTTATTTTGAGTTCCACATCCTCTCCCTGAATGACTGCACCGGACAGAATCTTCGAATGCAAGGCTGTATTGTGCCACAGCTGCCAAGGATGCTGATACTTGGCAATGGTAGCTTATTATTTTCATTCGACCAAGTGTAAGCATAATGTTAGCTCTCGATCTTATCATAACAGTAAGGCATTCTTGCTACACTATTCATAGCAGGTGTTGTAGGTCTGTTGTCCCGCGATCACTTCTGAGGGCTAGCGAGGATGCAAAAGCCAAAGCAGGTTGCCATTGGGTCACAATTCTACAAATACGAACAGATATAATAGTTTAAATAAATACTATGAAGAGACAACGTCCGGATTCATTGCTCGTTTGAGCACAATACATTTTTGTCGGATCTTGGATAAGGCGCTGTTGGCGCTGATAGGTCTCTTGGCAGCAGATGAGGTAGGAAATACTTGGCTGGTAATATATCAGCCTCGGCTACATGATGAGTGATAAACATACCGATTCCACCAGGTCAGCAGCTCATCAACTTCTTTACATTCCTCAGGGTCTTCTAACAGGTCGAGGAGGCTGTGGTAAAACATCTCAGAATCTGTAACTGTGTCGGTCCGCGAGAACACTGAAGATGAACTGAGAGTGAATCGCACCTTCAGCGGTACGTCAAGTGCTGCTGCAGAAGGATGATACTCGACGAACCTGAGTTGCGATATAGGCCATAGAGGCTATGGTAACGGAGTTCATGCCGTGAAGGCGAGCGTTTCCGGATCGCGTGGCCTTCGGTTCCTTGTCAACCGAACTTGGAGACGTAAAAACGTGCTTGTAGGCCTATTGTGATACTATGCGGTAAATGGACTATATAAAAAAACCAGTGCGCACTCACACATGTTAATAAACGGCTCCTTAGCAGGCCGGACCACGGGTCTTCAGAGTCATAGACATAGTGAGCGTACAAGAAGATCGGCCACTGATCCCCGCAGACCAGCATCTCGCCACTTCGGAGGTCTTCTTTTGTCCTTTAACAAAGAAGAGAATATTAGTACTGCAATGTCAGGAAATAAAAACATACCGAGGGTCGTGCCAGTCCAACCCGGCGGGACAAAGAAGAGATCCCGTAAGTTTGTGGTTAAAACCGCGGTCGAGCTTGGAGTTTCTATGTAAATGGGGCTGTATCGCCTCTCCTTTCGGGGAAATCCAGTCGAGTACCGCAGATTTCAGCGTCTTTGTATCATTGCCTCTGGCGCCTGCGGCCCCCTTTCCAATCTGTGATTGATAAGCTTCAAGTCTGGCTACACAGAAGAAAAAAAAGTACCAGCTCTCCGACGTGGAGGATTTCCTCCTCAGATCCATCTTTCAACCGATCCAGAAGGCCGGGGTAGGAGTCTATGAGTTGTTCAAAGACGCGATGTTCTCGCCGCTCAGCTGCCAAACATATCAGTCAGAAGGCGAATAGCGAACACAGAGGTGGGTAGATGTTTACTCAGCAGGGAAGTCTTCCAATGGGACATCTTCCATTTGTTCCAGTCTCAAGATACCATTGGTGAGTAGGGAAGGGTAATTGCATAGCGCAAATACCGTTCGACCAAAGTGGCGTCCGTGGGAGACAAGCGGATCAGATGATGAGCTGGGGGACAGGATGAGTCTACAAAGCTTGCAGTCAGCGTGCAGACAGCTTACGCCTTTTTGCGAGGCCCCATTGAGAGAGCTGACGAGCCGTGTTTGCTCGGAATGCTGGAGGTAGCATCCTGCGTAGTCATGAAGTGGGAAAGGGAGGAAAAGTTGCCCAGGCGTCGCAGATGCCGGAAGTAGCTTTTATCCCCAGAATTACGCTATGTAATGCCTCAGGGAAGCCGGCAGCCAGCGCAATGGCTATGGTAGTTGCCAGCCAAACAGTGGCCGCGGTGAATAGCGCCCAGGCGATGGCCAAAGTCATTGGCAGAAAAAGGTGGCGAATGACGGCAAGTGTGGCCAGCGCAAGTTTGGCCCGCCCGTCGGCTGCATACCGGAATCGATTGACTTGAGCTAAAATAGAGAGTTTGTAATTCAGTGATTAGAAAAGCACGGCAGTCACATGAGGTATATAACTCCCTTTGCATGTCTCGTTGCAGCCTGCTGCCAGCAGAATACATCCGCCGAAACCCAATATGCTGCAACTCGGAAGTCAAACCTTCAAACTACAAGGATGTAGTTTCAACATAAACGTACAGTAAGCCAGATGAATCCACCTGGCGCAGGGACGTCCTGAAGGCATTCTTTAGGATCGAGTTAGTGGGAGGAGATAATGAAAGTGGGGAGGAGCTCGCCGGGATATCGTGCGTCAAGTCCATCTGACTCCATCAGCTGCACTCGAAGCTGATCATGGAGTAGCGAATCGAAAATTGATGTCGACGATCCTACATTGGATAAAAATGTTGCTCCGGCTCAAAAGAATGAGAGTGAGAAAGACCAGGTGAACGCTATGGCCAAGCTCAAAGAGCGGTTGGAGTTGGCCGAGATGAATTGCTCAATGCTGGAAGAGCTATACCTAAGGTATAGAGTTCGTTGGTTGGAGGAAAACTATCGAGTAAGGGCGTTGAAAGTATACACGCCGGATGGAGTCAATACTCACTCTCCCCGTCAAATCACATGCGACGCCCCCTCTCCTGCACAAAGTATGTCGGATATGCGCTCCCTTGAGATCAACTGACAGTATTGCTCAGGTGAATATGATGCTGAACTTCAGGGCCAAGAGTAAACTGCAGCGGTCCTATCGTAGTATGATGCTGTTGTTCGAGATGTAGTGGTATGCAGAAGATAACAGATGTTGCATCGAATACAGCTGGGCGACGGGAGATTATCAATTAGTACCCACCAAGACGAGACTGGATACTAGAAACAGAAAAATCTGCGTATCGTCAGAAGCTGGCAGTAAATTTACGCGTACATAGCAACCGACCGCGGGGTAGGGAGGGTTGTGTGCACGTCGTAGTAGGTGGTAGTAGGGGGGACTAGTACTGTGAGGGGAGACTAGAATGTAGCTATTACGTAATATGTTTTATGTACTCGGATAAAACTGTCTGTGCTATGTCAATCAATAAGGGATGGGCAATGGGCATCATAGTCGTAGAACCTTGGTAGGACCTTCAGTCTCATGCAGAGTGCTCGACTTGGGGAAGGACGGAAACGACTGCTCTCGAAAACAAAATTTGACCCAGATAGTTAAAATTGCACTGTTTTACAGTGTTTTACAGAATCAACGTACAAGACAAAGGCAGAAATAATTCAGGAGGCTAGGGGAGGATCACAAAAACATAAAAAATATGGTGATCCTGGACCAGACAGGAATGAAACATAAAAAAGTCCATGAGTCCGAGATCAGAAAATAAAGAGCTCCAATCAATCTTCGCAGTCTTCATAGTCTTCGTAGTCTTCGTAGTCTTCATAATCTTCGTATCCCCCCATGCTGTTGTCAACGTCCTCATTGTAGAGGGACGCTTTATCACATAGACATTTTGAAATGGTTGGGCGGAAGGACGTTGTTGAGCCTGCAATGAAATCAGTAATTGATGGAAAAGGGATTTGATCAGCTTGTGCCCACTGCTGTCAGAGAGATCGAATCCATGGATATTTTCAATGGCCAGGCTATAGAGCTCTATCTCAGCTTGTGCGCCGGTGCATCTTGGCCTGCAGGATTAGCAAATCCAGCCCAAGGTTGCGCAGATAGGCAGTTGTTACGCCTGGTGGCGAGAGACGCCATCATCAGCTCTGCTTGCAAGTCCAGCTCTTCCTGGAATGCGCGGTGAAAGGCCTCTTGGATGTCAATGGTGACCCACGTACTCGACAAGGGCAATGAGGGGCTAATGCACTGCAGAGAGGTGGTGTTAAGACCGTACTCAAGTAGTATCGGATCCGAAGGGCTTCGGCCTCAGCTCGTGCGCTGTGCCCCTTTCCCGAGTCTTGCCCCTTATTTCAGAGAGCTAAAGTGTCGCGTATATAGAGTAACGGCCAATCCGGATCGGATCCGGACTAGAAACTAACGGGTGAGGACTGTCCGAAGACAGAGGCGGATATGTAGACTATAGGAATCTATCCTAAGCCTCGGAGTAGACAAGAGTAGCGTACTCAAGTCCGGACGGATAACGGAGGGACTTAGAGTCCAGACGGAATGAGTGCAATCTAAGATGATATTCGAACTGATCTACTACAGCGCATATACAAAGGTTTATATACTACGGATAGCTAACGGAATGATCAATAAGCAAAGTCTAAGTGGAGCGTATTGGTAAGTTGGATGGATCACGAATCATGAACCGGGAATGAAGTACAAGTAAAAGCGGATTCGTAAGTGTAGCGGATCAGTAAGCAAAGCGGAAGTAAAGGATAACCGGTATACCGGTGTACAGGAATACCGAAAGGAGATGAACGATAGTTAGAGTTATATGAACAGGAAATGAAATAAGAATCAAAGCGGATCTGTGGACCGGACGACGGATATGTTCATCGGATCTGGATCGGATCTGAGATCCAGATCATCGGATCTGTAACCGGATATATGGTATATGACAGTATCCCCCCCTTAGGGCCGATCCCTAGAGGCACAAGAATCAGCGATCCGGAACGGATGGTATGAGTGCGAGACAATGGAGAAGCTGATGGGAGAAGTTGCTGAGTTCGGATTCTGACAGATATACGGATGCCAAAGCGTCGCAGGGTGTTCCTTCCTTTCCCTACTTTTTCACCACCACTAGCTTATCTCAACCATGACTGATAACGGATCCGGCTCTAAGAAGACCGCTAAGCAGACTCTGGCGGATATCCAGGCCGCGCTGGCTGCTGCTGAGGCCGAGGTTCAGAAGGAGGAAGAGGCTGAAAAGCTGAAGCAACAAGCGGAAGAGGCGGAACGGAAGCGCTTGGCAGGGATTAAGAAGATTGAACGGGCTGAGGCCCGAAGGGAAGCGGAGGAGGCTAGGCGCAGGGCTATAGTAGCGGAAATGGTGAGTTATGACTTGTTCTATCGGATCCGTCCCTTATCGGATCCGTAGTCTCGCGCCATCTCAGCGGATAAGGATGGGGCTTGTACCCGCTGCGCTAAGAAGGGTCGGGCCTGTCTGTGGTCCGATGCGGATAGCAATTCCTTGGTAAGTCATCCTTGAATCTTCGGATCCGTGACTCTTAACATTCGGATAGATCAAGGCTTGTAACGCGTGCCGGAAGGACAAGGCTCCTTGTCCCGGACGACCTGGAACCGTTACGGATTCCAAGTCTAAGAAGAGGCAGCGCGCTGCTGAGAACCCATCCCCGAGAGGCAAGGGTAAGAAGCGCCAGCAGAGTCCAACTCCGGATCCGGATATGAAGACGGTAGTAGCGGATGAGGTGGAAGTGGAGTATGATGATCAGGCCTGGGTCGCGGCCGCTAATAGCATTGTAGCGGAACTGGCTCGGACCAACGGATTGCTCCAGCAGAGCATCGGAGCGGCGGAAGGGAGTAGGACTGCTATAGAGCGGATGAATACTAACTTGGAGGCGTTTTTGGAGCAGCAGAGGGAGTTCCAAACCATCCTTCTTGAGGGGATCCGGAATGGAATCCGGATTACAGAGGCGGCTCGTTCTGAGGCCACTGACAAGGACGTTGAAGAATCCGGATCCGGATCCGGGTCGGGTGGGGACATGGAGATGGATGGCTGAGGATTTTCGGATCTGTCTTCTCTGCTACTAATGTACTTGTATATCCGCTTTGTATATTCATTGTATAGCAATAGGACCGGGTTTGTCTGGATATGCAGTGTGGAAATCCGAGACTAGATCGGACGCGTTTCCGAGTTCCGTGGCTAGTAGCCATGAAGTCTCTTCGTCTGTTCCTTCGTATCCGGACCATCGGACGAGGTATAAGAGTTGGCATTGTCTTCTACGACGGTCCAGCTTAGAGTCTAGGATTTCGGATATCTCATATTCTGGTTCTCCGTCGACTTCGACCGGAGGTGGAGGAGGCTGGATCCGATTGGGAATTGTGTTCGGAACGGATGGTTCTAGCTGTGAGACATGGAAGACGGGGTGGACGGATTTCATGGATTCGGGAAGTCGGATGGTAAAGGAATGGGTACCCGGACGGGATATGACTTCAAACGGGCCTAGATTCTTTTCCGAGAGTTTCTTAGACGGACGAGTGGACCGGAAGTACTTAGCCTTGACAAAGACTTGGTCTCCGATATTGATATCCGGAGCAGGTTTCCGTTTGGCGTCCGCAGGTCCTTGATATCTTTCTTGGGCGTGAGCCATTTCTTCTCTAAGGAATTGGTGAAGGTCGTCGAGGTCTATAGCATAGTCGCGAGCGCGGATGGAGGATAGATCGCGTTCCGGATGGACGGATATGTTCGGATGATAACCCTTATTAGCAAAGAAAGGCGATACTCCGGTAGTAGCACTTGGAGCGTTATTGTAGGCAAATTCTGCTAAGGGAAGTAGTTCCGACCAGTTGTCCTGTTGATAATTGCAATATATCCGAAGGTATTGTTCCAGGGTTTGGTTGGCACGCTCGGTTTGTCCATCCCCTTCCGGATGATATCCGGATGTGAAGTGGAGGACCATATCCAATGCTTTTCCTAAGGATCGGAAGAAGTGGGATACAAACTCTGTACCGCGATCCGAGGTGACATGGGACGGAACTCCGTGCTTGGAAAACACATGAAGTAGGAATAGACGAGCGAGATCCGGAGAGGTAATGGTATCGTGAGTCGGAACAAATATTGCTTGTTTGGATAAACGATCTATGATAACGAGG